AAAGTTATTTTTTTTTCTGCAAGTGGTGATGATCAAACGAACGGAAGTCGATTATACATTCACACACATAAACAAACAAACATTGATGAATGTATGATGTTATATATGATGTTATGATTACATGAAATTCATGTAATTCTAGCAAAATCAAATGTATATATTGGAAATTGGAATTGGTGGCAAAAAAAAAGAATACACTAAAAATAAATTGAATTGAAGAATCGATCAAGATTGATGATGACAAACTTTGTGAATTTTGTTTTTTCTGGTGATAGGACGGTAAATGTTTTTTTTTTCGTTTGTTTGTTTATCATCAAACAAATATATTCAATCAAGAGACGTTGAAATTTACAAATCAATTTGTGTCAGCATCGTTCATATTCTGTATTATTGCGGAAATGGACATTTCTTTTTTTGGAATCGTTGATTACACCACCACCACCACTTTATACAATGATTCGCGGTTTTTTTTTCTTCAATCAATTCACTTGTTACAGAAAAAAATAATGCAAGGCAAAACAAAAAAAAAAAAAAGAAAAAGTGAAATTCAATTCTGTGTTTGTGTCTGCTGTATGCCTGTATCTGGAACGAAATGACGATGATGATGATGATGATGATTTTTTCTATTCTTTCAGGAATCACTTTTTTTTCAGGACCTTTTTATCGAAAAAAAATTTCGTGTATGTGTGTGTTTTCTATCAGCAATCGTCATCGCCCACTAAAACGAATTCTGTGTGTATGTGTGTAAATGTGTGTGTGCGAATGCCTATAGCGGTGTTGGTACTTACTCATCGTATTGGATCATAACAATGGACACCAGAAATTGTGCCAAATAAAAACACAGCAAACTATACCAATCGGTGAAAAATATTCTCGTTACGTTTCAATTCAGGTTTGGCGCGTTCTAAATACTGTTTAATTTCCATTTGTTTCTGCGCAGACGCTCATCCATTTGTGTTTTGTTGACTTTTTTTTTTTGACAATTTTTGATATTTTGATTGTCATTTCATGGATAGAATTCTTAAATGAATTTTTTTTTTCACTTGAATATTAATTATTTTGCATGTATAGAGAATCAAATATTTCCAGTGTGTGTGTTGGTGTGTGTTTTAGAAACTTTTTCATCATCATCATCATCATCATCATCATTATCAGATTCTGTGTACAGGCAGAGAAAAATAAAAGAAGAAAAAAAAATCTCAGGTAATTGGATTAATAATAATTATCACAATAATGAACTTTTAACCAATTAATATTTGAATAGAAAAATGATAATAATAATTAGTGAGAGTTGATAATGAATTTCTCCATTTGAAAAAAAAAAAAAAAAAAAAATGAAGCAATTATTTTGGTCATCAACAATTTATCGCCATATACAGAATTACAGAATTAGAATTATTATGATGATAAAAATAGCTCAATATTGGTCATTTGATAATTGCAATACACACACATACACACTCACACACAGACAGACAGAATATTCATATGAAAATAGAATGGAATTCATTGAATGGAGCAAAAACAAAACAGCCAAAAAAAAAATGCATAATTCAATAGATCACAAGAATGTACAAATGAACAATTGTCGTCATCATCATTTTGAATGACGCTGAAGAAGAATAGAAAAAAGAAATATCTCTCTTGATTATTTAAATCTTCTTCCAATAATTGATATATATATAAATGAACAAAAATAGAACAAAAATCTCAATGAATTTGTTGTGAGCCAGGAATTTTCAAGCATCAAAATAAAGAAAGAAAATTCTCATTGGATTCTTAGCCAAGAATTTTTCCAATTCTGGTCATCATTTATCTGTTCTTTATTCAAAGTTTTGGAATGCTAATTTTATTTTTCATGTTTCATATACGGAATATTTTTTGGAAATTCAAAGTTTTTTTTTTTTTGGTTTGATTTTCAGCAAGTAGCTCGGATGATGATCTTTACATTTTTTTGAAAAATACACGAGATGTGTAGGTGTGTGAAACAGACTGACACACACTACACTGAAAAAAAAGTAAATAAAGAACAAAGTTACGGGTGTTTTTTTTTCGACAAAACTAAACGATTAAGCTTGGTGTTTTTTTTTCTCTCTCTCTTTCTCTCGATTCTCGACATTTATTATCTAAAGTGGCACAGGGTGGCTGAATCAAGTGTGTGTAGTTCGGGTGAATTTAATATTAGAATGATGATGATGATCATCATCATTAAAACTATCGAGTATTGAAAAGTTTTGATTTGTGTCTGTGTGTGGTAGCCGGTTTCGAAATTATCTAGTGAAATGAAGAAAAAAAAAAAAGTTCTTTTATATTGCGTGAGAATTATTCATTGCTCTCGTCATTAATGATGATGATAATGTTTCGAAAAAACGAGAAGAAAAAATCCCAAAAAAAAAACCAAGAAAATTACCCGAATATTTTTTTTTTGTTTTCGAGTCATGTCATCGCTTACTTTTTTCCACTTACTCTCTTTTTCTTGTTTTACGATTGTAAAAAAAACGAATGAAAATTTACAATGAAAAATAACAAACTATTCACCATTTTATTTTTTTTTTTTTTTTTAAACAGAAAAATAGAATACGATCGACAAATATTTACACGAAAATTAAAATTGAACACCAGAGAGATAAACATTGAAAAAATTCTCTCGTTTTCTCTTCAAAAAAAAAAAAAAAAAAAAAATGTTTGACAAACATCGTCATTCATTATCAAAATTGACAGTAAATATGGCCAAAAGGTCAATGAAATGAAATTTTGATGATGATGATGTGTAGGTGGACGTTGGACGTTCATACTTGTAATTAGAGTATACTTTTAAATTGATTCCTGAAGGTATTATTGTATACATTAATCAATTTGGTGTTCATTTTGAACCGTTGAAATTTGATATCAACAACAACAACAACAACAACAAAAAACAAAACAAAAATGTCTAGCCCATTCATCAAAACAAACTAGTCCAGTAGGTTTAATCCATCTGTGCTTAGCATTTGTCTGATTATTAAAAAATGAAATGAAAACATTATGGAATTTGTAATGATGACATAATGATAATCGTTGGTGAAAAAGTCAAATGTCAAACATACAGAATGGACAAATTCTAGAAAATTTCCAACAAAAAAAAAATTATTCTTGTTACATAATGTTTTAATGAATAAGATGAGATTTTCCGAGAATTTACACACACACACACACACAAACAGCCAAAAAGAAAAAGTAATCAAGAAACGGAAAAAATTCTCATCATCACCATCATCTAATTCCATATGATCCTCATGTGAAATTCATAGAACAAAACAAAACAAACAAAATTCAACGGTGGAAAAGTTACAATTTAAATCTCGAAAATCAAACATGAAATGGAATTAGATAAAATGTGTCTGTCTGTGTGTGATTTTTTTTTTTTTTTTGGCTTACATTTGTTGAATGAAAAATGGATAAAAATGTCAAATCAATGATGAATGAATGAATAAATCGTACTGGCCACGAATGTTGACGATGATGATGATTACAAGGTAAACATGACAATGTTGAAATTTCAGAATTTTGTTTGTTTCTCCAAAAAACAACAATCAAGATATGAAACAAAAAAAATTTAATTTTTCAATGATAAAAATCAAACCAAAACCAAACACAGACACACATTCATTTCATTTTCACCACCATGATATCATCATCATCATCATCGCCGACGTCCACGCAATAATAATTTACGCACGATGACATTTTTTTTCCTGGTTACATGCACACACACACACACACACACACACACACAATCAATCTTGATTGAAAATTACAAAAGAGCAAGCAAAAATGCAACGTAAATCAATCTTCGGAGTAAAATAACAAAAAAAAAACACACACACACACGACAACAGCAACAACAACAATGGCAAAGTGAGAAAAAAAATCGGAAGTCAATGTAAATGGAATGGAGAAAGAAAAAAAGTCAAGTTTTGAATATGAAAAAAAATCGCTACGGAATTCACAGAATAATGATGATGATGGTGATAATAAGATTTTTTTTTTTTTTTTGACAAAATAAAAAACCTTTTAGATTTTCACTTTTTCATTTTCTCTCTCTCTTGCCAATAATTCCCAATATCTATTATTCTCATTTCATTTTCATTTTCATTTTTTTTTTTTGCGAAAAAAGTGCCTTTCGATATATTTATAGATTCAGATTCTTGACTTGTTTCCTGGAATGATGATGATGGTTCAAATCACAAATCAAATCAAACGAAAAAAATGAATGAATGTTCCATGAATCAAACACAACACATACCTACCACCAACGCATTATTATTTAGATTTTTTTCCACTTTCTCTCCCTCTCTCTCTCTCTCTCTCTCTCTGGTTATCAGCTATCAATTTTCTTTCGTTTTTCATTCGTCATCATCATCATCATCATCGTCATTTTTCAAAAAAAAATACGGGAAATGTTTCGGCAACTTTTTTCCGGAAAAATTTCTCCCAAAATTTTTTTTTTCAAGCACTGTTATTTGTTGTGTTGAAATATAAAAACACGAGAAAAAAAAAATTCATTTCACTTCATTTCGTGTTACAAATTTTTTTTTGCATCACCTTTTTTTTCATTTTCATCTAGGTTCCAGAAAATAAAAATGAAATCTGATGAAATCTAATGGAAACAAAACGACAAAAAAAAATCAGAAAACCAGAAAAAAAATATGTCACAACTGTCAATTTTTTTTTGTTTTCACATTGAAATTGATGATTCAATTTTGTTTTTGTTTTTCTGTTTTTGTTGTTGTTGTTGTTGCACAAAAATGTAAATATCATCAACCATTTGATGAATTATTCACTTGTTGTGAAACAAAAAATAAAAAAGAATTTCCACATGAAAACATTAACGGTGAAAACAAACAAAAAATTCAACGAATGAAAGAATTATTGAAGCAAAAGTCGTTGGGAAAAAAAATGACAAAAACAAATTTTGAGAAATGGGAACATAAAAAAAGAGTAAACAACAGAACAAAAAAAAAATGAAATGAAATATTTTTATTTTTTCCATTCATTTTAGCTGTGTTTCGGGGTTAATAATGTAAGAATGGGGCAACAATTCAAAAACTGGAGATTCTGATTCAAAATTCTCATTCATTCTGAATCAATTACCGTTGTTGTTGTTGTTGTTGTTGTTTTAATTCCTGTAACCAACGACGTGTATCACGGCATACTTGTTTATTACATAATGGACATTGTAGCAATAATTGTGGTGAAATATCAATACCAGATTCAATGTGTTTATCAATCAATTCAACGATACCATCAATAAATAATGGATGATCATTTGGTGTTGGACAACGACGTATCATTTGTATTGGTAATTTTGCCACCAATTCATTACAATATTCAATATCTAATTCATGTAATGTTTCAATATGTTCATTTATGAATGATATCGGTATCAATAGCAGATTTCGATGACCTTTTTCAATGAATCCTAATGAAAACATCGATTTAGAGATTAGTAGGATATTAAAGGTAAAAATCTGAATTTTTTTTATCATTCACCTTTAATAACATCATCAGTTGGGGGTGCTTGCCATTGTACTGGACCAACTTTTGATTGCCATACCAAACGAAATGGATAACGATATTGTAATTGATGCATAATTTGCATCACAGTTCCACTAACTTCCATTGGATATGTGTCGCCTACATTTACAGACTGAAAATACAATTAAATTCAATTCAAAAAGAATTTTTTTATTCATTAAAAGAATTAGCAAAAAGAATCATCTTTGAAAAGAGAAAAAAAAATTCTAATCAAATCAAATTTTTGTTACAAGAATCTTATTCTTCTAAAGAATATTCCATATATATTCACATTCATTTTTACTTATTTATCATCATCATCATCATCACTAGTGCATCAACGTATAGATTGATGACGATGAAACAAATTCTATCCTTTTTTTTCATATTCGAATGCATCAATTTTCTTTCTATTTTGCTTTAATTGGATGAATGAACAAATGAATACCATTGGGATTTATATACACACACAGAATATTCCATATGACCAGAAAAGAGCGAGCGAAACTATAATTCAAAAGAATAGAAATGATAAAAGCTACAATTCTTTCTGATTCTCTCATTTCAGTTTTTTTTTGTTATCAAAATACAATTTATTTATATACAATCAATACAAAAAAAAAGAATTTGTCCATTTCATGTACTTACTATCTCTCTCTCTCTCTTAATGCACTATATTGAATAACGAGAATAAAGAATTAGTCAATATGAACACACGCAAAATGTTTCTAAAATTGGCAGGTAAATGAATGAATGGATGGATGGATGAAAATTACATTTATATGATAAAAAAAGAAACACAAGATTAAATGGTGAAAAAATGTAATAAATTTGACTGACTGACTGTGGGACTCTAGTGGACAAACAAAAAAAACAAAACGGTTTCTCTCTCTCTCTCTCTCACTATCTCCCTGGGGTGATGGGTACTTACACTTAATGGTAATGAATGTGCTGTAAATAACAGTAAAATTTTATCCCGTGAATTGGCCGGAAATTGTTCAATTTCATTATTAATAAGTTCAATAAATGAATTGATTAAACCATTGTTTAATGGCCAACGATCAATAAAACTAAGATGAAATGATGATTTTTGTTGATGTAGATGATTTTGTTTTTTTTCATTTTGAAAATATTTTGCCATCTGATTTAGACTACTACCAGTAGTGTTACAACAATATTGTGCATATTGTGAAAATGCAATTACACGTTCAGGTTTATCACTGCGATTGCGTATAAAAGATATTTATATAAATAAATGAAAAATGTAAAGAATAAAAATAAATTCTAGAAAATTCACCATTCAATTTGTTCGAATGCTTCTGCTAATGATGGTGATGTATAACGGAAACCGATATAATATTTATATGGTCCATTTTGTGGTCTTTTATGATTTAATCGTTCGATTAATAATGATCCTTGACGATTGGTCCAATCATGTAATGGTGAACCGCCACCAATTTCAGAATATTTTTTAGCCACTTTCGATGTACGCCGTTTGGCTATGAATGGTCCAAGCCATCTATGTTTTAACATGATCGAGAATTCATTGTATAATTATAATATAATATATGTAATTAAAACTGGTCAATCAAAACAAAATCAAATGATAATTACTTTTGCAATGGTAATCGAATAATATCATTATCAAGAAATAATTCACGTAAAAATGGTTCAACATCTGCTATGGTTTTTGGTCCACCCATATTCAACATTAATATTGCGGTTTTAACATTTTTATTGCCATCATTATCATCATTATCATTATTATTAGTGGTCGTGGCTGTTGTTGACATTTGTCGTCTATGGATTGACAACGAATTTGTGATTGTCGTCCATTTCATTACTATTGTGTTGGATCGATATGACGCATACAAGAATTTGTCAATAGTACATAAATGGAATGAGAAAAAAAATCAAAAAAAAAAAATTATTTTTAGATCAAAAAATAAATGGAAAAAAATCATCTAGGATTTTAATATTTCAAAATAGCAAACTAAAAATAAAAATTGAAAAAATTGTCAGACACCAAAATATACAATGACCGATAATTATTATTCTTTGTAAATTTCTGGTCTGGGTTTGTTTACAAATTTTTTCAATTTGTTTGAAATTCCAAAAAATTTTTTACTTTACCAGAATTTATTTCGGCCAATAGACCAATTCTTCCGTCTCGCAACTGGCCAATTGCCATTGGTTGTGAATTTTTTTTGGTCCATTTTGAAATCACCATTCGTATTTGGTACATCATCATCACTTGTTGATGTGTTATTATTATGTCACATTTTTAAATCTGAACAGCTGCTGTTTTTTTTTTTTTTTTTTGGTTCTCACGTGATTCATTTTGTTATTCATAAATTCTATGACGTCAGTGGAAAACAAAATCATCGGAAATTATTTTGCCCACGGGTTATTGTAGTGTGTGTGTGTTGAACTTGTGTCAAGGTCAATCTTATCAACCGATATGGATCTAAAAATGTTGGACAATAGATTGATTGAAATTGAAATTTGAATGAGAAAAAAAAAAGTTTTTTTTTGTGTTTGAAATGAACCAAAACCATTCTTATTGGTCACAATGTTTTTTCATTGTGTCAAAAAGAAAACGGTGAAAGATTGTATTGTTTGTTGAATGTTGAACTAAAAAAAAAACGAAATCTGGATCAATTTTTCACATCTTTATTCCATTCCATTCATTCTTTCAATTCAATTACAATTGAATTTCATTTTTCATTTTTTTTCAAAATTCAAATTTTATTTTCTCGTTTTAAAACCGATCCATTTATACAAAAAAAAAATCTTCCAATTGAAATGTCATTGCGTGTTTGATGATGATCATCATTATCATTATAATGATAATGATGAAGATGAAGATCATCTTCTCTTGAGAATCATCATCATCATTGTTATTATTATCGCCCTTTATTTCGTTTTGTTTCAATTGTTCCCAAATTATAATTGATGTACTTTTTTTTTGAATCACCTTCAACATTCAACAATAAAACATTATTTGTGTGTGTGTGTCTGTGTCAAGGATTAATTATTTACCATTGTTGTTGTTGTTGTTGTTGTTTGATGTTGTTGTTGAATATTTGTACATTCCATAAAAATTGGGCTTTCTCTCACTCTGTCCTAATTGCTAATTATAGTTTTGTACACATCCAAAATTCCAAAAAGATAAACACATCAATAGCGTTTAGGTAATCGAATATGTGTGTGTGTGTGTGTGCAATGGCTCATTGCTTATTGAATTCATCAATATATCCGTTACGTTGTATATGAATAGATAGATCATTCATTCGATTTGTGAATTCTATTCCAATGATGATAATGATGATGATCTTTTGCAATATAGTTTTATTAATATCAAAAAATCATTACAAGTTTCTCATGTCTCTTTATTATTTTATCAATGAAATACATCATATACACAAAGTTCCGGTTTCCTTTTTCTTTTCATTTCAATTCATTTAATTTTTATTCATTTGAACAGAAATTGCAAAATAAAATTCGAGTCAAGAAAAACAACCAAACATTTTGACCGCTACGACAATAACAACAACAACAACAACAAAACGAAATTTACCTGGCAAAATTTTTTTTTTATCATGGTTGATAGTGGTAATCAAGTGGCTCTACAAGTGCCAACCACCACTACATGTTTTTTTTTCCAAAAACGTATATACACAAACCTGTTAATCAAGTCTTCTGTATATTCACAACAGGTGCATAAAAAATGAAAAATTTTTTTTTTCTTCTCAATAAAAAACAAAAATCTTGTTTCTCCATTCACATTATTTCGGCCATTTTGATGACGACGACGACGACGACGACGATGGCGAAGACTTTAAAGTTACAACGGTTTGATATTGTGACTCTCAACATTTCAAATCAGTATTTGTTGAATCAGTTTGAACAAATGATGATGATGGTATGTAATGAATTCAATGATTTGTAACTGGTGGTGATAGTGGTGGTGGTGGTGGTGGCTCCTACAACATTATCATCGTACAAATTCGTAGCAGTTTGACTTCAAGTGGTGGCCAAATTTTTTTTTTTTACTTGCCTGTGATGATGTTGTTATTGTTGTTGTTGTTGATCATGAATGGTGTCAGGTTGATGATTCAAAATGTGTGTGTGTGTGTGTGTTTTAGGAAACCAATGACGACAACAACAACAACAACAACAACATTAATTTGATTAATATTGGATAATCTGATGTTTATCGATATTTTATTTCAACTAAAAAATTTAAAAAATGAAATTTCAACAACCAAAAGCAATCACCTGTTGATTTGACCGGTCCATATGTGTGTGTGTGTGTGTGTGTGTGTGTCAAAATATTTCCATCGATGATTCTCGAAGATATTGATCCGACAACAGCATTTTTTTTGCGTCTGATTGTTAATTAGATAATCTGATCATGCATTATCATCACCATCAACATCGTGGATTATCGATTTAATTTTTGGATAATTTTTTTTTTTGCTCAAATATTAAGATACCGCATCATCCACATCATCATCAAGTGTTGTTTTGGATCTAATTGTGAACAATTTCCCATCAAACAAAAAAAAAAATAACATTACATGTGATTTCAAGTACGCAAATCTTTCATCAAATCAATTAATTGATTAATCGATTGATCAATCGATCGTAATAATTGTGGTGAATGAGTATCATTTGATTTTTTTTTATTTTTGTTTTTTTCTGATTTCGATTCTCGAGAAAGAGAGTACAACTTAACAAAAACTGACACAAAAAAATACGGAAAACAGCAACAAAATTGAAAAAAACCAGAATTTCTGTAAATTAAAAAAAAACCGAAACAAAGAAACGAACAAACAAAAATGGATCGTTTTTCACCAAATCAAGTACCAACCTATCATGTTGAACATCTGGCAACATTTTCAACAACAACAACAACATCATCATCGTCATCATCATTATCAAATTCACCACAACCACCAGCCAATGCACCAACAACAACAACATCAGCATCACAATCACATGATAATGAACAACAACAACAACATGTAACACCTCGTATGGCATTACAACGTTTATTTAAAATGGAAAAAACATCCGGTAAGTTATGGATTGAAATTTTCTTCACATAAATCATTTTCATACACAACACAACACAACACCGGATTTATTTTGAATCAGACGTAAAAAAACCAGATTCAAACACACAGGTTATGTTTGATTTTTTTTCACCAAAAAAAACAACATGCAAATGAAGCAGCAGCAACAAAAAAATATTCGTGTTACAAATTTCCAATTGTAATTTTCATTTGTAAACTTCCGTTCTAAATTTAGATGTCTATTCCAATATAATGGATGATGATTACATAACAACAACAACATTAATTTGATTAATATTGGATAATCTGATGTTTATCGATATTTTATTTCAACTAAAAAATTTAAAAAATGAAATTTCAACAACCAAAAGCAATCACCTGTTGATTTGACCGGTCCATATGTGTGTGTGTGTGTGTGTGTGTGTGTGTGTGTGTGTGTCAAAATATTTCCATCGATGATTCTCGAAGATATTGATCCGACAACAGCATTTTTTTGCGTCTGATTGTTAATTAGATAATCTGATCATGCATTATCATCACCATCAACATCGTGGATTATCGATTTAATTTTTGATAATAATTTTTTTTTTTTTGCTCAAATATTAAGATACCGCATCATCCACATCATCATCAAGTGTTGTTTTGGATCTAATTGTGAACAATTTCCCATCAAACAAAAAAAAAAATTACATGTGATTTCAAGTACGCAAATCTTTCATCAAATCAATTAATTGATTAATCGATTGATCAATCGATCGTAATAATTGTGGTGAATGAGTATCATTTTGATTTTTTTTTGTTTTTTCTGATTTCGATTCTCGAGAAAGAGAGTACAACTTAACAAAAACTGACTCAAAAAATACGGAAAACAGCAACAAAATTGAAAAAAACCAGAATTTCTGTAAATTAAAAAAAAACCGAAACAAAGAAACGAACAAACAAAAATGGATCGTTTTTCACCAAATCAAGTACCAACCTATCATGTTGAACATCTGGCAACATTTTCAACAACAACAACAACATCATCATCGTCATCATCATTATCAAATTCACCACAACCACCAGCCAATGCACCAACAACAACAACATCAGCATCACAATCACATGATAATGAACAACAACAACAACAACAACAACATGTAACACCTCGTATGGCATTACAACGTTTATTTAAAATGGAAAAAACATCCGGTAAGTTATGGATTGAAATTTTCTTCACATAAATCATTTTCATACATAACACAACACAACACCGGATTTATTTTGAATCAGACATAAAAAAAACCAGATTCAAACACACAGGTTAAGTTTGATTTTTTTTCACCAAAAAAAAACAACAACATGCAAATGCAGCAGCAGCAACAAAAAAAATATTCGTGTTACAAATTTCCAATTGTAATTTTCATTTGTAAACTTCCGTTCTAAATTTAGATGTCTATTTCAATATAATGGATGATGATTACATAATAATCATTGTATTAGTTAACATTTGTCAATCTACCATTGTCAATTAGTTGTTGTTGTTGTTGTTGTTGTCGATCAATATTTCATTTGATTATTATTTACCGAAAAAATTTTTCCATTTTCATTAAAAATTTCTTTTGCGATTTTGAGATAAATACACACACACACACACACACACACACACACGCACGAAGCAAAAACCAACATTGAAAAACATTTTTTTTTTTTTTGTCAATGCAAATGCACAATTTTAATCATTCAAATGAGTCAAATATTGTCATGGAATAATAATAAATTTTATTGATTCAAACTCATTCTTATAGAGGAATCATATAAATGAATGAAATGAATTTTCAATTCTTTTTTTCATTTTCATATTAATTCCATTTGAATTCATTCATTCAAATGAATGAATGAATGAATGAATGAATTTACCCCATTGAGTTTTGTTTTCTTTCTTTCGTCATGTCATTCACTCTCTGTCATCATCATCATCATCATTTTATTTGCTTTTTGTTTGGCTGTTTCATGTGTGTGTGTGTACATGTTGTTGTTTCCGTTCATTTTTGTTCGTTTATTTGTTTGTTCGATTTTTCTCTGTGTTCATGTTTGAATAGGTAAACATAGCATTTATATTTATCTAGAAAAACGATGATGATTATGATGATGGCCTAGCAGGCAGAACTTGTCATTTTTGTTGTTGTTATAGTTGCAGTTGTTGTTGTTGTTGTTGTTGTTGTTGTTGTTGTTGTCAAGAATCTTCTTCTTTTTCTTCTTTTTTTTCTCACTCCCACTTCCATCTCTGAAATTCACAATTTTCATTTCAATCGAATTGATCATCATCAAACAGACAAACAAACATATGAAATGGATGAAAAAAATTTTCTTTCATTCATTCATTCCACAACAAAATGATTATTGTGTGTGTGTGTGTGTGATGGTAACATTGTAAATTTGTTTGTTTATTTGTGAAAAAAAAAATTTTATTGTCTTTTTTTTTTGTTCAGGAAACGCCGCCTATCCACCCATCATAACATTTTTTGGATTTTGATGAATACAAAAATCCATCACACACTAACACACACATCTCCATCATCCATTTCTCTCTCTCTGTGTGTGTGTGTTAGTTTGTTTACCACGCCCCAATATTACATCATTATACATTATCATGATGATGATGATGATGATGATTATTGATTAGATGTGTGTGTTTTTATTATTATTATTACACAATGATGGTTTTTTTTTGGTGGTATACAATTAGATTGATTGAAATGAACATTTTTTCGATTCTATCATCATTATAATGATGACATTGTGTGTGTGTTTACACGCCCACTAGTTAAATGTCATTTCATTAAGTTTAGTAATTTTTTTTTCTCTTTTTCTTCTCGATAAGCAAATAGTTCCAGAAACAGAAAAATCGAAAAACAAATAGAAAACACACATGCACACACACACACACACACACACACACACAAAAATTCCAAATAAAGAGTTTTCTTCTTTCGTTTGTTCATTCTTTTTTTTTGTTTTGTTTTGTTGAATTTGAATTCCATTTTGGATATGTATCATTTTGAATGTGAACGAGAGAGAGAGAGAGAGAGAGAGAGAGAGGGAGATAAAGCAGAACCAAGAAAAAAGCATTCATCATCGTTGCATAACCAGGTAAACCGGAACAAACACAGACTTTTTTTTGTCGTGAAAATTCCATTCATTGATTAAAATCGATGAATTTTTTTCCAATATTTATCCAAAAAATTATTTTTCTGCTTTTCCATTTCATTTCATTCTTGGCTTTCACACATTTGATGTGATCCAATGTGATTTGGCAAACATTCAAAAAATGGAAATTGATGACAATGAAAATTGTTGTTGAAATTGAAAATGATGATGATTATGGTGATTATTACCACATTATCCATAAATGATGATGAACATCACCATGATCATCATCATCCTACGAATAAAACAAACAAACCATCAGTCCATCATTCATTCATTCATCAGATGGATCATCATCAACAAATACATATACCATTTTCATTCCATTTGATTTCATTTCATTTCATTTTGGATTTGTAGATTTTCATCACGATGATAATCATCATCATATGATTATCATATTATATAAATATGGCCATCTTTTATGAAACCTAAAATGGCCAATAAATATATATGAAACAATGTTATTATCATCATTATTATGGTGGTGAGCATCCTTTTTTTTGGGGGGGAAGGAGAAAAGAAGATGAAATGAAATGAATATGATCATGTTATATGAAGATAATTGCCTTGGAACCTGTTTTGTCGTCGTCATTGTTATTTCTTTATGATGACTATGATGGTTACTGATTCAATTTTTCAAGGTGAATCAAAAAAAAAAAAAAATTCTAGGATTTTTTCTGTTTTGTTTTGTTTTTCTGTCACTGTTTCACTGTTGTATCCGGATTTATTACATTTCAACACACACACACACACAAAAATGGCATTCAATTTCATTCGATGTTGTTCGTGATGTTTTTGACTTGTTTTGAGGGACAAAACAAAACAAAAAACACAAAAGGAAAAAAACATGTTTTTCTTCTCCATCATCATCATCATCATCATCAATTTGATTAGGTCCTTAATCGGTTTTTGTATTTGTTGTGTTAATCAATGAATGATGTAATATGGCTGTTTTGTGTTTGATAATCATAAAGGTGTTGATGATTATTTTCCCTCATTCATTCATTTGATGATGATTTTTTTTATCCAATTTTTTTCCACTGAAAAATTCATGTAATTGATGATTACGATGATGATGATGACAAGGAAAAATTATTTTTGTTTGTGATCCAAAACGAAACCACCGACAACAACAATCATCATCATCGATTGATGAGTGCTAAAAATATCCAGAAAAAATTTTTTCATTCAATTTTCAATCGAAACATGTGTAACCTTAATCAATTATCTAGTAAAATCGAAATCTAAATTGAATCAATGAATGAAATGGCGGAAAAAATGACCATCTTAACCTGTTGACGGTTATTAATGATGATGATGATGATGATAATAATAATTTATATACGATTAACGGTTAATTTTTTTTTCTCAAATATATATTCAATCTATGTCGAATGTTATTGGCCAGCAACAACCAAAAAAAAACTTGTAAAGTTTCTCAATATTTTCGTTCGTTCGTTTGTTTGTTTCACCAGTGTTGTGTGTTTCCTTATATTCAAATAATTCATCCTGATGATGGCTATCCGGTTTTTTTCCCGCTATCCATCGGGTTAATTTTTTTTTTTTTTTTGATATTAAATGGTAGAGAAAATGGAGGGGAAAAAAATACCCGCCTGTCACATACCTTTCCATCATCATCGTTTTGATTTTTTTTTTTTTGCAAAAGTTATATACTTACTAACTCTCAAAGAGTGTGTGTGTGTGTGTGTGTGTCCTGAATACTTGATGCAGCATCTTGTTTATTTTTTATTTTTATTTTTTTCGTTTGTTTGGATTCTAATTGTGTGTGTGTGTGTGTGTGTGTATGTCTGAGTGTTGTTCATTTCATCCATAATTTGGTTTACGGTTTGTTTGGTTGACCTATCAATTTGAAAATTTTTTTCTCTTCATTTTTTTTGTTATTTCTGTGGAAAAACTCCGTGTTTTTTGGCTTTTCTTTTTTAGAAACACCGCTACTTGACCACAATATTGGATCCAAAAAAAACAGATATAGAAAGAGATGTAGATGTCAAATGTTCAAGTTTTATTTCTAATTTTATTTTCCTGTCAGATAGTTATTTGGATTTGATGTAATTTGAAATGAGCACGATGGATTTTTTTTGTTGTGGTTGTTTGTTCGTTTACACACACACACACATTTTAACGGTTACGTATTAATACGAAAATGAAAATGAAATTTTTTTTTCGGTTTATTTACTAAAGAGTATATTGATCCCATTTGATTGTCGTAGTGTTTGTTGGCGGATGTTGTTGTTGATTGTTGATTGTGGATAACCAAAAGTTGATTTTTCTTCTTTGGTCAACATTTTTTTTGTTGTTGTTGTTTCATCATCTCTCTCTCTCTCTGTCTTGTTGTCTTGTCCGCCTGTCTATTAAACATGTCAAATTGAATTGTTGATTACAATGGAATGTCCACCAATGGACGAATGAACGATGATGATGATGATATTTGATTATTCAATTAATCTTACCATATACACTAATCATCGTCATCATCAAACGATCAGATAAATCAATTTGTGTAAATGATAATAAGGAGAAAAAAAAAAAAAAAAAAATGATGCAATGAAAGGAAAAACGAAATTAACGATTGCAGTTTAGTTTTTATTTCAAAAAAAAAATCACCAATGACATACCGCGGACATTGCAGACATTTTTTTTCCATCCGGTATTCAACATTCATCCAAATTGACCAATGTGTGTGTGTGTGTGTGTGTGGTCCACAAACATACCTTGGAATTTTTTTTTTCGTCAAGAATTTTCGAAAACAAATGTAAAACAAAAAATAAACAGCCCTAAAAGCTGAGATCGATCGATCGATTGATTGATTGAAAATTGAGAATTTTTTTGCTTTGTTGCAAATGAATTATTCATTGTTTCTATTATTACTGATTGTGTTGTTTTGTTTTTTGTTTTTGGTTCATGTTTATTCATTTGTTTTCATCATCATCGTTATCTATTTCGACATGAATGATCATCAATCGGATTCGTGTTGTTTTTTTTCATTTTGTCATCATTTGTGATTCCGGTGACGAAAAAAAAATCGAAAATCGAAAATCAAATCAATTAATAATTGATCTATAGATTTGAACAGAATTTTTGTGATTCATTTTTGTTTTTCGGTTCCTGAAAACCTGCTACTACACATCACATTTCTAATTCTGGACTAACGAAAAAAATTCCGTAGAGATTGGAAAAATTTTTTTAAAGCAAAACAAAACAAAAAAAAGAGAATTTACGTCATTGGCAATTTTTTGAAAAAAAAAAAAAAAAAAAGTTCTGCCCAAGTCATTGATCGAGACCATTGGCCAATATAAAATTTGAGAAATATTTCAGGAAATATTTTTACCGAAAAAGTTTCCCAGCGTTAACAAACTAAAAAAAAATGTAATGATAATAATTTGAAGACAAAATCGTATATGGGCATGGTTGACATATCATTATCAAAGACAATCGATAATTGACAGGTTTTTTTTCAATTTCCATTTCTATTGATCTTGATTGAATTGAATTGCATATGTGGGCGGAATTAGGTGTGTGTGTGTGTTTGTGCGTGTTCTAAATCCATTAATCAAATTTGTAATTTTTGAAGACAAAATCGAAATATCAATAAACAAACAAATCTGCTATGTATAGATAGATAGATAGATAGATGTGCGTAGCATTCAATTGATTATTATATGTGAATGATGATTAACGCCAACTCATTGTGTCATTTTTCTGTATGCAGAAAAATTAGAAAACAAGAAAAAGAAAAGAAATATCCATTTTGAATATCAATTTCATTGGCGATATATATAATGATTGTGATTATTAATTGTTGTTGTTTTTCATTGAATTAGGCATTTGGACACAAAGGATGGCCATTCAATTGAAAGGTATGGTTTTGTTTTTTGTATTTTTTTTTGTCAAATGAATTAATTAATTTTTTTTTGCCCAATTCAGGCAATCATATGTGGATATTGGATGGTGAAACAAATGATGTTGTTGAACGTTTTCCAGTTGCATTCATACAACAGCCAACATCATTTAATGATCAGAATCATATTTATAATAATATATTGATATTCACTGTACAATTACCAAATGAAAATCAAGGTGAATTACATATATTTCAATGTGTATCACATGATGCTATCAATGTTGTTGATGATATCTATCATTGGATGCGACATTATGGTATTATGGTAGCCAATCATAATAATAATCATAATACGACAGGTAAGAAAAGAATTGACCAGTATAAATTTGAAATTGAAAATTTAATTGATTTTTTTACCTGTTTATCATGATGAAAGTAGAGAAAAGCCATAATAACCATCATCATCATCATCATCATTCACCTCATCATCATCATCATCATCCGCATTCACATCCATCTGGACCATCAAGTAATGTTAATGTTAAGGAAGCTGTCAATGCATTTAATCAGATTGCAGCACAAAGAGAAAAGTAAGAGTTTTTTTTATAAATTTTGAAAGTAAAAAAAACAAACATGATTTGACCACGTTTATTTGTTGCCACACACACACATGTACACAAACAGGAAAGGAGCTTCAAATGATTCAATTCATCATTTACCAGCAACTGGAACAACAACAACAGGAGCAGGATCAGCGGCAACAACATCCGGTACATTAATTGTACAAGATTTAGATTCACGATCAGATTCATCGTCATTTGCTGAACGTGAATCAGTACCGCAACAACAACAACAACGTCAAGAAATGTCATCACCACAATCACAAAGCCATCAACATCATCATCATCCACATTCAAATGGCAATTCACATAATCATCATCATCGAACACATGAAATGAATGAGGTAAAATCTTGTTTTATTTATCTGTTGAATAATTTTCATTTCATTTCACATCCAGAACTATTCAAATGAACGTTATGTATCCATATTGAATCATTGTTTTGACGATATTGAAAGATTCATTATACGTTTACAACATGCAGCAGCAGCATTAAGAGAATTACAGATACGTAATCATAAACGTGGAGGTTGGTCATCATTTTTTTTGTTTGTGATTTTCATTTAAATTTTGTTTTTTGTCGTTGATGTTTATCATTTATGTGACCACAATACAAAAAAAAAAAAACAAAAGCCAAAGGATCTGGTGATGGATTGCTAGCCATACGTGCACGTGGTCCATGTGAAGAAGAATTTTTTGAAATTCTTTCCAAATTTAAATTAGCATTTAATTTATTAGCCAAATTAAAAGGATGTATACACGATCCAAATGCACCGGAATTGGTACATTTTCTTTTTACACCTGTAAGTTGATTTGTTTGGTTGATTGAAATTTGAATTAATTTTTGTTTTGTTTTGTTCATTAATCATTTATAGCTTGCCATTATAATTGAAGCTGCACGTGCAAATGGTATGTAATCAACAACAAAAAAATGATTCGATTTATATATAATTAATCATCATCAATATATTAGAGCCACCAGTAGATCCATCTTTAGTTGGAATTCCATACCTAAGTCCTGATGCTATTGAATTATTGTCAAATTGTTGTACAAGTAAAGAATTTGATCTTTGGCAATCACTTGGTAATAATTGGATACAATCGGTCAAGGTTAGTTTGATTATTCCATGTATATGATTGATTGATTGATCGATTGATTGGATATTTATAGCATGTTCGTATGACAAGTCCATTTCAACCAATATTTACCGATGGTTGGGCACCAGCTATTACTGAACCAGAATTATTGGGAATAATAGTTCCAACATCAACATTGATGGCCAATGAAATTGATACAGATCAAGAAGAAATCATTACATCACGATCATCATCCATGCCAAATAATAATAATAAATCTCGTAGTCATAGTCATCCGACTAGTTTTGATGATAGTGATTATGAAGATCAACAAAATAATAACGGTGATAATAATCCTCGAATCATTGCTCATCATCATCAACATCATAAACACAATTCATCAACACGAAGTATGTCATTCATTCATCTAATTTGCATAAAGAAACAAAAATTTTTTTGTTTTGTTTTGTTTTTGTTTAGCAACACCAACATCACATAATAATAATCATCATCATCAACAACAACAACAACAACATGGCCATCGACCATCACCATCGCCAATCGATTCAATTGATCGTGATGATCAATCACCATCATCATTATCAATGGCAATGGCGGCCAATATCATCATCATCATCATCATCATCATAACAATGGTAATGGTAATAATAATGGTCATGAAACAATTGATTCAGAACAAATGGAATGGTTATCTGAATTACAATCAAGGAATGCAACGAAAATTGTACGTGTACTATTTCCACGTACAGCTAATAATAATAAAGAGTTGACTGTAACAAGGTTTGTTTTCCATATAGCACATATTTTGATTTTGAAATTGAACAAAAAAAACATGCTAATTATGATTTTTCAATACATATGAATTAACATAAAAAAATTATCAGAGGTGAAATCCTAGAAATACTTGATGATTCACGTAAATGGTGGAAAGCAAGAAATTCACGTGGCCAAATAGCCCATGTACCACATACGATTGTTGGTGAAATTGAATCAAATATGTTGATGATGATGCCTGGAGCGGCTATCAATAATCATCATCATCAAATTGCTGGTCCATCTACATCATCAACAACTTCCGTTGGTGGACATAATCATCATCATCATCATCATCAACAACATCATGGACAATCAACATCGATGATGATGACACAAGATGATTGGATTCGTCGTGAACGTCAAGGTAAAAAAGGAGAATTTCGATATTTTTGAATAACGGGATAATTTGATGTGTCACTTTCACCAACTACTACTTGTCACATCATCATCATCAACAATTTGGCTTTTGGCTTCAAATTTTTTTTTCTTCATTGTTTCATTCTATCCCACCCCCGCTTTTTTATCATTCAGTACAAAATGATGCTTTAATTTTTGTTCCCGATCTGTTTTGTGTGTGTGTGTGTTGAATTGAATTTTTTTTTCTTTCATTGAAAACAATTATTTATTTAGATTTTTTTTTCTAAAAGGCAACAAAAAATGATTAAATTTTATTAAAATTTTTGAAATTCACATGAAATCATGTCCATCTGGTGGCAGATAATTTCATCAAGCCATTAAACAATCGAACGGTTTTTTTTAGTTTTAAAAATGTTCATCATTTATTCAATTTCAAATTAAATTAAAATAAAATAAAATGAATAATATGCAAATTCAAAGGCGTTATCATCGTAATCATCATCATAAATCAATTATAATCATTTGTTGTTTTAAAATTTTACGTTTTTTTTTTGATAATAATAATAAATGAAAAAAAAAAATCAAAGGAAGATATCAATTTTTGTTTTGTTTTGTCGTTTTTTTTAAAATGGTTCTTATACCATTTGGTTTTTTGTTTATATATATAGTGGGTATTGTGTATGTATTATTCTTATAAATCGAGATTCACACAGATTCAAAAAGATGAAAAAAATTCTTTTAAAAAAAAACAACAAAGATATTTGAGCGCTCATTGTCATCACTCCATTGTTGTTTATCGAGATTTTTGTTGTTTTCATTTTGTTTGTTTTTTTTTGTTTCATAATTACTTGTTTTCTCTAGTGGATTTCGTTTCAGGATTATTAGTTAGTTATTTTTATCAATCAAAATCATATAGTAAATGATGACTAGACGAAATCAATGGAAATTCATTTTTTTTTTCATTTATCAATACCGGGGATTGCTGTTTTATTATCATCAACTGATAAATTAAGTTATTGTTTTCTAATTCGATCCATTCAATGTGGCTAATGTTGCTGCTGTTGCGGCTGTCAATGCATTCATTTCATTCAAAGCGGCTTCTTCCAATTCTTGTTTCAATGAATTTTCCGGACTAATTAGACTGCTACGTTTATGTGCATAATTTGTTGTTGTTAATGTTGATGGTGGCTTTGGTACAGCAGTATTTGCAGCAGTACCATTACTTATGCCATTTTTAGTTGCAGTCATGGTTGATGATGATTTAGGAATTTTCGGTACAGATTTTTTCACATCATTTTGAGTATTATTATTACGAACACCTGTTTTAGCCGTAGCGGTTGTTGTTTTTTTCAATGTAGATGACATGGTTGTGGTCGTTGTTCGTTGCTTCGATAAGTTTGTTGCCGCTTTTGAAGCCGTGGTACCTGGTGTTGTGGTGGATGTTTTGGTAGTAGCAGCTGGACGAATCGATCCAACTTTTGTTGCTGTAGTAGAAGTTGACAGTGGTTTTCTTGCCGCAATACTATTGCCAGTTGAAGCGGAAGTTGACAGTGGTTTTCTTGCCGCAATACTACTGCCAGTTGAAGCGGAATTTGTCGATGTTTTTGGTTTCAAAGTTGTTTTTGGTACCGCCGTCGTTGTAGCACGTGTAGTTTTTGGTGCGGTAGTCAAAGTTGAAGTGGTAGCCGGTTTATTCAATGTAGATTTAGCAGTTGTGGCCGTAGTCTTCAACGTTGTTGTTGAACGATTTGTCAAAGCTGTTCGTGATGGCTTAGCGGCAGCAACTGTAGTAGTTCCACTTGTAGTTGTCGTTCTAGTTGATGCAGTTGGACGATTTGTTAAGCCAGTGGACCGATTAGTCGATGTCAATCGAGATGACAATGCGGTACTTGTCACCGGTTTTTTATCACCAGTTTTAGTTATTGCTGCCGGTTTGCTTCCAGTTGTTGTTTTTGTGTTATTTGAAGATTTAGTAGCAGTTGTTAAACGAGATGATACTGCTGGACGAGTGGTAGCCGTTGTTTTTGGTGCTAAAGTTTTTGTACCAGCAACAGTTTTGTTATTCGATGTTTTACCTGTTGTCGTTGTTGTTGTTGTTGTTGATGGAGCAGCGGTTTTGATTGTTGCTTTTGATGGAACAGTACTTTTGACAGGAACAGTAACAGGAGCAACAGAAGCAGGTATAGTTTCTGAAGTAACCACGACTGGAACTTGTTCCAAAACTTTTTCTGGAATTTCCTCTACTTTCGAAACAATTTCTTTCTTTTCATCAACTGCTAATGGTTCAACCAAAGGAAGCTGAACTTTATCTTCATTCAATACTGATAACGGAGCCACTGAATATTCATCCAAATTAGTCTCCACAAATTCAGGTACAGATCTTTTAACTCGATTAACATCATCATTATTATCACTCATATCAATTACAGGTGATGATGATTCCGATATGAGCATTTTAGAATCTTCAATATCATTGACTATTTTATCGTCTAATTTGCCAAATAAATCTCCATTAGGAATAGATTTGTCATCATTATTCAGATCAATAATACCATCACTGATGTTTTGGGAAACTGGTGCTTTAATCTCATCGGTATTTTGTAATGAAATTTTCGATAAGTTTTCAACAACAATATCATTCATTTTTTCTTCGTGGCTAGTAGTATTCATTGATTGTTGAATATCATAATCATCATTAGTAATAACAGTGGCAACAGCAGCAGCTTGAGCTTGCGGAAAATCGGAATCAATCAATTTTTCATCCAATTTAGGATCATTGTCCATTTCAAATAATTGTGATCCAATAGTTGTTGTTGTTGTTCTATTATCCAAAATAGATTCATGATACTGTTGTTGTTTAAAATCATTAAATTCTTGTTGTTGCTGTTGTGGTTCATTCAATCCAAAATCATTAGCATCATCATCACCTTCGATTGGATCGATAATTTTTGCTGGTAACTTTGAATCATCATTAATGTTATTTTCAAACATTAGGTCTGATTTTTCATCATTTGTAAATTGCTAGATTTAAAAAAAAATGAAAAATTCATTATTTATAATGGTTTTCATGCCAAACATACCTGTTCATTATAATTATCCAGCTCTTGTTGTTGTGGTGGTGTTGGTGATGGTGGTTGATGATCATATAATAATCCAGATTCTAATTGTGAATTCATCAATAACATTGGTGTTATCAATGAACCAGGTAAATTTTCCATCGGTTTTGTATAATCTGTTTGAATCATCAAATCATTGGATTCATCATTGAATGAAATTTGATTGGCAAACATAAAATCATTCATCATCACTGCACCGGTATCATTATTATTAGCAGAATCATTAATTGGTGAATTAATCAATGTTGGATCAGTAAACGTAGATAATGGAACTTCATTTGAATCAATTGTAAAAGAATGATCATCCATATCCATAATATTGCTACCATCATTATTAATTGGATATATTGATGAAGTATCAATAATTGTTGTATTTGCCGAACTATTTTCAAATGGATTAACACTCGATAGATTCGCTTGTTGTTGTTGTTCAATCGATTCAAATGATTCAAATGGATTATTTCTATTATTATTCTCCATATTATTATAATCATTACTATCTGCTATTACATTGTTAACATTGAATGATTCTGATGATGATTGACAAATGAAATTCATTTCATCCATTTGTTGTTGTTGTTGTTGATGATTTTGTTGTTCATCATCATCATCATTAACAAGGAGTGGTGATGGTGGTGGTGGTGGTTGTTGTTGTTGTGGTTTACTAATACTATTATTATCATCTTCATCATCATCATTATTATAATCAGGTAATAATGTTTTTTCCATTATTAATTCTTCTCTTTCAGCTTTGTTTTCGTATTTGTCATCACCAATACAGATAATGTTATTTTCGTTGTTGATTTTTAGTTGTTGCTCATCAACAATAATCTCGTTACAATTACCGGCATCGATTGATGCCATGTTATTGTTTTCAGTTGTGGTTGTCGTTGTTGTAGCCGGCACGAAATCTATAATAAATCACCCAACGAATAGAGAGAGAAAAAAAGAAAATTAACAATTATGAGAGAAAGAAATGCAAAAAACTTGATTTGATTAGAACAGCAAAAAAAAAAATTTCTTTTGAACAGAAAAAACAACGAACAATGACATACATTGATAATTTCTCTATATATTCATCAAAACCAAACCAAAATCTTTGAATTGGATGAATGATTTGATTTGAACTTTTGAAAATGAGCTGTCGTTTTTGTTTGCCTGTAGCGCTGATGTGTTTAGAAAAATGAAATTTTTTTCTTTTGATTTGCGACTTGAAACAAACAACATTCAAAAACAAATCAAAAATAAACTAAAAAATTTATTTATGATGAACTTGAATAATAAAATGTGATGCGTATATATTTTATAAGCGAAGAGCGCGTGAGCGCGCGCGCGTTTTTTTTTCACAATTTTTGAATCAAAAATCAAGATGATGATGATTATGATTGTATCAATTTCATAGCAGTCTAAAGATCATAAGATCACCAGGAGACAAAAAAAAAAAAACAGCATGAATATGCATTCACATACGATGACAGCCTCTCCCTATATAAATTCTCTATATAGATATTTACAAAAAATCTGTTGATTCTTGAATAACAATCTTCAAGAAGATTCTACAAACACACACACATACGCCACTGCCACTATCTTTCTTTGGTATTTTTTTTTTTTTGCAGGTAGGGTAATAAGGCGTCGAAAGATTATCACACCACACACTACAAACACATTACCATAAAAAAAACACCAAAAAAACCAGAAACGATATAAATAAAATAATCAAAAAAAACCAAAACAACACTAAAACAACACTAAAACACACACGCCAGGCTAGACCATCAGGACAATCAACTTTACACACTGTGTGTGTGTGTGTGTGTGTGTGTGTGTGTGTGTGTGTGTGTAGATCAAAAGCATTCATCCATCAATTTTTTGTTGTTCTGGTTTCCACCTCCTAATTTGGAGAAGGATTTTTTTTCAAAAAATAAAAATTTAATGGCTTTAAAAAAAACCAGAAACCTGAATCCACAACAACCAGAGCCACCACCAACACCACTACACTACATTAAACCAATCATCATCTTCATAATCATCATCATCATTCATTCATCCATCCATCAACAAATAAAATTTCAACAAGCAGCAACTGGATGGCATCTACTACTACTACTACTACTACTACTTGTGGATAGGAAACTTGATTTTTGAATTCAAAAAAAAAAAAATTACTTATTGTTATTGAAATATATATAATTCTCATCATCATCATTCACCATTACCCACATAGGATAGAGCAAGAGAAATGAAATGAAACGAAACGATTTAAATTATTATTATTATTATTCACACACATACATATAAAACATTCAAGAAAATAAAACGATTCCGAAATAAACCCATCATCATCATCATCATCATCATGATCATCAAATGTCATCCATCACACATAAACCATAAACATTTTTCTTCCATCTATCTATCTATCTGTCACAAACTCAAACAACAACAATCGTAATTAGGTTCTCTTTTCGTTTGTTTCTGGATGTTGTTGTGTTGTTGTGGTTATTGTTGATGATGATGATGAGAACACATTGTTAGATTCTTTTCTGTAATTTCTTTTTTTTTCTATGTACTATAATCATCTATATATACTCTACTGGTGAATAATAATTTAGTTTATATTCATTCATTCATTGTTTTTATAAAGGTGTAGGTGGTGGGTAATGGTTGATGGCCATGGTGGTGGTTGTTGTTGTTCAATTGTCAAATCTTTAAATATTGAGCTCGCTTTTTTTCAAATAGGTAGTTTTTGATAGAAGAAAAGAAAAAGAAAATCATTAAAAATAACTTACCAAATTCATCTTGACAACGTTCATCATCACCAAGATCATCGCTTTCATCATAGTTGTTATTATTTTTATTATTATTAATTGTTGTTGTTGTTTCGAATGTATTTAATTCATCTTCGTCATCATTATCATTAAATTTCATTGGATGTTCTTGTCGTTGTTCAAATTGTTGTTGTTGATGCTGTTGTTCATTATCAATAATTTTTGATTCTGATTCCATTACAATCATTGATGATGACGATGATGATGATGATGATAAAGATTCCATATTATCGATTCGATTATTCAAATTTTCCATAGTATCGATCGTATCGGGAACAATCGATTCGGTTGTAGGCGTTGTTGGTGGTTGTTCTGGTGGTACTGGTGTTGTTGATGATGATTCAACAATATCCATCGGTGATGGATTTTCATTCGATGTCAAACGATACTTAGTTCCAATTGGTAATTCAGAAAAATCTGTATATGGAAAATGACCACCATTTTTTGTGGAAAGTGATGCTATCATTGACAGATTGCCATCAGAATCATTAGTTAAATCCATTTTTTCTTCTGATTTTACAATTGATTCTTCATCATGATTAGTCATTGTTGTTGCCGTAGATGGAAATCCAGTGGCAACCAATTGTTCAAATGGTTTGAAGAAAATAACAATCGATGTAATATTATCACCAGAACCTTCTTGGATAGCCTGTTCGGATAAGTATGCCGATACTCCAGCAATAACCGTTTCTGGATCATTATTTTCATTTTTACATAGATATTCAAATACATGTGATGTAATATCTTGTCCATTCAAATGATCAAAAAGACCATCACAACCAAGCACAAGAAAATCTAATGATTGATCAATTTCAAATGAAGAGAAACTTGGATCAGCAATAATTAATGCTTTATGTTCTGGATCACCAATAGCACGTGTAACCGATAGAATACCATTTACACGCCATGTATCCATATAGATAACAAGGCCACCTTGATCCTGTATACGAATCCTTTCACTTTCCATATCTGGTTTATGTGGTAACATGATCTCTTCATGGCAACCATTACGAACTAATACAGCCTATATATGTGGAAAAAACCAGAATCGATTAGTCATTTAGAATTAATTAATCAAAAAAAAAAATTGCCTGAGAATCACCAGCCCATGCTAGATAAACGGTTTTATTATCTTCAATAAGTGCACAAAGTGCTGTAGTACCGGATGGTTTCAATTTATCAACACCATCTTCACGTAAACGTTTTATATACAGTTCATCTGTTTTATGAAATGCTTCACGAAATGCTTGTTCCATCATATCGCCACCATTTATAAATGCATCACTTTCAACCAGATAATGATGTAAATGTGCCGTTGAATAGCTAGCAGCATCAATACCAGCATGACCATCAAATATTGCATAATAGCTATAGGTTTTTGGTAACTAGAAACAAACAAAAAAAAACAATCAATCAATCAATGAAACAACAACAAAAAAATTTTCCAGTAACACCAGAATTCTTACCGTTAAACCTAATGCTTTATTCAAATTCTGTATAATAATATGTCGATCTTCCATTGATTGTCGTCGATTTTTGATAGCCGAAACAGATGTTGTAAATGGTAATATCATCGATTGATTGTTATTATTTGTCATTTCATTTTTAGCCAAAGAACCACCACCACCACCATCATCATCATCATTCACAGCATTATTATTATCCAGATAATCATTGACCATCGATATGGCACGATCTGGATTATTACCCAAATCATCAAGACATTCATCCATCAATTCACGTGATTGACGTGATAAATCCACTGAACAAAGTGCTGTAGACATAAAGAAAAAAAACACAACAAAAAAATAAGAATAAAACAAAACAGAAAACAAAATAAATTCTCCATACATTCATCATCACGATTAATTTTGCGACGAAAATTTGGTACGAAAAAAAATATTCGTAAAAAAAATGATTTCAATAATCGTATGAATGAAAACATTTTTTTTGTTTCATCTGTCATCGGTCGTTGTCATCAATCAATCAATCAATCAGAAAACAAACACAAAACCTATATACAGGTGACGTGTGTGTGTGTGTGTGTTTGTTGGTGGCAGTATGACCAATATCGAAATGTATCGATTTCATCGAAACAAACGCACACACACACATCGACACAGAGACAGACAGACATAAATATGTGTCTCAAGTCTAACTTAAAATTCTTTTTTTTGTACAAAAATAATCAGTAGCCATTATTATTATTATGATTAAAATGACATGAAAAGGGGGCAAAAACAACAAAAATCGTATCGATATACCTGTTATTTATTTTTTCGTTTCGTTTCATTTCATTTATCCATATTTAACCGGTAAGAGATTTGTTGACAAATGAAACGAAACGAACACAGAAACAATGAAATGAAATGGAACCAGTTCACACACACACAGAGAGAGTGTGTGTCATAGATGATTGACATTTTTTGTTTTCATCTACATCAATTATAAACACACACACAGTAAGAAAAAAACTGGAGATCAGATAATAACAAAAAAAAAGTTTAGCTACTAAAACTATCAATCAAGTTGACTAATTTTTGTTCAAATGAAATGTGACTCCAAAAAACATGCACACAGATAGACAGATAGATTTTGTCGCAAAATATTGATTTTCATGCATCATCCAAAAGAGAAGAAAAAAAACGAGTTAATTTGATTAATATACTAACCACCAGTTGATAATGAAGATCGTTGTTCCATAGATGGGCCACCAATCGTTGTTGTTGTTGATGTTGATTGATTATTATTATCCATCATCATCATCATTGACATTGAATCGTTCATCATCATCGTCGTTGTTGTTGATGATGATATTGTTGGTGATGATAATGCAGGTGATTTGTCCATTTGTAATTCGTCATAATTGTTATTATTATTATTCAATTGATGATTATTGTTGTTGTTATTGTTATTATTAATCATCAACGAATGATTAAATTCATTTATAATTTCTTGACTCATTCTGGTGGCTATTTTGATGGCAACAATTGTAGCTAGTTCAATTGGACAATTTCTGTAGTTTTTTTTCATGGTAAAAAAGAAAAAAAATTTTATTAATAAAAAAAAATTCGACAATTTAATTCAATTCCAATGAAATTCAATTGAATTGAAAACGACAACAACAACAACAACGACAACAACAATTTGTTGCTTGGTTAACCAAACAAACAAACCAAAGTGGAATGATTGCCAAGAAGAAAAAATTGATATTAATTCAAATTGTCAAACACACACACACACAGTACAATCGACAACAGCAACAGGTATTATTTTTTTGGCAATGGAAATGTTTGTTTGTTGTTTATGAATTTTTTTTTGTCTTCATTTTAATCATAGGTTTGCGATATTTATTTTTATTTTTTTTTTTTTGTTCACTGAAAAAATATATATATGTTATCCACCAACCTGAATATATCCAAAAAACGAAGAAAAAGGATTTTTCACTCCGCTAGTAAGCCAAAGAATGAATGAATGAATCATCAACCATTAAATATAAATCATTCCTTTTCCTTCCACTAATTCTACGGCGTAGGTTTAATTTGATGAATAGACTTTTTTTCTGGGTGGTGGTGTTGGTGTTGGTGGTGGCAGCGGTAGCAACAGTCTCTCTATCTCCATCTCTTGCATTGAAATTCCAAATAATGATGATGATGATGATAATTATCATTAAGCAGAAAATTGAATTTAGAAATTTCATTTTGAAAGAAAAAATTTCTGTGTGTACAGATGTTTTTTACTATTTTGTCATCAATGGTAGCCCTCAATTGTCATCATCATCATCATAATTTAAAACAAAAACAAAACAAAAGACTAGAGCAAAACAACAAAAAAAATGAACACAGACACACACACACACACATATGGAGAAAGAAAATTAAAGAAATGGACAACGACCACTATAAAAAATGACTTTTATCTCATCATCATCATCTATTTCTTCATTATCTATCCATCTAATGTAATGATAATAATCTTCTTTAATATTGAAAAAAAACATCACGAATAGAAAATAAAAATGTTGACCAACAGGGAAAAATCTAAAATCTCAAATGATGCACACACACACAGTGTTAAATTATTATTTTTATTGAAATTCAATATTAATAAAGGTGTGATACATCAAACTATATTAACCCGTTTACACCATGTGTGTGAGAATGATCCAATTTTTCCCTTACATTTTTGTTTCATTCTACTTGAAAATTTTCATTTTCTCAAAAGTTCACAAAAAAAATGATGAAAGTTGACATCGTTAAAAATGATTTTATCATCATTGTAGTTCACACACACAGACAAACACGACAACAAAGTTTAATTGTCATACGGAAATTGTTTATGTTGATTGAACGATATGTGTGTGTGTGTTAAGTATTTACTACTGCACACCGAAAATCCTAAAATCATGAAAATCAAGTCGAAAATTTTTTTCAGGCACTAAAAAAACGTGGTTTTTGTACGTCGATTGGTAGGTTAATCCTTTTTTCATCATCATCACTGATTAATTCAATTGATTTCGAAAGAATTTTTCAAGAAAAAAAATTATCATTTAGACGTGATCATGGCTGATGCTGATGCTACTGCTATACATTCAGAACGAAGGGTTAGACAAATTTCTAATGAAACAACAACAACAACGAAAAATGAAAATGAAAACTTGTATCGAATGGTTAATGATAGGTTTGCTGTTGTTCGATTAATGAGGTTATTTTGATGAAAGTGGATGATGATGGCCACGAAAAGAACAAATTGTTCATCTGTGTAATAGAAAAAAAATAAATTTCATTTTTCTTTCAAGGCAATTCGCATTGCCAAATTCAAAAAAATTGGATAGATATAATGAACTTTTACCAATAGCAACAAAATATTCGAACGAATTTTTCAGAAAAAAAACAATTGGCCACATACACACAAATGGTCAATTGAAATTGAATTTGATATATTAAATACTAATGTTACAATAGCCAAATTCAAATAGAAAATACTGTTATTAGCCAGATGAAAAGACAGAGATTGCCATTTAATCAATTCAATGACAATCGGTAAAGATTTGGTAAAGACGTGGATCATTATTTGATACGATGACATTGATATACTGTTTTCTCACCATTTTCAAGAGAAAAAAAAACAAGACAATAAACTTGTTTTCATCATCATTATTATCATCATCATAATCAACATCAATGTCGATCAAAAATCAGTAATAGAGAAAGAGAAAAAAAAGAATAATTTCATCTAAAATGAGGAAATCATCATCATTATCATTACAGGTCAAAATGATCTATTCGTACTTGAATCTATGATATTATCATCATTACAACAATGGTGGTGACCACACATCGCACCACATCACACATCATAAATCGAATATATACGACAATGACAAACTATTTTCACTTGATTAGAGTGTAAAGAGTGAAAATAGTTTCGAATCAAATACTGTATCCGTTTACTCTCTCTCTCTCTCTCTCTCTCTCTCTCTCTCTCTCTCTCTCTCTCTCTCTCTCTCTCTCTACATAAATTGTCTACTGAACCATGATAGATATGATATTGGATGAGATGAATGGATGGCTGATTTGAATCTAAAGGATATCGGATTCATGTTAAACACTGAAAAAACCAAATATATGGTATGGAGCCAACCTTTTTTTCTTTTCATCATTTTTTCGATCATATACATGAGTGATTTTCATTCTCTCTCTCTCTCTCTCTCTTTCTCGTAGCAACTGGTGTCATGATATGCCATGTCAACAACAACAACAAAAAAGAAGCCGTGATAATTTTGTCGGCGCCGATGCCATCATCATCATCATCAACATGGTTTTTCGGTTCGGTTACCCGCTCATGAATACAGTAGTATTTAGGGAGTGAAAAAGTTTAATTTTAACTGAAAAAAACAACAACGAAATAATTCCTTTTTGAAACGAAAAAAAAATGAAAAATTTAAATAATTTTCCCATATACACACACAACACAACCCAGTCTGGGTCAAAAAACTTGACTCCAAACACACACACAGACACAGAGACAAACAGGGTTAATATAGAAAGAATATTCTTTGATGTAATACCACCACCATTATATAGGTTAGAATAGATTCGAATAAAACAAATTGTTCTGGGTGTGTGTGTGTGTGCATGTTCAATTTTAGATTATATAAACAGAACAGCCGAAAACCAAAAAAAAAAAAAAAAAACTTTCTGGTTCGAGAATATTCTTGCCAACACCAACAAAAATTCAACACTGCGACAAATACCACCAGACAAGCAACAAAAAAAATTGCCGGTAACAGACACACCCGAAAATATCAAAAAAAGGGGAATAAAGAATCCAACAACAACAACAAAAAATGAAAAAAAAATTTTGAAAAATCATCTTACCCAATTTTGTTGAAAGTAATCAAAGAAAATCAAAAACTGTGGTAGCCAAAATCACAAAAAAAAATGAAGAAGAGATGCAATTGTGAGGCAAACACACAACAATAACAAAATTAAATGGTTTTTTTTTTTTTGATCAAAAAATGAAATTCAAGTTTTTTATTTTATTATTGAGAAACGAAAAAAAAAATTTAAAAATTTCACAACATTCAATAACGTCTCTTTTTTCTGAAAATGAAAAATTTTCCTTTATCATTCAAGCACAGGGACGACGATAATCTTTTTTTTTATATATATTATGGAACACACTGATACACAGGCACAAATCAATCAATCAATCAATCAATCGATCAAAAAAGAAGGAAACTCTTTTTTTCAAAAAAAAAAAAAAATCAGTGAATAAAATGAAAATGAAACTCATCGTTTTCATTGATTAAAATCTCCATTAGATAGATGTTATTGTTATTTGATCAAAGTTTTTGTTTTTCAACGTTGCAATATAACATTTATATAATGATTCACAATCGAGAAAGGATAAAAAAAATTCGTTTGATTGCTTGCCGTCATCATCATAGTAAACATCAAACGAAAATAATCATAAAAATACCGGCAATGCGGGCTATGACGACGACACCGAATGAATGGTGATGACGAAAATTGAAGCCAAAAAAAAAGATGATGATGATTTCAATATTATGAAATACTGTCTTCAAATACATGCGTCGTCGTCATCATCATCATCATCATTGCAGACATTTCATACAATGCAGATACTATTCTCTACAACAAACGAAATAGAAAAAAAAGATTGCTACTTGAAAAACACACACACACACACAAATGCTATTTGATACTGGCCAACCAATTGGGAGTCTCTTCAAAATAAAAAAAATTGTTCTTTGTTTCTCTCTCTCTTTTGTTCATCATCAACATCATCATTCTATTTTTTTTGTGTGTGTAATAGGAAAACTGGAGAGGTGGAGAAAGGGTTGGCGCCACGAATATCAAAAATTAGTTTATCGTGTTTGTTTCGAAAAAAACAAAAGACACAATAATAGATGACAATTTAATAGATGACAATTTCAATGGTCTATCATCATTGCAATAAAAAAAAAAGAAGAGCCAGAATAAAATTGGCTACATCTCAATCAATCGAAAAGTAATTGATTGATTGATTGACTCTCAGACAAAAATGAATTTTTTCTAACTTACTTTAGCCATAAAAAATGATATATCCAATCAAATATTTCAGCATATAAATTATTTGAATGTATACGATAATTTGATATTGGTATACCATCGAATGATGAATTTTTTTTATTTTTATTCTTTTTCCGTAATACAACTGTTGATGTTTGCAATGCATTCGCTGTGGTCGGATCAGCAGCCATTAATGATGAAAATATTCTTGATGATGATGATGATGAATCATATGTATTTGATTTCATTGATGATGATGGTGGATTCATTTTTCTATATCGTATTTCACATTGATAATCAATTAGAAATTTTCTAATTCTTTTACATAGTAATGGTGATACATTTGTTGTTGTCGCCATTGTTGTTGTTGATGATGATGACATTATTACGTGTTTATTTTTCACAGTGTATGTAGAGTTGAGTTGATTATTTCAAAAATTCAAATGACGATAATGATGGTGATAGTAGTGGTGGTGGGAAATGGAACAAATTTGAAATTCAAATATAGGCCTATTTTGTAAAATAAAATTATAGAATTGAATTGAATGAAAAAAAAGCAATCAGAAAAAAGACAAATTGGCCACTTACGTTTCGGGATAGTTCAATTTTCCAAAAATAAATTTTTGGCTGTCGTAGCAGCGTATATTTGTTGATGATTGTTGTTTATCGTGATGTTCAATTGACCGATTGTTGTTTGATTACGGTGTTCAATTATTCTAATTCAAATTATTGACTGGATTGTCTGGACAATTTTCTGTGGTATTGTTCCAAAAATATATCAGATTGATTGAAAAATACAACAACAACAACAAAAAACTGGTCACGGTTTCGGAACAATAAATAAAAAAAAGATGGTCGTCAAACAGGCACTGGATGGCAAGAGATGTGTGTGTGTGTGTGTGTGTGAAAATCATAAATTTTGATACAATTATCGTTTATATAAAAATAATAATAAAACTGGACCAATGACCAACAAAAAACAAATCAAGATGATATTTTTTCAGTCAGTGTGTGTGTGTGTGTGTGTGTGTGTGTATGTGTGAAAAAATTTTAAAGCTTCAATGATTCTTGGTATTATATTCATGAAGAAGAGTTTTTCACAATTTGTTGGTTGTAATTATCATTAACATAAAATAGGAATTATTATAATGATGACAAAATAGGCACTTGTTGATTTTATAGTGAAACAACAACAACAACAAAAAAATCAGTTGTAATTACATTCAATAAGGAAAACAACAACAAAAAAAACGAAATCAGTGTGCAATCAACAGGTTGTTGTTGTTGTTGTTGTTGTCAATTGATCGGAATAACAAAACGACATTTGTAGAAGAAAAAAAAAATCATCAAGGCAATTATTATGCAAATTGAAAAAAAAAATTTCAATTGATTTTTTTATGCGTTTCCACTCAAAACGAAAGAAGAATATCGAAAATTCTGCAAAAGAAAAAAAGAATCGATATTTGATTGTTAATTATTGATCACGAATTATTATTATTAAAAAATCATACCTGAAACAAAACAAATCTGATTGTGTTATAATATATTTATCAAAAGGTAGAAAAAAAATAAATTTGACAATGAGAAACATATAAAAATGTATTGTGACCATTAATCAACAATGATGATGGTGATGAGCAAATGAATGTTGTATATGTGTAATAAAAAAGGCACCAAATACAATGGAAAAAAAAACGTAGAAAATTTTTTTCGTGAGTTAAAAAAAAAGGGCAAATGTTTCGCTTTTGTTGTTATTTCATAAACAGGTGATGATTAGTCAAAAAAGAAAAAAAAATTTAAAACACACACACACATGTCTATTGTTTTCTTGTTCATCATTGATAAACATTTGATTGATTTTGTTGAGTATTGATTTTTTTTTTACTGTCATCGATTAATTCATTTATAGGGTGTGATAATTTGATGATGATGATGATGATGAGCATTTAAAGTTTGATTGGTAAAACATCATTTTGGGTGCTTATATACACGATTCGAATGTTTGAATTTCATGAAAACACAGCCTGTTTTGCTGCTGTTGCCAATATCCAATTAAAACCAAACAAACACTGTACTGTTATGAGTATTAATTGACCATTTTATTGATCTATTGATTAATCGATTAGATTTTATCAATGATAAAAAAAAATTTGTTTATTTGTCTTGAAATGAAAATTTGGAAAAAAAATAAAAATAAAAAAAAAAAAACAATAAATGTTTGGATCATTCATAGAGATAATGACATATTTGTATTCTACTTTACTCAATTCTCGTTTTTAATCCATTATTCAATGAATTTTCATTTGATTTTAATTCCATTAAAATTATAAATGTTTAAATGAATTTAATTAGCAAAATTCATTGAATTTTTCGTTGAAACAATTATCAAAATGGAATTTTCAGCATTTTTGTTGTAACATTCTATATGACGGGCCAATCGAATTCATTCATGTGTGCGTGCTTGTGTGTGTGTGTGTTGAAGTTGTTGTTGGCAAAAGAAAAAAAAAAGCTTGCCACTGTCTTTTCCTTTTCCCTATGCGTGTTCACTGTGTGTGTGTGCGTTTGGTTTCTGTGTGAGTTTTACATGTGGTATGTTTTTTTCCAATTCTAAAAATTTTCAATTAAAAATTCCACTAATTTCATTGATTTTTTTTCCACTTACAGATTTACGAATCGAAAACTTTTTCATTGGATAATCGAATTCAGTCCAAAAAAAAAAAAATCAATCATGCATCTATTTGTCAAAGGCCTTTCAGGCACTTTGATTCTCAGTGCAAAACCAACGGACACTGTTGCCAGAATTAAATCCATTATCGAAATAAGTGAAGGTGTTGAAGCCATCAAACAACGATTAAGCTATGGTGGTCAACCACTGGAAGATTCTGAAACATTGGAATCATATGGAATTGAAAATGATTCAACAATTTTCGTTACATTAGGTTTGTTGGGTGGTGCTAAAAAACGTAAAAAGAAGAATTATACGACACCAAAAAAGAATAAACACAAGAAAAAGAAGGTCAAGCTGGCCGTGTTGAAATTCTATAAAGTTGATGATAATGGTAAAATCACTAGACTTCGTCGTGAATGTGAAAATAAAGAATGTGGTGCCGGCGTTTTTATGGCCAATCATGCTGATCGTCATTATTGTGGACGTTGTGGTCTTACATTGGTCTACAATAAACCAGAAGATAAATGAACACATCATTTACCACACACCACCACCATCGAAACGATTCATTTTTCTTTTCACATTCTTAATATAAAACGGTTTTTCTATAAAAAAAATGAAATAAAATTCTGGATTTAAAAAATGAAAATAAAATTTTTTATTTTGGAAAAAAAATTTTTCAATCTTTGTTATGTTGATCTTTTGGATCATCAATACGTCGAAATACAGCATGCCAAATTTGGCCACCATTACGTGTTACTTTTTTTCCTTCTTCAGTTAGTGTAAATTTTTTGACCACCGGATCATCATCATTATCCGAATCCTGGACTTGAATGAATAATGGATGATCATCAAAATGTTTATACATCCAATCAAATAATTCTTTAACATCGGATGCAAAATAAGCACGGCCATCGATACGTAAAAAATATGCATATTCAGTCAACAATTGTGGACTAATAATACGCCATTTATGTTTTTGTTTTTTAAAATGTGGATCAGGAAATAGGAAAAATATTTTCGATAATTGTGATTTGTTGAAAAAATTTGGCATATATTTCATTGCATTACTACGTATACAATTGATATTATTATATTTGCCTGGATTTTGTACACGTAATGCACGTATACGTTCAACAACATAATCGGATACTTTTTGTCTGATTTCAATGCCTGAAAAAAAAAACAAAAATGAGTTTTATGTGATATTTGAAAGTATTTCAAATTACCCAACATTAATGATTCAGGATATAATGATGATAATTCAATCAATAGGCCACCATAACCACATCCAATATCAAGAAATTCTACTTTTGATCCATTCTCATTATTCATATACAATGGATAAAATGATGACCAATCAACATCATCCGGGGTTATTGGATAATCATCGAAAAAATGATCAGCAATTGGATTTGAATGTGCACGTTGGCGATAATAACGTTTCTGTGGCAGACATACTGACAATGATGATGATGATGATGATGATTCTGGTGGTGGTTTTTGTTCAATACTTGTAGAATATTCGGTCATTTTTTTTTACAGAATAAATCTTTGAAAAAAAAAATCAAAACAGAAACATCAGAAATCTTATGCACATTGAAAACATGCATGCATTCGATTCGATATTTGTGTATATACACACATATACACTAATGACATCTGGTGGCCATTTATGATACTTTGATTTTTTTTGAAAAAAAAAATTTTAAAATTTTGAAAATTCTCAACATTCCATTGTTTTTTGAAAATTGATTTTTTCTCTCTCTTTCTCACTAATTTTCTTGATTGTTTACAATCAGGATTATTAGTGTTTATAAATAGAACACATCCGTCACGTAGCTATAGATAAGTTGACACTTTACGATTTATTAAAAATCAAAATCAAAAAAAAAAAAAAAAAATTATTCAGCTGATGTCACAGATGATTAAATTTTAATCAAAAAAAAATAAAAATCAGATGAAATTCATTTGTCAAACATCATCATGATCATCATCATCGTTTTTGTTTGCCAAAATTGAAAAAAGAATTTATGAAAAAAAAAAAAAATAAATAAAACACGGAAAACTCGTTTAGTACGCGCATCAAATTTCAACCCATAACAACAACAACAACAACAACAAAACGATGAAAAATTCTTGGCTTCGTCTATTTATTTTTTTTTTGTTCTTGCAAAAATTCATTTCATTATCATCATCATCATCATCATCATCTGATATGATAAAAAAAAATGGCAACAAAATTTCAATGGTAACAATTTTTATATTTATTAATCAAATGCTCATTAAAAACAACAGACACACACACACACACATGACGGAATCGAATCATTGTCATTATCATAATTTTCATGAAAAGCCCTTATAACTATTTCGACACACACACACACACACACACACACTAATTACCTTTCCGAATGAATGGAACATGAAAAGAGAGAATTTTTTCTCGAATCCAATGTGTCGTTGTTGTTGTTGTTCAGACAGACGGTGCGGTTATAATTACATTGTAATTCATCATTAATTTCCAAGAAACAACAAGAATCCGACAACCAATGGAATTTTCATCATGATGATGGTGGTGGTGGTGGTGGTGGTGGTAGCGGTGGTGGTGTTGGTGATGAAATTGGTTATAATTAATTCATTCATTTTTTTTCTATTCTTCAAAAAAAAAAATGAAATTCTCTCTATTTGATGACACAAAAAAACGAGTGTTTATTTTTTCAAGGACAAATTTTTCGAATCAAAAGAATAGATGATTTGTTTATTTATTTTTTCATCGAATTCAATTGTTACTTGTTGTCATCATCAATCTTTACTTTATATACGAGCAATAGAAGCAAAATTACCCAAATTTGGTTAAAGCACACACATACATAAAACACACACACGCACAACAGCAACAACAACAATTCATTTTGACATGGAATGAACAAAAAAAAAAAAAAATCTTTTCGTTCAAGAGAAAAAAAAATTCCTGTTAAAAAAAAATTCTATTCCATAGAATGGAATTAAACAAACGAAAAAAATTTTTCAAACTTTTGTCACAAAAGAATCGATGACCGCCGTTCTCTCACTCGAAATACAAACATTCGATTCTATTTTCACACAAATAGACAGACAACATCATATTACAAACGTTCGATTAATTCTTATTATGGCAAAAAAAAAACGAATTCCATTCACAATCATTATGGTGTCGGTTTTCCATAGTCATCATTTAGCTATTGTTTTCTTTTCTCTCTCTCTCTCTCAACAACAACAACAACAACAAACATCTAAATTTAGCTAAAAAAAAATTCAACTTATAACCATCAAATGATAAAACATTCAATTGTGATATATAATTCCATATAGTGGGTGGTGGTTGGTTGGTTGGTTGGTTGTCATTAAAAAAATGGTAAGAATAAAATTCTTCCTCATACACACACACTTACTTGTATCACAAGGGATAGAATATATATTTTCGAATACCAAATATGGTAATCGAGGAATGATCAGAAAAAAAATCATAATCAGAGTGCAATATTCGGGTATAGAAATTTTATGCGAAAATCTCTTTTTTTGATGTTTTCATTTTTTTTCTCTCGTTTTTTTTATGTTCATGTCGTATTTTTTTTCATCGCCCCCTGCCATCATCATCGGAATCGGAATTAAACACATCGATTGAAGAAGGAAGACAAAAAAAATGTTTGCAAAAAATTCCAAATTGTCCAGCCTCGAAATTCCGAATTCTATCCCAAATCCAACAATTTACAATCATCATCCAATTATATAAAAAAACCATAATAATAATGATGATGATTATCATTGACTTTATATGGTACAAAATATTCTTGATTCTTCAATCATCACTTTATTATTATCATGTTCAATCAAGTGTACGTTTGCTTCTGTTGCTGCTGCTGTTGCCATATTTTTTTCTATACATACAAAAAACCAAGGTTATCATGATGATTGTTTTACGGTAATGAAAAAACAAGAAAAAAAATCGGAAATGCAAATCACGATGAATATAGAAACGAAAAAAAAAATTTCAACTTCTTTTCTTCTTTGATTTCATCATTATTATTATTATTTCATACAAAAAAAAATCATTGCCCAATCAATTGTGTGCAACACATCAAACCGAACCAAAAAAAAAAAAAAAAATTGCAATATGATGATGATGATTATTATGATTATATATGATGACGACGTAACCATCTTGTCGAAATTGTCGATTTTTTCGTTCATCGTTCGTACGTTTTTTTTTGCTCAAATTACACACAGGAAAAAAACAAAAAACTGAAAATTCATCATCATCACCATTGCATTTGAATGCATCACACACACACACACAGAGAGAGAGAGAGAGAATTTGCTCTTGAAAAATAATTCTTTTCATTCTTATTCTTGCACCAACCATCATCCATCCCCCCAACCACACACACACACACATAAACATACTTGGCAATAATTGGCCATGGCATTTAGCCATTCATTTTAAACAGAAAAAACGAACCAATTAGGAACCAACCAGATTAATGTTATGTGTGTGTGTGTGTGTGTGTGCAAGGCCAATTTTTTTTCAATAAATTCGAGGCGATTATAATAATCATCATCATCATCACCATCATTATAATAATTTTATGAGGCGATTTTTTTTTGTTATTTCTTCAAATCCATAGTAGTAGTAGCATTAATGTTTCACATGTGCCAACAACTTGATGATTGTGCTCTGTGTAAAAAAAAAGAATCCATTATTTCAACAAAAAAAAGAAAAAGAAAAGAATAACAGAATACAAAGACAAAAAAAAAATTTTCTTTTTTGGTTGCATCAATTTGATGATGACGCCAAAAACAACAGAAGAAGCAACTCGACACACACACACATGATGAAATTTTTGTTGCTGTAAAGACAAACTCGTGAATGAGAATGAAAATGAAAAGAAAAACAAATGTTTCTTGTTGTTGTTGAATGAAAAAAAAATAACCGAATTAAGAAAAAAAAATCGCACACACACACACACCATTGAATTTGCGAATGAATTCGCTATGTCGATACTACATCTGCAACAACATAAACATAGATCACGCCGTGTGTGTATATAATATACATGTGGAGCAAAAAAAAGAATAATTTTCCTTTTCTTTGAATTCGTTATCGTTGCTGTTGTTTCTTTCACTAATTCCAATGGAAGAGAAAGAAAGAAAGAAAAAAAGAGTTAAGAGTATGATGACTTACCATTACCTAGATATATTGTGAGACAACAACGATTTAGTGTGTCGCAATGATTATCAAATGATGTTGATGTTGGTGGTGGTGGTGGTACAATTTTAAGACAACGATAGTGGTAATGATGCGATCCGTAATTTTTTTTTTGTTCATTCGAATCAAATGCGATGAAACGCAATCACTTTTGTTGTTGTTGTCGTTGTTGATGATGATTGTTTTGTCATTTAGCCAAATGTTCAAGTTGTCGAGAGAGAGAGAGAGAGATGGTGGTCGTTCATTCATCGTCGTCGTCGTCGTCGTCGTTTGTTGAATTATCATCATAATCATCAAAAAATAATAATAAACGAAGAAAACCCACGCCAATAATTTCGACATTTCTTTTGTTGTTTTTCATCATCATTGGTTGGTTGGTTGGTTGGTTGGTTTGAATAAACGAAAATTCATTTGAAAAATTTAGTCAACCAACCAACAATGATATGTGATGCGTGGTGAATATAACAAGATAAAAAAAACATTCGAATGTTCTGACTCATCATCATCATAACCGGGATTCTTCTTCGTCTCAGACACACACACACAAACAAAAACACAGACAGAGATATTGAATTTCAATTGAAAAGAAGAAAACAAACGACATTTGAACATAATCAATCGTGATTGAAATAAATTCAAGGTAAATATATTGATTTCAATTTTTTTTTTGTTCACCGTTCTTTGTTGTTGTCGTCGTTGTTGTTGTTGTTTTCATCTTCTTAAAAAAATTTTCTTGATTTTTATTTTTATAAACAGATAAATTCAATCAACGCACACATGAATTCGATTCGTTGTTTGTGATTTTTTTTTTCTTCTTCTTCTTCTTCTTCACTTGACTAAACATGGTGATCATATGATATGATGATAATCAGTTTTCAATTTTTTTTGTTTGTTTGTTTGTTTGAAATACTTGATGAGAATTGAAATGAAATTGATCATCATATATGATGACATTCTTTACATGTTGGCTTTCTGTGTGTGTATGTTTTGTCGATGATGATGATGATGATTGCCACCGGTTGTTTCGTGCATGTGTTTATGTGTTTCATCACCATATTTGGATAAAAGTCTAATGTTGATGATGATCATCACCATCACCAATCTCTCGATTTGGCTGTAAAAACAAATTATTAATGTGAAAAACGAAAAAGAGAGAGAGAGAATTACCTTTTTCATCAATTGATCATCATTTGATTTGAATTTTTTTCTTCTTCTTCAAAACGATAACCATGCAACGATCATCATCAAACAGTGTTAATCATCGGCAAACGACTTTACCATCATCATCATCATCAGTGCTTAATTCGTCGAATCGTCGTAATTATAATAGATCTCATAATAATTTTAAATTTCATAATTTTGTTTTCAATGAAACAAATCAAAAATTTTGTCTAGAAGAACAGGATGGTAATAAAAAAATAACCGTATTACATTGGAAATCATCAACAGATGATGATCATAAACAACAACAGCAACAGCAACAATTAATGAATCATCAATCTATGAACATTCGACAATGTGATTCAGATTCAAAATTGATTAAAAGTGAAAAATATAAATTTACACCATCCATACCATCGAATGTGGCCGTTGTTGTTGATGATGATGATGATGAACAACAATCGACCATCGATAATCGAATCGATACAAATGCTGATGATGATGATGACGATGGTGATCGATCAAGATTTGCACTAAAATCATCGGCATCATTTCCATTCACAAAAAATGTTGCCGAAACATCGCCAATGAATTTGGCTCAAACAGATAATCATCATGACAAACAACGACAAATAATAATCGACAAAAATCAATCGAATCAAAAATATTCATCATTTCTACCTCATCTAGTCACTGGTGGTGAAAATAGTTCATTCATTTCAAGTGATTTCAATTCAATTTCTTCTTCAGGTTCGAATTATTCTTCATTTCATCTAAATTCATTACCATTACAATTATCATCATCATCATCTGGTAGTAATTATCGTTATGGTATGATACAAAATGATGATCTCCATAAATATTATCATCAATGCAATAGTGGTTCATCAATAGGTACAAGAACAACCACGACAACAACATCATCATCATCATGTTCGGCAAATATTAATTTTTCATTAGATAATCTTCGATTAAATGAAAATCGTACATTTCGTCATCGTAGAAAAAACAATGTTCGACGTAAAACAGCTCGTATTCCATCATTGAATCATCGGCCAATTATTGTCGATGATGATAATAACGAAAATGAAGATGATGAAGATGATGACATTGATTCTGCAGTAGATTCTGACCATGATTCTGATGATTTCGATGATGATGAGGATGATTTATTCTATCGAACATATCGAAGAAAAATTCAACAACGATTAGAAAGTATTATGGATGAACAACATCAACAAGCTCAACAACAACAACAACAACCATTAGATTTATCATTGAAGAAATATGCAGAAGATATGGAAAATGATGATAATAATAATAATAACCTATTCTCAAAAGATCTCAATACAAGATGTGATAACAATAATGATGATGATGATAAGAGATATTCGAATTTGAATAAATCATCAATGAATTTTACAAGCCATGAACATCAGATACGTAAAGATGTATTAAGTCCATCGACATTAATATCATCAATCAAATGTTGCTCACCATCATCAATGGATAATAATAATAATCATTATCATTCATCATCATCGAATCCATTTGTGTTTAATCAACCATGTTCAATATCGACAACAACAACAACAACAACAACAACAGAAACAAGATTATTAGATAATTATCATACATCTATACCGTCAACATCATTCTCATCATCATCTTGTCATGATCATCATCAATCGCCACGGTTTTGTCATACAAAATCCACCGATATATTTGATGCATTATTAGAGGAAGAGATACAAAAATTTTTGCACAATTCAACCGGAACATCGACATCTACATCGATACCGATGATCAGAAAACAAACGAATGAATTTGATAGAAAAATTGAAGATAAATTAAAAAAATTACAACAAGAAATTATAGCTAATAATCAATTAATATCTGATAGTGATATTTATCAATTCATGTCCGATTCATTCAATGATAATGATCATTTACGTATGCATTTTAAATTTGATTCAAATAAAAATTTAGAACCATATCTAGTGGATAGTGGTTATCGAACTATTGGAACACGTGGATCGTCATCATTACGAGAATTTTCATCACCATCACCATCATCATCATCATCATTGTTGAATACGCTTCCACGTAGTCGATTAAATCATCGAAATCAGATACGACGTCATCTGGAAGATGCATTTAAACAGAATGGTTTCCTTGTAAAGGTATTATATTTGTTTATTTTTAAAATATATGACAAATGAATGTAATTAAATAAATCTTTTTTTTTAATTTCATGTCACAATATTCATCATTTTGATCAATCACAAATGACAAAAGACAAAACAAGTAAGCGATGCCAATAATTCGGCAATGTTTTGTAAATTTCGTCAGTTACGAAAATATACACGTTATTATTTAAAATCATGGCATAATCATTTACCGGATGAAGTGAATAAACTATGGAAAGGATTTTTACCACCAAAATCTGAACGGCCTACATTTTTATCCAATGATAATCAAACGACAACAACAACATCATCATCAATGGCTTCTATCATCGGTGATGATGATGATAATTTACAAAATATTCATTCAACAATGGCCATAAATAGTAGTCATTTGATGGAATGATGATAATCAATCAAATCACGGAAGAAGAATATTAAAAAAAAACACAATCTAGTCACGTCAGATTCTAATATTTATATATCATCACATGACACACATACAGATCGGTGTATGGAATTCGAATGTTTTTGTTTTTTGTTTTTTTTTACGAAATCAATCTGTGATGCATGTATGTGTGTGTGTGTGTGTGATTCGTTATCTGTTGTTTTTTGTTGTTGTTGTTGTTGATTTTTAATTTCGAAACAAATTTGTTGTAACTAAATAAATGAATGAAAAACTAAACTAAACCATAGTCAACTTGGTTATTGGTTTTATCATCATTTCCTTCCTTTTCTCCGCTCTTCCGTCCCGTGTGTGTGTGTGTGTGCTAATCCTTTGAAGTTTGTTTCCTGGTAAAAAAATCCGTACCAGAACAAAAAAAAAACTTTGCCTTGATTATTACGGTTTGTTATCGTTTAACCTAAATTTTTTCTTTCACTCATCCCTTGTTTCTGGAATCTGTGGAAGCAAAAAAAAAGTGAAGAAAAGTTATTCTGATCCATTAATAAATTGTTTTTTCCCAATTTTTTTTTCGGATGGCTCAAATGAATCTGATATATGACAACGAACGACGGCGGCGGCGACGACGATGATGATGATGATGAAATGGTATTTATACGAATTTGAATTGATTTTTTTTATTCTCAATTTTTTTTCAATTCTCATTTTGTTCGATTCAGTAAAATTACAAACAAAACGATGACGATTCTCTCCACAAGAGACCAAAAAAAACTATTCATCATTCTGGAAGAATAAGAAGAAGAAAAGACACACACACATTTACCACTGATGAAAGATGATGGTGCTTCTTGAAAAAAAAATCCTTTTTTATGGTGCATTTACATTGTGCTTATTGGAAAGAGAAAAAATTTTTTTTTTGCAAGACAAATGAGACCCTAATAATCAAGGCAACTGACGTTTTAATAACCACCATTACAAGAATGGATTTGGAAAAGCGTGAAAAATTTTTTTTTTTGTCGAATCAATTGATCAAATTGTGTCCGCTCAAAAAGGGCACAAACGACAATGTAACGAACGATCCATGTTTTTTTTTTTTTTTTTTTGGTTCTGATGTAAACGAAACGAAACAGAACGAAGTGAACCAGAAATATAAAACTTTTTTTTTCTGACGCTAAATCCAAAATCTTTGAATCGATCGACAGACAGACAGATCGATCGATATCTTTTTTACGAGAGAAAGAAAAAAAAAAAATGAAGAAAAATTCCCCAAACAACATAACAATGCAAATCGAAATTCTTTATGACACGATTTTTTGTTGTTGTTGTTGTTGTTGAATAACGACAACAAAATTGTCAATCAGCAATTTGTGGCTACTTTTTTTTCAAGAGAAAATGCACCACGAAAATGTGACAAACAAACAAACAAACGACACTAACAAATGTGTCGTTATTTTTTAAATTCATAAAATTCAAATTTTAAATTGAAATTCAAATTCGATCCATCCATTTATAGATTTTGTCAACCAAACCCAAAAATGTTGTATATTCATAGCATCATCATCATCATCATCATCAGCAGCAGCAGCAACTACAAAAAAAAAATTCCGGAAACTTTCTGAATGCAAAAATGGAGACATAAAAAAAACCAGTCTGAATATTCAAAGCTTTGAAAAAAAAACGAAGAAAAGTTGAATATTTATTGTCATCATAATGTTTTTTTTTCTGTTGGTTCATTCTCGATTTCAATTCAATTCAATTCAATTCAATTCCAGAAAATGTAGTCGTCGTTGTCGTCGCCGTTGTTGTTGTTGTTGTTGTTGTAAATTGCAGCAAAAGCAGCTTTTTTTCCATTTCTTGAACATTGTCGAAGAATAAGAATATATATCGTATTTCTGGAAACCAACCCCCACCCCCCCCCCACGATTCCAACGCCGTCGCTTTTCACCACCGAAAACAAATAGCCTTGTTAATGGTGGTGGCCAAAACAAAATGAATGAAAAGAATGGAAAAAACACACGAAAACATCATTCCTAATGGAATTAATGGAACCGATTTTAGAATGGAAAGAAAAAAAAACGAAAAAGAAAGTTTACGAATCATCATGGTTTGTTTGTTGAAAAATAATAAAATCTGGTTCCACATGTATACAAAAGTATACATGTGGAATGAATGTGTGCTCATTTTTTAATTGACTCATTTTTTGTTTGTAAAAAAAAAGTTTAAAATTTTCTTTCCTTTCATTTTGGCTCAATTAATTATTTTTCTTTCTGTTTTTGTTTTTGTTTTCTTCTATAGAATTCGATACTATCGATACTATTGATGTCCGGTTCATTTTTCAGATTTTTTTTTTCTTCTCTTCATCATTATTTTTCAATATTTTTAAACACACACACACAAAATGGACAAACAAATACAAAAAAAAAAAAAAAAAAATTTGAAATTTATTGTCCATAAATCATCAAAATATTGTTGGTGCTGGGTGGTTTTTCAATAACGACGTTGAACATTTTGTTCATTATTGAATTGTATCATTTCGACATTATCAATGATTTTTTGATTATGATCATTATTAGTATTGGTCAATGTTGCTGCTGAATGTCCATCAAAATCACGGTCATCATCATCATTATCATTATTACGATCATCGCTATCATTGTTGGCCATCAATAGTCATAATTGTGATGTGGAACCGGGTCCAAGAATTTTTTCAAATTTCAATAATCTTAATTCACATAATTGCATCGGTATTATGGCAATAATTAACATTAGAATCAATGTAAAAAGTTTTATATAAAGACAAATAAATTCACTCATTGCAAATGCAATGGCATAGCCTAAATTATTCAATGAATATAATGTAAGAAATGCATATTTCCATTCATCAGAACAAAATGTTCGTAATACATTTGCTTCAATTAATTGATTGATCGGTTGATTGATTGATTGATTGATTGGCAAGATAAAAAGAGAAAAATAGAAAGAAAGAGAAAAAAAATCAATAAATGACATCACATTTTGGAATAATAATAATAATGATAATGATAAAAACAAAAATATTCAATTAGCAATCAAGTTAATAAAAAAATAATGATAAAATAAAGAGATCAAAAAGATACAATAAATCGATGATCATTATGATGATGATGATGATTGATGATGAACAATACAAGGCGGTATATCCAAATGTCCATTAGAACGGAATTGATTCGATTCTTTTTCACAATCATCATCATCACAATCAACCAAATGATGAGATATTGTTTTCAACATTACCATTGATTGTTCATGTTCATTAAAAATAATATCGTTTTCATTAAAACAACAACAACAACAACAACAACTACCGTAATAACAAAAATGAATGAATAATTGTATTAGAAAATTGTATGCTGACCATAACCATGATGAACAACAGTAGCAATCATTTTGTTGATGATGATGATTATTATTATTCGATTGATCCATGAATAATTTTGCCGCCAATGAATGTTGTTGATCATCAGAATCATGTTGATGATGTTGTTCCTGGAATTTTACATGAAATTTTCGCCGTTTATTATTATTGTCATCGTTGTTGTTGTTGTTGTTGTTATTGTTGCTATAATCATCCAAGTCGTTCTGGTTATTCTGTAATAAAAATTCAGGAAAATATTGCTGTATGGTTGAAATAGATTTATCGAATGTTTTTGTTGTTGTTGTTGTTGTTGTTGATTTGAGGATTGATTTTAAAACCATTTGTTTACCACCATTTTCTTCGTTACGATGGTGATGGCCATTTTCAATATCAATTTTCGATACATTTTTATTATTGATTTCGTCATTCGAGCAAACATTCATTGTTTGTTTTTATATATATTCTTATGATTCAAAAGTAAGGAACAAAAAACCTTTCAATTTTTTTTTCTCTCTCTTTCCAAATTTCTTTAATCTGATATATATAGAACAGGAAGACGAAGAAGACGAAAATGTCAAAACCACCACGAATGTATTACAATTGAAGATGAAAAAAAAAATTTGGCCCAGAAACAAAAAAAAAAAAAAAAAAATCTTTTTGTGTTTGTGCTTGTGTTCGAAAGCCTAAAGGCTAGGTTTGGTGTTTGTCTTTGTTTGTGTGTGTGTGTGTGTGTGTGTGTGTTTTTTCTATGTTAAAAAATCTTTTCAATATTTTGTACGTGTATGAATGAATGTTAAACGTTCATCATCATTTCCGTTGGTTTCGAATGTAAATTTTTTTTTCAATGTTCACTTCTGTTCTGTGTTCTGTGTGTGTGTATGTGACTCAACGTTATCTTTTTTTTCTTCTTCGTTTTCTACTTCAGCCATCAGTCAGTCAGTCAATTTCACTGCTATTTTCAAATGTTATCATTTAGCCATTATTATTATTATTCAACAACAAACAATAACCAACAAAACATTCGAAATTGATGAATGAATGAATGAATGGATGGATGATGATGACATTGAATCAATATTTGTTCAATGATTTTTTTTGTTCTTTCTTATGTGTGTTTGTTTATTTGCTATTGATTGAATTGCAACGATTCATTCATTTATTCATTCTCATATATATATCACATATATACATTCTCTTCTAGATTTTTCTTCCTTTTTTTTCACACATGATTATAATCAAAATATATCGTATATACAAACGACGACGACGACGACGACGACAACAACAACAAAATACAGAAAAAAAAGTGGAATATTGTTATTTTTTTTCCTGCCATGAATATAAGACAAACAAAAACACACACGGAGAGAGAGGTGACAAGATACAACAACAACAACAACAATCTAATATATCTCAAAGTGTGAGAGATATTGCTAAACCAGCAAAAAAATAAATACAACAAGAATTCGAAAGTCATGTCATGTTCCAGAAAGATAAAAAAAAAATTTTTTTGGTGAAACAATACATTTATATATCGTTGTTGCTGTTGATTGACCATTTCTACTTTATTCATGTCGATTTGTTGCTGTTTTTGTTTTTGAGAAATTTTGAGAATAAATTGTGCACTTATCCAACAACATCATCGAATACAAATATCAACCTAATTGAATTTGATAAACATGGTGGAGAAAAGTATTTTTTTTTTTGAACTTTTCTCATTTTTTATCCCGTTTCTGATGAAATAAGACTTTACGTTTTTTTTGATCATCATCATTTCTTCGCCACATATTTCATTTCTGGATCGCTTGTCTTTGTTGTATTTATCTAATAAGTTCTTTGGGTTTTTTTTTCGTTTTTCTTCTTTTTTTAGCTTCTCATTCTTTTCATTCTTCTTCTTATTATTATTTTTGGTTCGTTCGATGATTGAGCATCATTATAATCATCATCATCACGATGGAATCCATATGATGATGATTAAGTGCGATAAAACCAAACACGCTCGGCTTAGCTCCAGTAAAAAAAATCATCTTTTTCTTTCTTTGTTTATGTTTGATGTTGTCATCGTTGTTGGTGTTGTTGTTGTCGATGTGTTTGTCGATTTTGAGAATAAAGAATGAATAGATAAATGAATGAAAAAAAAGAATACCCATTTAGGGACCGACATCCAGAATCTCGAATATATAACATTAATTTTAATTTAGCTCAATTTATGCTCTGAGAATATGAAGAATTTAAGGCCTTTCATCATGATGATGATGATAGATTTTCACAGAGATAAAACAAACAGCAGAATATTTTTGTTTAAGAATATAACCGAAATGGAAAAAAAATGAATAGAAAAGATAACAACGGTATATACTTACTAAGTAATAATGTTTCCATAATAGCATTGGCTAATGAATATGTGATTGTAATTACATAATATAATGGTATATCATCATTTGGGCGCCATAAATATAATATTGCCAATACGGATAATTGACAAATAGCACCAGCCAATAAAACTATTGGTCTTTGTATATGACGTATGAATTCATAAACAAGTAATGTTGCACCTAAATGAACAAATCCACGTGTCAACATAATTGAACCAATAGCTTGTAAGCCTAAGGCACAGCTTACATAAAGCTATATATGATGACCAAAGGGAATAGAAGAAAAAAGAATCGAAAATGAAACAAACAAACAAAAAGACAAATTCTATAAATTCTTAGCCAATGCTTAAATATTCATACCTTATTATAATCGGCCATAAAGAATCCTTGTTCGAAACCAATAAAAAATGCCATTGGCAATAATAGTCGTAGATGATTGTCACGAAATGTACGAAATATAACATTACGAATTGAACATGATGGATAACTTCTATGTTCTAATGGAACTTGTTGTTGTTGTTGATAATATTCCTGATGATTCAATAGAAAAATGATGGCCATTAAAATGGACAATGAAATAATGATAAAAATTGTCACAAGAATTTTGATGAAATTCTGATCGAATGTAGGTGTTTGCTGTTGAAGATTATTGTATGATAATGATATATCACCGGATGATGATGATGATGATGTTGATGGCCGGAAATCATGATAATGATGTGAAAAAATATAATAAAATGCTTGATCACAGTATTGTTGACGAAATAAATGGATACAAATTGGTTTTATCGATGATGATGATGATGATGATGACGTCCATGTTTCTATTAATAAGATAAAATAGATTAATTTATAAAGGTTACAGAATTGACAAAAAAAATTCAAGAATCGGAATCAAGAAATTATTCATTCACTTGATTGATTAAATTATGATTTTTTTTCTTTGGGTATAATCCACTTTATTGTATTTTTTTTAGATCACATACTAGAGGAGTGTGAAGCTTGTCGAAAATAAAAAACAATTACTTCAAATGGTGAGAACAAAAAAAGAGCGAAAAATAATTCTCGTTTTTATTCCAGAAACCGATTGGATTATAATCATTATCATCATCATGATGAAGATGAGATCGGCATAGGAATTACAATTATCTATATCTTGAATATCATTATCATCTCTCGCATTCGCTTTTTCTCTTGTTTCATTTCATTAGAAAGAATAAAAAAAAAAGAAAATTGATTCTCTAAAACACAAACACACACAACTTGTGATGATGATAAAGATGCATGAAGAATACTAAAATGAACGAATAATTTGAATTTTCATTTCATTTTGTTTTGTTTTTGCACAATCTAGTTGTGTGTGTGTGTGTTTCACCCACTTTATTCACTCACTCATTTTTTTTCTGTCTCTCCAGAGTCTCAAAACATAAAACACATATACCATGATTTTAGTTCAAATGACAATTGGGTGATGAAAAAAAAATGGATTCTTTCATTTCATTTACACACATAGACACAGAGGGAAATAGAAAATCACGGATGCTCTTTGTGCACACACACACACACACACACACACAAATCAATTAATCTTATTATTATACAACGAAAAATAAAAATAAAAATTCTATCCAACTAATTTATCATTCAGCTCATTCAGTATCATTCATTCATTCATTCATTCAAATAATTTGGAAATTTACTTTTTTCCTTTTCAAAATTCTTTCATTTCACTATCAATGTTTTTTTTCTTCTGATTCTTGGATTGAATTCTCTTTTTTTTTCAAATAAAAAAAACCAAGAGAAAGAATGATGATGTGGAAAAAAATCAAGAATATATTGAGAATGAAAGAATTTCCTTTGGGAATTTTCAATATATATTATTATTATCAATCTAAATAGAGACCGCCAACCTCGAGAATTCATTCAGTGCGCGTATTTTGGTTAATAATAATTTTTGGTGATTGAATTGAATTTTCTATCGTTTTTCTTTTTCAAATATTGAATTGGGTGTGTTATAAAATGTTGTTTCAAGAAAAAAAAATTGATGAAAAGAATATCAATTCAATTTCAATTGTGTGTGCGTGTATTTGTGGCAAGAAATTGTTGATACTTACCATGATTATGATGAAATTTTGATCCATTGATATGATGAGATGATGATTTCGATGATGATGATGATGATGATGAATATGAAGCAAAAACAATAACATAGATTAAATGGCCAACAATAAGCGATGGACAGAATAATAATTGATGTAAAAGACGTTGATAACGTTCTTCTTGATAACGTTTAATTGTTTGTGTTAAATGTACTAGATTGGACATGAATTTTGAAATAAATTCCAATTGTGCAGCATAAAATGGACCAATAAATATTGTGAACAAAATAATAGCCATTTGAAATAGAATGAAATTATGAAAATAATGTATAAAAATGAACAAAATAATCGCCACTGTTGATATTATTAATGTACGTTTTGGACCAAAACGTTGTACAAATGCTTGAGCATAATAAACAGATAAAGCACTGAACATAAAACCAATGGCGAAACCAATATATGTCCATTGTCCATATTGATAACGATCGATGGTTAGTAAATTCTGTAAAATGCCCAATATCATTGTTGATGTAAAACTTAATATAATAAGATTACGCATTAAACGTAATTCAATACCAACGAAACCATCTTGATCAAATGGTTGTTGTTCATTTATTGTTGTTGAATTTTTCATCATCATCATTTTCATTTTCATTGTTGTTGCATCATTCATTTGATGTTCATTAACATCAATTTCATTTTGGTTTGATATATAGGCTACATTCGTAGACGTCGTTGTCATCAATTGTTGTTGTTGTTGTTGTTGATCATTATGGATGAATGTTGATGACGATGATTGTCCACCATTATCACGATGGTCAAGATTAACATCATCATCATTATTTAGATGATCGAATATACAATAATCACATTGTGTCGTATGATGATGATGGTGACAATGGCAATGATGATGATGATGATTTAAACTAAGCATTTTTTCAGGCTACACAGGAATGAATTATATCGGAACTAAAAATAAAAAGAAAAACAAAAGTTCATCATCGAATCATTCATCATCGAATTTTAATATATCGATATTGAAAACAAAAAAAAAAAAAAAAAAATTCAATTTTCTAGCCTAAGGGATATGTTGAACACACACACACACATTGAATTATTCATTTGCATTCATTCATTTAGTCTAATAACAAGAAGAAATGAAAAAAAAATGAAAAACTTTGACGATGATTCAATTTTATTCATTCAATTGAATATTGAACAATGGGGCCATGATTGGCTTGAAATTGAATTCAATAAAGAAAAAAAAATACCAGAATACGAGAATTTCTACCAAAAAAAATGAAAAAAAAATTCTGTACAATTCAAAGTTTTGATTTTCTGATTATTCAGGATATTCACTGCAATCAGAAGATCATTGTGATTCATCAACCAACTTGGCTTCGCAATTACATACATCGTTAAAGAGATTATCTCTCTGCAATGAAAAAAAACGTAATTCTCTAAATTCAATTTTTTTTTCTACCGAACATCAAACAAACTAAACTTTTATATTCTGGAACCAAGAAAAACAAGAATATTTTGCCCATTAGTGTTTTTTTTTTTTTGCTGGATCTGGTTAGGTTTTGACAAAACAAATGATCATCATCATTTCGACGCCCACACGTACTCTATTGGTTTTGTTTTGTTTTTGTTTTCGATTGTTGAAATAAAAACAATTATTACGTGTTAGAGAGGAGATTAGAGTTTAACCCCCGTTGGTTTTTTTTTGTATGTCAATTTGAGAATCAAGCAATTCAAACAGAAAACAAAAATTGACCTAGATATGTATGTATGTATGAAGATTACTGTGTTTGGTCTGCAGAACAAACAAACAAACAGAAAAACTACCCACAAATTTTACACAGTGCCACGGATAAATGAGATAATAGTAATTCCAAACAAGAGAGAGAGAGAGAAAGAAATGTCAAAAATTTTGTTTCATTGTTTCACTTTTCACATTCACAATTCTCTCTCTCTCTCTCTCGGTGAGTGGTGGTGGTGGTGGTGGTGGTGGTTTTTTTTCTTCTGTTTGACACAATATGTCATCATCATTATATATTGTATTTTTAATTATTAATCATCATAATAATAATGAAAACAACTTATCAACAGTCAGTCATGTCAAAAAAACAAACAAACTAATATATTGTCACACACACACACACATAATGGGCGAAATGTTTATGTAATTCGATACACAGAGAAAATATGAAATTTTCGATTCACTTCCATATTCAATAGTTTTTCATTCAATCCATTATCATCATCATAATCATAATAGACAGACATTAACACCTTTATGTCTTACTCTACCATATATATCTGTGGGTGTTTAACACCACCATATCATCATTCAATTTAGATTGTTTACGTAAATATATAAATTATGTAATAATAATCATCATCATAATTTTAGTTAGATTAGATTGAAAATTGGATCAAACCTTGGTATTATTTTGTTTTGTTTTGTTCATTCATTTATATATTAAGTTCAAATGGACTGTCTGTGTAAATATTTTTCAATCATCATGATTAATAATACCTATCTCTATATAGTGAATAGATCGATAATAGCAATCAATAGCATTGGATGATGATGACGATCAAATGGATGATATATTTTTCAACAAAATTTTTTTTCTAATCCATTTACTTTTTTTCTTCATTCACACAATCTTTTTTTTCATTTTCATGATGGTCAGTTGTTTTTTGTTGTCTGATTGAATTGAAGAATTCGAAGATGATGATGATGATGATGAAGAAAAGGAAGGATGAAATGGAAATGTAAATAAAAATCAGTTTTCAGTCGAAAACACGATTATTTCTTATATTCACGATATTCAAACTCAAATACACACACACACACTGGCCAATCTATATGTGGGTGGATATAAATAAATGAAATTATAACTATTTGCCATCATCATTATCAACACAACACAATAAGGATGATAAATTTTGTTTGATGAAATAAAACATTTATAAATCGAAAAAAAAGAAATTCTTACATAGTGAATAATCTATGCATGCATGCATGCGTGTGTGTGTGTGTGTGTGTGTTCGAATCGAAACAAAAAACGTTCGAATCGAATGCATAGTTCAAAATAATTCGAACGTTTCGAACATCTCCGGGTCATTTTTTTTCTCAGTATGCCCAAATCGGATTAGAAAAGAAATTCTTTTTTTCCGATTGTTGTTGTTGTTGTTGTTTATTTGCTCGGCATCAAGAATTTTGTTAATTTCATTGTTATGACACTTACATATAATTTAATCGACGATTACGACGACAATGGTGATATATGATGATTGGAAATTGAATTTACTTTCAATCAATTTAATTGACTAATCACGCGAATATTTTCTATGTGTGTTTGATGGACATTTACACACACACAAATAAACACCCGAGAAAAACGAAAGATTGATTACAAATTACCAATCACCATTAATGGGATATAAGGAATTTGGATCCAGAACCGATGATGAAAGAAAAACAAAATTAATCCAATGTCGATTGGTTGATTGGATCGATTGAACACATGAATGAATGGATCTAGCCGGGAAAGTGAAAATTTTTCTCCGAAATGTTTATCAAAATCAACAAATTCTATTCGAATCAAATTAAACGATAAAATCGATAAGTGAGTGAGAGCGAGAATCAATAAACAAATGACACTGTTTATAATTTCATTAATCACTTGTCATCATCATCACATAATAATAATAATAATAAAATAGATTAAAATTGTCACAAAATAAAAAAAAACAAATTGCAAAAACAAATTTTTTGTCTTCTTGAGACGTCCATTCTATCGAATGTCTGGATGGAAAATGACTGGCGCCAAAAAAACACAAAACACACTGACACTCACAAATACTGTGACACACGCAAAGAAAAAAAAATCCAGAATCCAAAAAATGGAACTGTATTCCCTTTTTTTTAGCAATGCTGCTACCTTTTTTTTTGATGAAAAGTTTGCTATTTTAACACAACACACGCGCATGTGTATCATTTTTTTTTTCAAAAAATTTTCAATTTTTTTTTTGTTTCATTTCTTTTTCTGCAGGATGCAAAATAAAACAAAAAATCATCATAATCTGTTGAAACTGGAAATTTTTTTTTTTTTTATTCAGCGATTGTTAACTGTATCTTTTTTTTCAGGTGCGTGACATCAAAATGTGTGTTTGCATTATTCATTTGCATTCTGTATACATCACGCAAGAATATTCCCGAGATTTGTTTGTTCACTTACTCTCTCACTCTCTGAGAATTGAATTAATCAATCTTTAATGATGATGATGGCCATCAACACCATGAAAAAAAAAAATTTAAAAATTAAATCCATCCTTGATCAAATCAACAACCTCGACATTGAATAAATTTTTTTTTCACACATCGTCATTGAATTCACTGCATTTTTTTTTTTTTGCTGTCATTGATTTGATGACTAAGCCAAATTATTCGTTCTATCTAAACATCATCATCATAATCAATAAAATCAATAATTACCAATCATATACACAGTGTGTTCAACATGAATTTGTTTTTTGAAATCAAAAAAAAAAAAAAATTACAAAAAGTAGCAACATATATGGCAACACACACACTGGATTCTATTCTATCATACCTCTAGCATGCACGATATATATGTATATATTGCATTTTATCTTGTGATCCATTCAAGTGTTTATAATATAGTAGTATACTAATGTTTGTGGTAGTGGTATATGAATCCATTAAGCAAAAAAAAAAAAACACAAACACAACAAATACGCACATCTGGATCGATGGTGGTGATTTTTTTTTTTTTTTTGATTTATCCATTCAAAAAGAAGAAAAATTATGGAAAAAAAAGTAAAATAACAACAAACAAAAACATCACTAACTAACTAACAACAACAACAACAACAACAACGACGACGACAAAATAGCTACAGACAACAAAACTGCGCCTTATTTGTTATTAATTTTTTTTCTTTTAGTGAAAAACGAATTTGATATTGAAAACGAAAATCGAATCTTTTTTTCGCATTCATTCATTCATTCATTCATTCATTTCGTTCATCGTTCATCTTTAATTTCTAAATTCAAAAAAAGGTAAATTTCCACAAGATTCTTGTGTTATTAATTAATTAATTAATGTATTCATTCATTTTTTTTGAATATTCTGGACAGGATTCTTCATTTTTTTTGTTTTTGTTTTGTTTCATTTATTCTTTCTGATCTTCCAATACACACACACACACATTCAATCAAACTGTGATCTGTTTCTAATCTTGGTCTAATCATAATTTTTTTTTTTATTGGATCATTCATTCATTCGTTCTCAAATTTTTCATCATCATCATGTGATTGTGATTCAAACAAAAACGAAATGACTCATTATTGATTGGTCATCATCGATAAATCGTTTTTTCTTGTTGTAAATTTCAAGTAATATTCGATTCAACGAAAAAAAAAATTATGGCTCTATTCAACATACCCTGGTTAACGGAATCGATAAAAAAATGTACAATCAAATATCTAATTGAACGTTATCTTGGCCATTTTTTATGTGAAGAATTAGATCTTTCACAATTGGATATAGAACTATTCAATGGTACAGCATCAATTGAAAGCATTCCATTAAATGTTCATACAATCAATACAGAAGTATCGCCATTTTTTCCATTAAAATTTTTAGAAGGTTTTGTTGAAAAAATTGAATTCACTGTACCATGGAGTGCATTATGGACAGATTCATGTTCCATACAGTTGGATGGAATTCGTTTGAATTTTTGTAAATTACAAAATTTTAATGAACAACAACAACAACAACAACAACAACAAATGGATAGAAATCAAACATCGATATTATCGAAATCAATGATGGCATCAAGCATGGAAATGGCTGAAGAAATTCTACAACAAGAATCAGAAAAATATGAAGGTCTAGAGAAATTTGCACAGCTTATTAATTCAATAATACGTCGTGTAAAATTATCGGCTAAAAATACTGTAATAAAATTTCAATTTCCACAAAATTCTTCGCCAACCAATGTTGATGAAATTGAATTTCGTATTGGCCATATAAATTGTGAAGAAGAAGAAATTACATTGGATAATAATAATGGCAGTGGTAAAGATAATGGACAAATAATCGGTAATAAAGAATTGGATAGTGGTAAAAATAGTCCTAATGGTGGTAATCTAATATTATCAGATGTGGTTACCAAATGTATTACAATGGAAGGAATTGAATTATTTATCAATAATATTCTCATAACAAAATTATATGGAAAACATACATTTAAAATACGTTTTAATAATGATAATCATATCGATATGGATGCCTATTTTGGTTCATATATTTTTGCCATTTTAAATTCCAATCATTTACGAATATTGCAGCAATTTTTTCAAATAATCGACAATAATAATAATTCTGGTTCAGGTTCAACGACAACAGAACAACAATCAAAATCTTTAATCAATCAACCAAAAGAACGTTTAATGACCGCACAAGATTATCGTCGTATACAAGAATTATGGCATAATGAAAATATTCTACCTATGAATAAGCAACGAATTAAAACACCAGAAATGATGATGATGATGGATCGATCAATGATTTCATTTACCAATAATAATGGTGGACATACTTGGTCCACAACAGCAACAAATAATCATCTTGATGATGAATTTAAATCATTTGATCATCGTGATCAAGATAGTGGTGGTGGTGGTGGTGATGGAAAAAAAGATAAAAAACATTCAACAACAAATCCAGTGGATCCAAATAATACATTGGTCACATGTAATATAAAAATTCCTGGCATAATGCTCTGTTTGATTAGTGCAAATGTAAATGACGAAAACAATGGCAATGGCGATGATGATAATATACCACAATTCAATGAAATGCCAATGATCGATAATTTACAAACATTTATTGGTATAAATTCATTTTTAAATGATATGTTACAAGATTATAATCACATAAGATTATTGGCATCAAATCTTTGTGTAGAAATACGTGGTGATAATCATCTACAATTTAGTTGTATAAATATTAGTTCATATGAATATCATAATGGTATATTGAATAATCTGTTTTGGGTACATGATAATAATAATCATCAACATAATGAATACGCAATACAGCCATCAATCAAGCTGAAAAAGAATAAGAATATTATCGATATAATGTTGGCACCGACATCTATTCGTTTGGATCCAACAATTATTGAACGACATCCAAAATTGTTGGAATTATTTATCCCGTTACCGACATCTTTGGATATAAATCAAAAGCCACCATCGATGCCTTCAAAATTAAAATCAACCACAGCAGCATCAGCAGCAGATGATGCCTTAATATTGAATATTGAATGTGAACAAATTGAATTGGAACTTTTTTTTCCAATACCAGATTTACGTACAGAACGTAATGATTATAGCACATTACATGATGAAGTGTTATTGATTACAATGAAAAATCTATCAACACGTATTGAACCGGATACAGGTGAATTATTGTGTAATGAAATCCAGATTGATATACGTATCGATAATACAAATGCAGATGATTATGATAATGATCAAGATGATGGTGAAGAAAATCAATATAAATTATTCTATTCAAAATCGGAAGAACGTAATATAAAATTACATTATTCAACATTGATACCAATTGTTCAAATGATGGATCAATCATTCACAAATAATGTTGATGACCACAATGGTCAATCGAACAATAATAATTTAATTAATCAATTAAATTCAATGCAAGAATCGATAAATTTTTTACAATCATCAGCAATTAATCATGATAATCAACGAAATGAACCATTTCAAATAAAACGTAATTTATTTAGTGATGATGAAAATTTCAATTCAGATGATAATGGCCACGAACGGATTATAACACCAGGTGATCGTGATCATTGTCAACATTATTTGGCCTATAATCGTGATCGAACCCGTTTCTATACATATATCCATGTGCCATATGGTGAAATTTATTTTGATAATAAGAAAATTTTCGAATTAATTTATAATCGTTTCGCCAATGATCTGATATTGTGGCGGCCATTTTTTCGTAAAAGAAAATTATCATCATCATTACCATCGGCAACAAATTATCAACATCCACCGCCAACATTATTATTGCCTATGCTTAATGAAGAAGAAGACGATGAATATGGTGGTGTGATGATGATGATAAATGGAACCACAATCAACAGCAGCAGCAGCAGCGGCAAAAACAACAACAGCAACAACGAAAACATTCAAATTCATCAGCAATATTTTATAGTTGTAAAAATATTCACGACGATGATTCTTTGTGTGATTCAACAATAAGTGATAATTCATATCATTCAATAATGGAAACATCGTCTGATATGAAAAATCAATTATCATCATCATCCATGTCGTGTTCAAATGAATTTGTCATTGAATTTGAATTGGACACACTTATTGCAACGTTTCAAACGAAATCTTCATCTTCTAATTCTTCTGGTTCAACGAAAGGAAAAAATAACATTTTTCTTCAAAATTTTTTACTCGGTATTGTTGGCAATGATGGTGGCGGTGGTTGTGGTGGTGGTCATTTGGAAAATGTAAATCCAAAAACTGTGATTTGTTTATGTAGTGAAAATCTGTCATATAAATATAATGATCGGCCATTGTTGATCAATAATTCATTTATTGATTTAAATTCTGAACTGAATTTGGCTGTCGAAATACAACGTGAAACTGATTTGTTGAAAAAGATAAAATTAACTGTACAATTGAAAAATTCATTACTACTTGGTCTGGAATTACCTGTATTTGAAGATTTATGGGAATTTATCAACGTCCATGATGATGATATACTTGGTTACATTTGTCCACGTGTCATAATTGAATTACATGTTGATCTGATGAAAAGTGGTATTGTTTTCGATACGATCAAAGATCGTACTACATTGATTCATTTTCAAGATATTTATCTAACATCAATGGTAGTGGAAAACACTGAACAGACAATATTGAGATTTTTTATTGAAGAAGCATTATTATGTTTTAAACGTAATCAACAATATAATGATTATTTGAAAAATTTCATACCCATTATTGATACTGGTATAATTGATATAAATTTAAAAATATCAAAAAATGGCCATATTGAATGGAAAGGATCAAATAATGAGATAAATCTAAAAGTTTGTTATGATTCATTGGCAGCATTATGTCAATTTTTACAATCATTTTCTGGCGCTACAAATAATAGTGGTAGTGGTACTGTGGTGGACAATTCATCGTCATTTGTTGATAAACAAAATCAAAATGATCAGCTGAATGAAAAACAATCATCATCATCAACAAAAAGTACAACAAAAAATGGAAATTTATTAAATAGTAATGAATTATTGGCTGATGCATTGTCCGAATGTACCGTAAATGATGATGATGATAATGATGATTATTCGAAACAATCATCATCATCCAAACGTAAAGAGAAAAATTGTTATTGTCAAGCTAATTTGGATGATAATATGACCAATAACAACAAAATGGATGAATCAAATTTTCTTATACTTGGTGAAAATGATCTTGGATCTGGTATCAATACAAGTAAAGGACCAAGAATACGTATACTGGTCGATGAACCAATACCGGTAATTGAAAATCATTTTACAATAACACATTTTAGTGGTATACCTGAAATGACTGCAACAACTATAGCTCGTTATCTATTGGATCGTATGTCATTAAGGATTTATCTTTATGCTGGAAAAGATTTTGATGATCCATCAATCGATCAAGATGATTGTAGTAGTGGTGGTGGTGGTGATAACAAGAATAAACGAATGAATGATCGTAATACGGATGCAATAAGTCAAGTGAATCTATCGTTGAAAAATGAAAATATGAAAACATCACAAAGAGTTCGTTTTAAACAAAATTCTGTATTATGGGAAAATATTGATTTAATTTCAACTACAAGCAGAATGACAACAATGTCGAATCCAGTTGATACACATTTTTCATTCAAATCAACTGGTGGTAGTAAACGTAAAACTGATACTTATGTTGTTCTAGTGTTGAAACGAATTCGTATTCTATTCGATCAATTTGATAAACAAGAATCAATGTCATGGTTGTTTCGTTTTATGGTACAAGAATTGGAAATTATTGACAAAGTTAGTGTATCGAAAATTAATAAAATGCTTTATGAATATTATTCAGAATCGATGCCAAGAAGACAATATTCAAACATGTTTTCCATACGAATGACTTGTTATCGAAATTTTCAAGATAAATTTGAAGAAGCTGACCTGACAGTGTCATTGAAACCATTACGTGTGAATGTTGACCAGGATACATTGTTGTTTTTAATGGATTTTTTCTCAAAATTCAATGATACATTGACGGCTAAATTGAATGCAGCAGCCACCAATGCTGGTAGTAAAAATCGGAAGAAGATGATGAAAACAGCAGCACTAGCAGCAGTTCTTTGGCAACTATTCGAAAATTTGGTGGTAGTAAATCATCAGTGAATAGTGATGATCATCATCATCATTTACATAATAAATCAAATCAAGATTACAATGACAATATTGATGAAGATGATGATGATGATGATGATGATGATGAAACAAAAAATCCACCGACATCATTTACAATCGATCCATCACCATCATCATCATCATCAGAAACAAACAAAAATCATATGATGAATCCACAAGGAGATTTGCATTCAAATTCTTTATTTATTAAATCATTTACATTCTTACCAGATGTACCGATTCGTCTTGATTATCATGGCAAACATATCGATCTTAAACAGGTAAATTTAAATTATCAACCAAAATTAATCAATCATATGATTCTGTTTGTCTATTTCATAGGGAGCTTTACCTGGTATCGCTTTAGGCCTTGCACAATTGAACCAAAGTGAATTATATCTAAAAAAATTAACCAATAAACATGGTCTACTTGGTATCGATAAAGTAATACAATATGCAATAGAAGAATGGGGACGTGATATAAAACGGAATCAATTGCCATCGATTCTAGGTGGTGTTGGCCCGATGCATTCATTTATTCAACTTTGTTAGTATATATAAAAATTTATTTACAATTTAGAATGTTAACATTTCAATTTTTTTAAATAATTTGTATAGTTCAAGGAATTCGTGATCTATTCTGGATACCAATTGATCAATATCGTCGTGATCAACGGATTGTACGTGGTATACAACGTGGTGCATATGCATTTTCTGTGTCCACAGCAATGGCAACATTAGAATTGGCTAATCGTTTAGTGGTATTGATACAGAATACGGCACAATTTGCTCATAATGTTGTAACACCACCGACACCTGGAAGTGGTCATCATAATCGTCATCAATTAATACCGGCATCACAACCAAGAGATTTACGTGAAGGTTTTACAGTTGCATATGCCGTAATACGTGAAGGATTTCATGATACATTCAGAGGAATGACAAATACAAATTTAGTTGCCGATGATACTGTAACAGTAATCGGTGAAGTTGTAAGACAAATTCCATCCACTGTAGTACGTCCAATTATTCATCTATCACAAGCAACATCCAGTGTATTAGTTGGTTTTCGTAATCAATTAACACCAGAAGCACGAAAAGATGATCAAGAAAAATGGAAAAATGTCAATGATTGGTGATGATCAATTCATTTTTTTCTTTTGAGTAATATTATAATTGTGAATAATTTTTTTTCTAGTTATTTGACACATTTAATATTTTTTACACAAATGTTATCGATGAAAAATGATGGAAATATCAAATAAACATTTTATTATTTTCATTGAAAATTTATTGATTAATTTTATGAAATTTTCAAACGTTCAATCACCTGTGGAAGTTGTGTTAATTTATCGACGATAAAATCAGGTAATTTATCATCTTTATGATATCTGTAAAATAATAATCGGTAATTGATGATGAATTGACAAAAAACAGAATAAAAAAACTTACCGGTCAAGAATACCATCATGTAGATAAAAGATTCGATTATCACGATCCATACACAGATCGGAACCATCATCGAAATTAACTTTAATCGAACCATTTGTGAACTGGAAAAAAATTTGAAAAAATCAAAAATTGAAAATTTTTGTTGTTGTTGTTGTTGTTCAATTACCTGAATTGCATGGCCAATTCCATTGACAGGAATGGAACGTAAAATTTTACTTGTTAAAAATGAATTATTTTCACTTAAACGTGATGATGATGTTTCAAATAATTTTGAATCAATACCAATGGTAATTGGAAACAAATCGATGCCAAGTTTTTTACTTTGAATTTCTAATGTTTGTTCCAATTTCATTGTGGTCGAATATAGTTCATATAATTTATTTACATTCTGTTTGAGATCATGATCCAATGATTTGGAAATTTCATCTAATTGATATGTAGAATTTTCATTCAAAATTCCATCATAAACATTCACTTCGAAATGGCCATCATTCATCAATATGCATTTGTTGATGAATTTTTTACTATCACTATTATCGAATCGATTATTGGTCTTATTGAGCCAATCACCACAATTTATGATTATTTTACGTGTTTTTGAACGAACTAAATTTATAAATTTAGTAACATATAAAAAATGTTTCCAATATTTTTCTGGTAATTCATAGAAATTGTATTCATGATCCATTGATTGATGATGAGAAATGTCCACCAATAATCCATTATGGCAAACATTTATAGTTAAATTATCGTTTCGAAAATGCATCATAACATTTCCATCACAATCGATTGACATTTGTAATGTATTTGTTTGTTTTTCTATTGGATGCAGACGTTTTGTATTGATACGGCCAGCAAGAAAAATATGTTGTTTTATCTGTTGGATTTGTAAACGTTTTTCTGGATCATGTTCCAATAGCCGTGTAATTAAATCGGCAGCCATTGGTGGAAATGAATCTAAAATCTATATATAAGATTCAATTATTACAAGAACATTCGAAAAAATCATGAAACTTACAATATCACCTTTAGGTGTATGGCCAGCAATACAAGCATAAATGATTGATCCTAAACTAAAAATATCACTTTTATATGAGATAAATTTTTGTTGATTCCATATTTCAGGCGATATGAAACCCGGTGTACCACAGATTGTTGAAACAAATAATTCATCATCATCTTTGGTTGATGAACGATGACCATGGCGCATTTGTTTCTGATCAATGGCAAGTCCAAAATCGGCCAATTTAATATGCACCAGGTTTGATTGTTCACTATGATGATGATAAGGTTGTGTAAGTAGAATATTATTTAGATTTATATCTCTATGAACAATGGAATTACGATGAAGATAATCGAGTGCATCACAGATTTGTAGCAATAATGATGAGATCAATTCATATGGTAGAATTGGATAAATAGAATTTTGACGCTTTCTCTCAGAAATCAATTTCGATAATGATCCACCATGACAGATTTCCATAATCAAATAAACGGCTTTTGAATCTTCCAATACGGTAAATAATTGCAATATGTTTGGATGACATAATCGTATGTGAATATAAACTTCACTTAGAATTTTATCCAAATTCATACGAGAATTTTGTTTCGAAATACATTTTATGGCACATTCTTGACCATTAGATTTACAATATGAACGAAAAACTCGGCCAAACGATCCAGAACCAATCAAATCCAACAGGTTATAATCATCGATACATGAAGCCCATCGATGTTTGCCGCGATCATCATCATCATCATCATCACCAGTGATTGTTGAACATTGGATTTTCGTCGTTGTCTCAGATTGATTTTTATAATTTTTTCGTAAATTCTCCACAAAACATTTAGAATCCATGTGTGAAAGAATTTCAAGAAAAAAAAAGTTGAAATTCTTGAAGAATTGAATTTTTCAATGAAAAAATTTTCTTGGCTCTATCCATAGATGGCATGCAACAATGAGCGATGAGCATGCATCAATTGATGATGACAACAAAGCGATAGAGAGTGAAAAAAAGACGCCTCTACCGGCTTGTACGCGTGTTAAAAAAAAAAAAATTTTTTGCTCACATTTTTTTCCAGATTAAAAATTCTTTGAATAAAATTAAACTTTTTTAAAATCTTTTATCCATCATCATCATCATCATCATCATCATGGAAACGCCGAAAAAACATTTAATTCTACCCGAATTACCTGTTAATGGCCATGGTTGGGGCCCAGTAGACAATCTAAAATTATTCAATGGAATGTCCTATCAATCATTTAATAAAAATGATCGTCTTGGTATGGTTGCCGATTGGACCGGTGATACTTATTCGGATAATCGTTTGTTAAGTAAGTTTTTTTTTCTCGTTATTTCTTATGTAATTGAATTTGTTAATTTTTTTCAATAAAAAAAAAATTATAGTGAAATATCAAGTTCAATATGGTGCCAATCAATATCGTAATATGATTGAAGATGAAGATTCATTTCAAGTGGTTGATCAAACTAAAAATCAACGTACACAACGTAGTAAAATTCGTATGGGACAAGTAAGTTTTACTAATCATCTTATTTTTGTGCATTTAATTTTATTATTTTTGCATATTGCTAATTGAATCAAATAGAATCTTCGTGGCCGTCATCAACGTAATAACCATAATGCATTTCGTCGTAATAATCGACAAAATACACGTGGAAAATATGGTAATAAATCGAATAGAAAATATGATAATAAAGGACAGAATTCTAAAAACGTGAATCCTCGGTTAATGTACGGCCTGAATGGAAAATACTTGAAGAAATGGATTTTCCACGTTTATCAAAATTATCATTACCAAATATTGGTGATGGTCAAGAAATCTATACGGCAGGTTCAATGGAATATTATGATAAAAGTTATGATCGTATTAATTGTAAAGTGGAACGACCATTACAGCGTATTAATCGTATTTTCCATAAAGTAACCACCACTGATGATCCAATTATACGAAAATTATCAAAAATTGAAGGCAATGTTTATGCTACCGATGCAATTATTGCCACGTTGATGTGTGCTACACGTTCGGTGAATTCATGGGATATTGTTGTACAACGTTTTAAGGATAAATTATTTTTCGATAAACGTGATGATTCTGATTTTGATCTATTATCGGTGAATGAAAGTGCAGCCGAACCACCATATAATGATGATCCGAATAGCATTAATAATCCAAGAAATTTAGCATTGGAAGCAACATTTATCAATCATAATTTTTCGCAACAAGTTTTGAAAAAGAATGGTGAAAAATATAATTTTGAAAATCCAAATCCATTTGTTGCTGAAGATGAAAATGTAGAAGTAGCATCCGTCGGTTATCGTTACCGGAAATGGAATCTAGGTGAAGGTGTCAATCTGGTTGTACGTTGTGAACATGATGCCGTCACTCATGGATCAAATGATGAACTACAATTGATGAATATTAAAGCATTGAATGAATGGGATTCAAGAGTATGTGTGGTGGTGGTGGTGATTTTGTTGCTTTAATTCTAATTTGCTTTGTTTTTTTTTTTTTTTTAGATTACCGGAGCTATTGATTGGCGACAAAAATTGGATGTTCAACGTGGTGCTGTATTGGCTAATGAATTGAAAAACAATGCATGTAAATTGGCCAAATGGACTGTTCAATCATTGTTGGCTGGTTCACATCAAATTAAATTTGGTTATGTTTCACGTGTAAATTTTCGTGATTCCACTAAACATTCAATTCTTGGTACACAACAATTTCGACCACGTGAATTTGCTGATCAAATTAATTTGAATTTAGACAATGCTTGGGGTATTCTACGTTGCATTATTGATACATGTCTAAAATTGGATGAAGGAAAATATTTAATCCTTAAAGATCCGAACAAACCAAATCTGATTATTTATTCAATTCCACCGGAAACATTTGAAACCGATGACGATGATGATGATGTTGGTGATGATGATGATGATGAAGAAGATAAATCCAATATTGTTGATGAAGTGGCCAAGGAAAAAAAATGAAAAAATGACCACTACTACTACTCGTGTGTGTTTGTTGTCATTAATCGGCACGAAAATTTTATCACAAAAAAAATGGATTCAAAACAAAAATTATTGATTAATCAATCAATCAAATTTTTTTTTATTGTTCAGAAAAATCAAAATATTCATCATTACATATATATTAATAAATTGGAGAAAATTATCAAATTTTCTAAATTTTTTGAATCTAATATATTAAATATATGTGCTCGGCTTTTTTGACATTTTAAATCTTTTTTTTTCCAAATCAAACTTTTGTTGATATAGTTAGTAGAAAAATATCACAATAGCGCAACAAAGGAGTTTTTTTTTGAAATTGAAATAAATAAATTTTTTTTTTCATTATATAAGAGCTGATGATGATGAAGCAGCATCAGCTTCTGCTGCTTCAATCAATGATTTTGTCTGTTCATTATGTTCATCATCATCATCATCATGACGATCATTATGATGATTATTTTGATCAGCAATTCGTTGTTTATTAAATTGATAATGACGTATGGAAGTTGATGTGGACGATGATGGTAATTGATGATTGTTTGAATGTTTGTTATGAGAATCACATGTATTCATTTCGATATTGTTTGTGGTGTCAATAATTTGGTCCATTGTTGTTTCATTTTTAGTGGAGTGATTATTTTTACCGGAATGTTGTTGATGATGATGATGATGATTTGTATTTTTGTGATTCTTTTCATCATCACCATTATCACTTTTTCTTATCTCATTCAATGATTCTTCCAATCGTATAGTACCTGTTGAACAATTGAATGTTTTTCTTGGTGATGAACCAATTGAATAAAGGCAACGTTCAAGTATTTCCAATATTGGATCCCAACGTTCATATTGTGAAATAAATATAACGATAATAAAACTAAAAAACATTGGTATTGTACCTAAAAAGAATACTCGTGGATATTCAATATTTTTATAGAATATATCGAAAAATACGGCCATCGGTATTGTGAATGATACGGATATTGTGCCCACTAAACTTGAGGTCATAAAACTTCCACTAAAAAATGAAAATTAAATTAAATTAGAAACAACAAAAAAAAATACAGCTGGCCAAACTTACAGAAGCCATAATAATTCCGATATAACTGTACCACATAGACCATTGACTAGAATCAAAATCCATTGATCTTGTGAAGGCCATTGAAATGTTTCAATATGTGTGAAATTTAATAACATTAAAAATGGTGACATGAAAATCATGCTGAACAATCCAATAAAACCTATTTGTTGAAAAAAACAGTTATCAGTCAATAAATAAATCAATATAAAACAAAATAATTACCAAAAAACATTGGAAAATTCAACATTGAATCATGTACTAGATTATAACGCATTAAAACAATATAAACCGAATAGAAAAATGCTCCACATAATGACCAGATACTACCTAATGGTAGTATTGTTTCATTGTTGGCCATATTTAATTTGCCACTATTGTTGTTATGATTATTATTGATGGTGGCTAAATTATTGGCTTGAAATGGTTGATTTGATGATTGATGTGGATTAATCGGTTCAATATTAGAGATCATTGCAACACTTGAAATAGATAAAAGAACACATAATAACTTGGTCAATGATAATGAATCAGTAACTGAACCGGATGGAAATAAAATTCCTAATAATAATGTAAATAATGGTGTTGTGCTGGACAATACATTCACCAGACCAGCTTCACTATATTGAAGTCCCATATGGAAACTAAGATGAGCTGCAAACCAAATCCAAGTAAAATAAAATGCCAATATAGCTGTTTCACGTATAGTTAATTTATTGGTATGATCATGATGATGATGATGATGATGATGACCATAATTAGATGATGACAAAGGTGAGGTTGATTGATTATTACCGGTTAATTCATTCGTATTTGAATGTAATCGTTGACGATTACGTTGATATAAGACACGCATAAATGATGAATATGAAAGACGTGATAAGAATGCATCATCAGCATGTTTATCTGATAATTGTCGTACTTCAATCAGATTGGAAAATCGTACTAATCTTTTTGATTTTAATTTTTCTTTCATTTTACTTTTTGAACGTTTCGATGATGATGATGTTTTCTTGATAAAATTAACATTTGATGATGATGATATGTTTTTGTTTTTGTTGTTTTTAGTGGAATTATTTTTCGAATCACCAATTAATATAGCATTTGATGGATTATTATCAATAAAAACGTGGCCATCACCGGATACACTTTCATCATCTTCAGTTTCACTACTTTTTCCACTATGGTAAAGTAAAATTGAATGTTAAATGCAAAACAAAAAAAAAAGAAATTTACCTCAAAGAACTAGTATCACTACATCGTTTGATGGGAATCCAAACTGAATCACTGAGAAAATGTGAATTTGATGATTTCACTGATTCCATATCCTTCGACGAACTATTAATAGCCATACCATCGGAAATGTTTGAATTTTTCATTACATTTTCTGTCGTTCGATCATTATTATCATCAGAATCTTCATCATCATCATCATCATCTTCTTCTTCTTCATCTTCATCATCATCAAGTGTTAAATTCTGTTGATCTGAATCAGAAACAATGGAATAATAATCACCGGGATTAAGATGATTTTTTTGTGTCCACCATGAATCGAAAAAAATGAAACCAAAAAGATATAACGAAAACATAACACCTTTTATATAGGCGGTAAAAAATGGTTTATTGAAATTTTTTTCATGATATAAATATTCGGTCATTTCCGAGCTTGCTACCCATAATGTATCCACCAAGAGTAGAATCAAGGAACCAAATAAAAAACGGCAGGAAACAATTTTCATAATCGTCGTCGTAGTATTTTGTCAATCATAATTTCATCTAGCCATTATCAATTATGGATGATTATTGCCAGTATTTAAAAAAAACAGATGTTATAATGATCTATAGAACAACAAAATTCATTCAAGTTGTTTTCAAGGCAATGAGTGCAAAAAAAACAAATGAATGAATTGGTAAATAAATTCTTTAACAAATCGGTGACATCATCAACAAATATATTGTTCGACTAATCATACCTAACATGACCATCGATGTGAAAATAGTGGCGAATTCATACATTTCATCATGATCATGTTTTGTTTTGATTTGATTTGATTTGAGTTTTTTTTTTTTTATTGCAAAAATGGATTCCAAAACAATTGTACCTTATAAAGATGATGATGATGATGACAAATCGGTTGAACAAATCAATGATTTTAAACTTCAAATCATATCTAATTCATCGGATATAGATCATCAGACAAAAGTGAAAAAACGAAAAGTTTTAGATGAAGATGAATTTAGCCGAAAAATTGGTTCAATTATTGAACGAGATTTTTTTCCCGATTTAACAAAAACGCGACTAGAATTGGAACTACAAGATGCAATCAAAAATAATGATTTTGAAAAGATTTCACGATTAGTGAGAAAAAAAATTGAACAAAACAATGGTAAACAAAAAAATGCTAATATGACTGATACGCCAGCCAATTTTTGTACGCCTGCATCCACATTGAATGATGATGAGATTCGTTTTCAAAAGTAAGTGAAACCAATGGATTATCGTCGAAATAAACTAATGTTATTTTTTTTACAGAATCGATCCTAGAGATCAAGAAGATGATGAAGAAACGTCCGACCAGATGAACAACGAAACAAATCTAAGTTTGAATAAATTTCTCAATAAATTTACATCAGAAGATAGTGATTCATTTCAAAAATTACAAGATAAAGCGATTAAAAAACATTTGGAAAGATTGGAATTTCTAAATAGTGATTCACAGCTAAATAATGAAATTGTCGAACAATCACTGGAATTACCATCAATTGATACACAACAGATGATTATGAATGCAAATCAATCGACAAAAGAATCACAATCAGTTGCAAACAGATTAGTCACATGGAAACATTCGAATACAAATACTGTCATGTTCGATCCGGAAGGTGTCAAATTAACAAAAGATGAAATTGAACATTTCAAATCACGACAAATTATCGTTCATGAAAATACACGTTTCAAAACAAATCCATTTCAAACGAATGTTAATTCACAACCAGTTAATAATACAAATCCATTGCAATCGGGAAAAATTGGTGTAGATGGAAAAGAAGTTAATGGGAACAAAACTCCAAGTGTAAATGGTTTTTCATTCGTTCCCAGTACACCTTGTTTACGACCAGAAAGTCTAGCCAATTCTCCATTGATGACTTGGGGAGCTATCGAAGCCACACCAATCAATTTAAAAGGTGATACAACCCCATTATTACATTCTGGTGGTGGATCACATTTTAAAATTCCTGAAATATCTGAAAAAGAATCTATCGGAAAAGAATTAGCCAATCGAATATTATTGAAAAAGAAAGCAGCAGCTCAAGAAAATCGTATGAATAGTCCATTCGTGAAAGGTACATCGAACTTAGAACGATTAAATTCAATGTCACCAGCTGCACGATTATTAGCAACAAAAAAATTGGGTGTCCATAAAAATGTTGACAATCGATTACAGGCCAGTTATTCACCATTAATGACGGCCGCAACAACACCAACACCAAGACGTTTAGTGACGCCATCACCATTGACATTATCATCATCTGTCACACCAAAATCAGATTCAATAACGAAGGCTAATAGTAACAACGATAGTGATCAGAAAATGAATAAAAGACCTAAAGCATCACATTTTTTTTGATCATTTATATATTCAATGTGTAAATTCAAATGGAAAAAAATGAACTTTTTTTTTGTACATAATAAAATTACCATTTTTTTTTAACATAATTTATTTCCAAGAATAGTCATTGAAATTAATCTAATCGAATTGTTTTTTTTTTGATGATGATGATGAAAAGCATTGAAATGATTCGATTTGAATCGACAATCGATGCTAAAAGTAAACAAAGTCCATCGATAATAGACCATTGAATGATAATTTGGGCACAGACATAAACCTTTTGAATACAACGAAAAATTCATTCATTCATTCATTCGACCAATGCTACCGTGTTCATTACATGTGTATGTGATGTTGAGTACATATATGGTTTTTTTTGTTGTTGTTTATACTGCTAAAAAAAATATACGAACAGTTTACGAGCATTTTTTTTTATATTGTGTTTCAATATCATCATGTGTATACACGGATGAAATGTCATTTTTGTTTGTTTGTTTGATTCGATTCAAGAAAAAAAAAATTCCACTTATTACATCGTATCGTAAAAAAATATATACGTCGTGTAATCGTCATCGTTGTGGCTATTAATCGTCGTTGTACTATTAAGTCACAAAAAAATAAAAAAATAAATAAATTTTCTTTAAATTGATAAATTGACGATAAGATATAAAGTATTCCTTGATATTATCATCAAATTTTGTTGTCATTGATAAGATGATCAAGAAATAGTGATGTATGATTATTCGTATGTGTATGATTTATTGCTTTTCTTTTAACTGTTTGTTTTTTTGTTGTTGTTGTTGTTACGGACCGATCCAAACTGGCAAAATTATTATCAGCTATAGCTATTGATTTTAAATCGATGATTATTTCGTTGATTATTTCGGTATTTCAAATCTAATAGTACATAATATTATCAATGAATTAACCACCACATATATTTATTTCTTTTTTTATCATGTTGAAATTTTAAATCATGATCAAATCGTGATCGAAAAAAAAATCAATACTTTTTTTCCCATTTTTCTTCCATTATATATGTGACGCATTTTTTTGTTCATTGATCAATATTGATTGATTGACAACGACCACAATACATGCATGTACACTGGATTTCAATCATAATTTCAAAATGGAATCAACAGCCATAGCTTACCAGAGCCGAATTGTTAATCTGTGATCGAATCTAATTTTTTTTTTTTTTTTTTGAATTAAAGTTTCAACTGTAGCCCCCTGTGTAACATCATTTTCGAAAATTTTTCATTTCTATCATCTGATCATCACTTTTTTTCTCCAATAACACCAAGTAAGTTATTTGATTTGTTTTTTTTTTGGTTGAATCTGTCAAATTAATTCACAATTCATTTTATATAGTTGTATAGTTGTACGATATGTTGCGAATTCCAATCGGAATTCATTGCTTTATTCATGAACGTTTTCGATCATTAAACATCTATAGATCTCTTGTACTATTATTAACATATCTAGCATATGCTAGTTATCATCTAAGTCGTCGTCCATTCAGTATTGTTAAAAGTGTTCTTACTTGTACAGACAATAATAATCATACATCGAATAATTGTGGTTGGCCACCATTCAATCAACATGATTCTGAAACATTACTTGGATTATTGGATTCAGCATTTTTATTTGCTTATGCATTTGGAATGTTTTTCTCCGGTTTTCTTGCCGAACGTTGTAATTTACGATATTTCCTAGCAATGGGAATGTTATTGAGTGGTTTACTCAACTATACAATCGGTTTAGCTTTTTATTATAATATACATTCATTATCATTTTTTATCATTTTTCAAATTCTTTCTGGTAAGTATGTATTGATCATTTTCATTGAAATTTAATTACAAATTTTTTTTTAATAAATTCATGAAATTAGGCATACTTCAAACAACTGGATGGCCAGCTGTTGTCACTTGTATTGGCCATTGGTTTAGTAAATCATCACGTGGTGTTCTTTTCGGTATTTGGAATTCACATACAAATGTTGGCAACATTCTTGGAGCAATTGTTGCTGGTGCTTTTGTTGATTATAATTGGGGACTAAGTTTTATGATACCCGGCCTGATTATTGGTTTAGCCGGATTTTTAATCTTTTTATTTCTTGTTCCTCGTAAGTTTTTTTTTTTCGTGGATCGATCATAATTAAAAAAAAAACATTCTACTCATCAGGCCCTGAAGATGTTGGAATCCCATCGGCTATAATACATGGACCATCATCAAATCATTTAATAATCAGCGATCAACAATATCCATCTGAATCGATATTTCAATCATCCGAAGATTCCGGTGTTTATGGTCATAATAATAATAGTGTTGGTAACAGTGACAGTCATAATCATCGACGAATTATTCGTAATAATGATATTGAATCCGTAAGTATTAAGATCAGTTATTGATTGAAATGGGAAAAAAATTTTTCAATATTTTAGTCACAGAATATGGAAGAGGATAGTCCATTACTTTGTTCATTGGATGATAGTGCCATAAATGTTCATATACCGGAAAAGAATGCCATATCATTTTTTCAGGCATTAAAAATTCCTGTAAGTTTTTTTTTCATTGAATTTCAAATGAATCGGAAATAATTATCATTCAATCATTAGGGTGTAATTGAATTTTCTATATGTCTATTTTTTGCCAAATTGGTTAGCTATACATTTCTATTTTGGTTACCATTTTATATTAATTATTCAAGTATGTGTTTTCACTATTTTTTGGATTTAAAATTTGTTATTATATTAATCATTTTTTTTAAAAAATTCAATCTAGTGCATAGTTCATCATCAAATTCAGCTTTTCTTTCCGCTTTTTTTGATCTTGGTGGTATTATTGGTGGTATTTTAGCCGGATTTATTGTCGATCGTTATGGTGCTAGTGCTATTACCTGTGTTGGAATGCTCAGTATGGCTATACCATCGGTATGTTTGTTTTGAAAAATTTTTTTAATCAAATCAATTCAATTCAAAATCATTTTGTCGTTTTGTAGCTATTATTATATTACAACTATGGTAATACATCAAACATGATGAACATTATATTGCAAATAATAACCGGCACATTTGTTAATGGACCATATGCATTGATAACAACGGCCGTATCGGCTGAACTTGGTACAAAAGTTAAATCAAGTCAAGCATTGGCTACAGTTACTGCTATTATCGATGGTACCGGTTCAATGGGCGCTGCTATTGGACCATTATTAAGTGGACCATTAGCCCGAATAGGTTGGAGCTATGTATTCGTTATGGTCATCATATCCGATACGTTAGCATTATTATCATTGTTACGAATTGCACGACAAGAATATTTACGTTTACGTGCAAATTAATCAATCAATTAATCAATAGACGATAATAATTTTTTTCAAACTATCGATATATTTTGAATATATTATATACTGTTTTATTATATATATTTTTTTTAATTCATTTAGAGAAAAAAAAACAAAAAATAATTTCATTCTTTCACTCCACATGCGTGAGATAATTGTACAGTATTTTTTAATTTTCTAATTTTTCGTGTGTGTGTGTGTGTGTGTGTGTTTGAGTATGTATGGGTAAAAAAGTCAAATAAGCATGAATATTATCGAAAAAAATAGATCAATTCCATTCATCTACTAATGGTGTTTGATCACCACCTTTGATTATATTTGGTGTTGCAGTCGTATCTTCTTGCATTGGACTAATGGACATCTGTGATGATGCACCTGGTGTTGAATAGCCCGGTGTTCGTGGTTTATTCATCAATGGTATTATATTGTTTGATGATGGTGAAATCATCATTGATGATTGTTGTAATGACGTTGATGATGATGATGGTAATAGTGGTGGTTGTAGTGGCGGTGGCATTGTTCGATTATTATGATGATGATTATTACGATTCGAATGCCAATCCGTTGTTGATGGTTGTTTCAGAAGATCAGACCATTGATTACCACCACGTGAACCTGGACGATTATTTTGTACCGGTATTGTATTAGGTACTGGTGGAAGTGGTGGTGGTGGTGGCATCATGTTAGTTTGGCCGGCGGAATAAGGAAGACTACCACCAGCGGCTGCTGTAGCAGGAAATACATTATTTCTTTGCGTTACATTGAAATTACCACTGGCCGCTAATTGAACATTCGATGTGGGTGCAAAATTTCCATTAAATGATGATGTTTGTCCCGTCACTTGTGATAGTGTATTAAACAGATGATTGGGCATTGATTGGGCTGCCCGTTGTATAGCTTGTGGATTGATATTGGGTGTTGGAACAAATCCCGGTTTATTCGATGATGATATATTACTACCGCTAACATATGGTGATGTTGTAGCTTGTGGTGTACGTTGTGAAATATATGGACTAGCATTAATAATTGGTGTTTGTGGTCCAGGTGTCCGAGTAAATGTTGAATGATCTTTATAATGATCTTTAAACCATTTAAACAATGTATTTATCGATTTAAACATATTATTACGATACTTAAATCCATCCGGTGTAGCCGTTATAAATTCATGGAAAGCTTTTTGATTCGGTTGATAAGATAATAGAAATTTTCCAGGAAATTCTATTCAAAAAAATTGAAATCAAATTAAATTTCATTTCAATTAAGATACAAATGTTTACCTTTTGATGCAGATACAATATACGGTATACGTGATGGCGCCTTTTGTTTTTCTTCATTCAACACTTTTTCAGCTGCATGACGATCACCATTAAGATCACGAAAGTATTTAAAATTTATCAAATCACGTGCAAAACCAGCCATCGGTTGTACATAACGGGCAATGATTTCATCTAAATCTTCGAATGATTCATTATCAATGAATAGTTGTCGTCCCAATGAAAAGGCATTAGTTTTTCCTTCTTCACGGATGGAAATATTCTGATGTATACCATCATGTACTTTCCATGACAATGTTAAATGATCATTGCCTTTCGATGATGGTCGTATGACAGCTTCACCTTGTGGTGATTCGGCCAGTATTTGTTCGGATTTTTTGAAATCAATATTATGAAACGATGGATGTACAATGATTCGTTTCATAAATGTTCTCTGTCGATTTTTACGTTTTTTACTATCCTCTTCTGATCGTATATCACGATCTTCAGAATCAAAATCATAGTAATTATCTTTGGCTGGTTTAAATCGATTATTTGCATCAATCAAATCAGATGTACGGCAAGTTAATTCGAGTGAAAACCTTTCGATTATCACTTTCAATATTCGACAATTGATTGTCATGCCCATTTTAACTCTTGTTTGTGGATCCGATACCTCTTTATCCGAAAGAAATTTCAACGGTATAATACCGGTAAGGCCATTGTCTAGTCGTGCACGAACACCAAATGCTTGTCCAGGACATTGATTCGTATCAAAATGATTCCATACTTCACCCAATTCATTAAAATCGTCTTTTAGACAGAATGGACATTTCCAAAGTCCGGTTTCCATACGAATTGGCTGTGCTTGATCAACCTGTTCAGTTTTAGGTTTTCGTCGTACAATTCCTGCAACACGAACTTGCACTAATCGTCCAGTATGGAATGTAGTGAGATTTTCTCCAGTCAAAAGTTGAAATATTTCCTCATCATTTGGTGGTCGATACGGTTTCCGTTTATCCTGGTAACGATCAGTTAATTCCGTTCGAATGTCATACAATGTTTGTTTTTTAAGACCAAATTGTTGTCGATGAAGTTCTTTGGCGAATTCATCCAGATCCAAATCACGAAGTTTTTCCGGATTTTCAATAATCTCTTCCAATGCTTGTGCAGGATTATGATCATTATCTTCGTCATAATCTAGTGCATCGACGGCCATTTTTCTAGCCCATTCATATGCTTCTGGATGAACACGTGTACTATCCAAAACTTCAATATAAGTATCGGTACCCGAATCGGCAAATGCATTTGTATCGATTTTGATGAAACCGGCACAATTGATGAAAACAATTTTACCAATGTTACAGTTCTGTATGAGTTGAGATCGATTCTCCAGCAATTGTGTTTGCTGTTTTTTCAATGTTCGTAGTAGATATGCACCTTTACGTGGACCAAGACCACCGATAAACTGTATCAATGATGATGTATAAGGATGTATTATACATTTGTTAATATCAACACCGACTTCGTTGACACGATTTACAAATTCTGCAAAAAGTGCATTGAGTAATGTTTCACGTGGTACACTATCCTGAAGTGGATGTAACTTCAAGCAAAGAATTTCTTCATCAGCCGAACATAATTGAGCAAATTCCAGTAATGGGTCTTGTAATCGTCGTGCTAATGAAATGGCTTGCCGTAGTTTCAATGGATAAGTAGGAAAATCAGCGTTCGCACGTTTAGTATTCATATAAACTATGGATAATTCAGAATCAACATATTCGATGGGTATGAGTGGAAAATGTTTAGTATCATGCAGATGGCGAATCATTTGAATAAGATCATCCATAATATCTTTTGTGACAATCGTATCGGTGCCCAATGCGATTACATGTGGTTTTTTCGATACAATAAAACTGGAAATATGTAAATAGAAAAAAATGATCAGATTTGTTTTCATTTAAAATCACTACATACTTTTGAAGTTTTTCACGATCCTTGTAACTAAAGGAACCACCTTCGACACGTTTTAGCATAAAATGTTCAAGTTTTATGTAATCAGTGACTTCACCATCACCATCAATCAATGCACAAAAGCTAGCTTCTTCATTGTTTGGCACGTGTGCAAAACCCATTATTCGGATACCGTTACGTGTATCGAAATCATTATCATAACTTTCATCATGATCCTTATCTTCCTGTATGAAAGCTGGAACATATGGACCAATGGCAAGATATGATGCTAATTTATCGCCACAATGCTAAAATTAAAAAAAATGCTATTAATCTAATTCTAATCACATCTATAAGATAAACCAACCTGTATGATTGTATGTTGTGCTTCAGACAAAATTTTCGTTGTTAATTCTTTGAGTAAAAATGGATATAAAAAACGATTCAAAGCTATATCCAATGCTTTCGAACGTTGATCATTCCAATCTTGTACATTTTTACTGAATTCATCCTAAACAAAAAATCCAAATATATTACACAATCATTGAATCCAAATCATTCATATACATACCCTTTGATAAAGATATTTAATCTCTTCTAAATACTGTGAAAATGCTTGTTTATTCGTTGCCAAATCATTCGCCATCATACTGGTTGATGCAGTGGACATTGATGATGAATGTTTTTGCGTATTATCATCCAACGTGATGATCATGTCGACAAGACCATCATTTTTAGCGGCATATAATTGAAGAAATTGATCACCAGCAAAACTTGAAATTGGCTTATTTCGTAGATATTTCAATGCATAACATGAATGTGATTCGTCAATTTCTTTTTTTCCTTTTTTCGTCGGTCTCACTGTGATTGTAGCACGTTCATAAAACATTTGCCGTACAGTTTTACGAACTAATGGATCACAGGACAATTGTTTGCCGACCATAAATGTGGCTGCTTGTAAAACTTTATCGGCCGTATCAAAACGTTTGCTAATATGTTCTTGTGCTGCTTCTAATGGATCCACTGGATGTTGTTCGATTTCATGTTTATGATAACCTTCGGATATATGTTCACCAAATTGTTCTGGTGTTAGGCCGAATCTGGATGCCATTCGTCCAGCACCGGAATCACGACAAAATGAATACGAATCTTTTTTCATTGATAAACGCATAAAAGTCATACGTTCAGCAAGCATCAATTCTTCCACTTTTTCATCTTCATCACTCAATTCTTCAGTGGTTGCATTATTCATGTCATTAGTTTCATTATTCACACTTTCACCATTTTCTGTATTACGTTGTTGTTGTTGTTGTTGTTGCTGTTGTTGACGTTCTTGGGCCCGTTGTAAACGTTTACGTTCACGTGCTGAACGTTTTTGTTGTAATAAAAACTTTTTCATATCAGTTAATTCATGACTATAATACAATTGAAATTGGATATAACAATCATTAAATTCTTCAAATGATTGTATTGATTTTGCACGTTGCAAATCTTTATCGGTTATGCGACGAAAATCATCCGGTAATGGTTGATCGTCTTCAGTATTTTTCATCATCAATGATAATTGATAATCTTTCATATTTTCCAATAATTTCAATAGATTTCTTTTTCTTTCATTCAATTGACACCATTTTTCATCCCAATTGAATATGAGCCATAAATCATTGATGGATAAATCTGGTGCATAATATTCTTTACGATAATAGGCTAAAAACGGTATGCTCAATTTTTCATTTCGAATATATTTCAATACTTGTGATATGACATTGATTGTTGATCGTGGTTTTGCACCAGCCAATGGTTGTCGTATACCATGACTTTTATCCTGTTTCGTTATCGTTGGCATTTCATAAAGATTCCTATATATCCATTCAGATTCATCACGAATTTCATTCAATTCGGCTGCTGTAACTGGGAATGATCGTGTCTGAAAACGTTCTGGAGCATCTGTATTACGTATTTCATTATCAGCTTCAGTAAGATGGCTACGTTCTAATTCAGCCGGTTCATAGAGATCGAATATACTTTTTTTGGGCAATCTTTGTCGTTTCTTTTTACCCGTTTCGCGAGCACGATCTTCAAGACCTTCTTCATCATAATCTTCTTCCATTTCTTCTTCATCGAATTCGGCATTATCATCAAATACATCGAAATCAAAATCGACTCCGAATATATCCTGTGCTTGTTGCAATGCTTGATCATTGTAACCAACGCCACGTTTGGATCGTTGCTTCGCCACAATCGGCTGATCATTATCATCGACAATAAAATTATCTTCATCCGATTCTGAATGTTCGGAATCTATGGGAGCAAATTGATCATCACTCGGTTCACGAATGCCTCGATTTTGTGCACGATTCAATTGTTGTTGATCTGCGTTGCCGAAACCATCATCATCATCGAATAATTCATTGGCTATAGCTTCACGTGCATTCAATGTATCACCACGATCCTCTTCATCATCTTCATCGTCATCTTCAAGTCGACGTACACGACGAAATTTTTTCTTTCGTTCAATTCGACGACCAAGATTTTCTTCAAGCAAATCATAATCATCATCTTCTAAATCCTCTTCCAGATCATCATCATCATGTGAACGTTTATGACCACGACCAATATCATCTTCGGAATCAACATCATCATCATCTTCTTCTTCTTCGACATCATCATTGATCAAATCTTTCATTTCCCGTGCGATTATTTCATCTAATAATTCAAAGCAAATGATGATAAAATTAATCAATTGAGAACAAAACGAAACCATGATGAACTTACCATCATCTTCTTCTTCTTCTTCTGAATCTTCATCCGAACCAACTCTTGTTTTTTTATGGGTTTTTAGTTTTTTATGACGACGAATATCTTCACGTACCTCTTCATCTTCACTACCTTCAGATGATACGGCTTCACGATCGAAAAAATCGGCCATTTTTTTGGAAAAAATTGATGTTGATGATTATTATAGAATTTTTAACACAAACACACTTTGAATGTTTCGAACCCTGTAAAAGGGTGAAAAGGCGAAAAAAAAACTAAACTGTCCACACTATATACAGAAAGTTGGTTTGCAAGATTTATACAAAAATTTGGTAAAAAAAAAAAAAAAAAAAAAAAAAATCTAGAATTGACACACACACACACACACAAACACCTTGTGATGATGATTGAATTTAATGATGGCCGTTTACTGGTGTGCATTTTTTTTTTACCAATTTTTCCATTTTCTTTTTAAGAGATGAGCCAAAGAAAAATAATCACTCATTACCCGGATTAATCAAATTATAATCAAAAGATGGCGCTGAGGTTGCGGGTTTTTTTTTGCAATAAAAAAAATGTTCGAATTTTTTTTTTGTTTTCTGTTTTTGAATTTTGAAAATTTTTTTATTGAATAAATCATTTCACATCCACGTCAAATTACATTGTCCGAAATTTTTCAATTTTCATGTTTTTCTTGTGTGTGTGTGTGTGTGGTTTGAGAAAGAGAGCGAGATAGAGAAATGTATCATGTTGAAACAAGTTTTCATTCAATTTCAAACAACAAAAACATGACCCTTTTTTCGGCTGTAATAAAAAAAAAAAGATTAAAGAAAATGAAAAAAAAAATTAATTGTAGTTATTAATAATACAAACGTTTATTATGACCTGATCAATATACGAACGGAAAACAAAACGGTGATGATGATAATTACTAAGATAAAAAAAGGGAGTATACCGAATTTCTGAATGTTTTCATTTCTCTTAACTCTTTTTTTTACCATCAGCAGCAACATTTTTTTTTCTATCATGGAAAATCTATGGAAAAAATGCGAAATGGAAAAAAAAATTACAAAGGTGCGGCATAATCGTGTGTCATTTCGGAAATTTTTTTTTACCAAAAAAAAAATCAAATTGACCCGTTCAGATTTTAAACATTGGTAAGTTTATCATATGTTTTTTTTTCTCGAAAAGTGTTTTCAAGGAATTTGATCCATTCGGATATTTTTGTTTTTTACTAATTTTTAATTTTTAAATTTTTTTTTTTTTTTGAAAACAACAAGTAATCATAATAATCATCAACACTATCTATAGATGATGATGATGATGATGATTAGGTTTTATTATCATTATTATAGTTGGACAGGTTTTTTTTTCTTTGGTCAACAAACAAGTTGTATGGCTATTTGATGGAAAAAGTTTTATTATCGATTAGAGAGCCATAGATGTTGGTGGTGGTAAATATTTTTTTTTCACTAATCTATTCACAAAAGTTGATTAATAAGTTTTTTTTCAGAAAAAAAATATTTTGCCAACTAGATGATCCTCACGATGAATCGAGATTTGTGAATTGAATTTTTTTCCATCATCATCATTATCATCATCATAAACGATAGATAACTACTATACTCGATAGTTTCGGGCATTGCAGTTTCGCTTGTTGGCCAAAAAGGACATCAAGTTTTTTTTCCTATTCGAGCTTTTCCTGTTTCACTTGATCATCAATTTATGAACGAAAAAAAAAACAAGAAAAAAAAAGAAAATGAAAACCTGAATCAAATTGTAACTTTGGAATATTTGGAAAATTCAATGGAGATAGATTTTTTTTTTTTTTTTGTTTTGAAGCTCTTAAGCCAGTTTTCAGGTTCGATGACTATTTATTATTCTATTTACTAACCAACACTCAGAAAGGAACGTGGCAATTTTTTTTCTCCCTTCTATCCTTGATTTTTTTTACAAAGCTCATCATCATCACAATTACCGTCGTCGTCATCATTATTATGATGATGATGATCGTTGATTATCAACAGCAATCATAGACACACACACACACATATTATTCTCCAATTACACAACCAAATGATGAATCATTTTTTTCTCAATGAATTTGAATTGAATACCATCAAGCATGGAAAAAACCAGTTCATGGAAGCAATCAACAAACAATAATTTAGTTGCAAAGAATTTGCCGAAAAAAAACCAGAAACCTCAACCTTATTATATACATCCATAAAATTCATGTTTGGGATTATTAATATTATTAAATCACACACATTGCCACTGCCACCACCATGCTAAATCAAAAAAAAAAAAAAAAAGTTTGAAACACGTTGATGCACACACACACACACACACACATTACCGGCTTTTTTTCTCTTTAAATACCGGGTGATTCAAAATTATAATCTCTTTGACGAGAAAAATGTTAATTCAAATGATTTACCAAACACCCTATATATATGAAAATATCTATACTATTACAAGCATGCGTGTTTAGCATGTTAAAAAAAATTATCATGAAAATGCCCGACATGCGCATGTTTTTTTTTTTTTTTTTTTTTGATAATGAGATAGGGTGGCAAGTGCCGGAATTTTTTTTGTTTCTTTCTTTTCGTTATAATCAATATTTCAAAGTTTTTTAGCATGCGCCTGTTTGTGTGTGTGTGTGTGTGTTTGTGCAATAACTCCACGTTGAATGTACGCGTATGCACAGTAAATTGTGAGATTGAATGAAAAATCCGAGTTAGAACGTTCACGACGCCACCACCACCAAAACAGTGTGTGTGTGTGCACCATTCATTTCGGCATTTTTTCCCTCTCTCTCTCTCTCTCTCTGTGTATGTAATACACGCTGTCGTTTTTTTTTTGCACATTGTTCCACATAAACCACGCGGTTTTTCATTATTTTTCATTCAATGATGATGATGATGATGAATAATAAATCGAAATAAAAAAAAAAAATTTCCGAAATTTAAATTTTGTTTTATTGAAAAATTTCTTTGGATTATCATTTTGTTGATTGATAATAAAAATTTATAGAGAAAAAAATTTTTCTGAACAAAAAAAAACCGAATCAAGAAGAAAATCGAAAAGTTCGAACAAAACACCCTTAACACACAGGGGACAGCAACAGCAGCAGCAGTACAGTGTGTTTGTTTGTCTGTGTCTGTGGTGGGTAAGAAATACGAAACAAAATAACAAACAGAACCACCACCACCACTGCGATCAACAACTTGATAATCCCGGCTTTGAAAATTAGTCATCAAAACAACAACAACAACAACAAAAAAAATTCGAATGTTCAATTTATGGATCAACATTATCATCCACAACATCAATAAATAGAGGTTAGTTTGAATGATTCAATTTCAATTAAATATAAATTGTGAAAAAAATGAATTTCTTTTTATTCAATTTCGAATATACAAAATTATCGATCGATTTTCGATTTTTTTCCACTTTTTCTTTTTCTTTTTATGTTTTGTACACATCATCATTGATTATATTGATTTGACTTTTTTTTTCTTTATTTCTTTGATTGATTGAAAAAAACTTTTTTCTGAGAAAATTTCTGTTACACAGTCACACACACACAGACGATAAACGATAACAAAGATGATGATGATTTGATTGTTGATTGTTGTGGATGTTGTTAATGGAAAGAAAGCAAAAAAAAAAAATAAATTGAGAAATGATGAATACATGTGGATACTAATCATTTTACACACCAAAAACATACAGACAAACATTTCGCCACGCCGTACATTTTTTTTTTTATTACTCTCATTTCTTGTATGATGTGGCTGGATCTATCTCTTTAAGAAAAAACACACACACACATCACATCACCACAGAAGACGAATCCTATTTTTTTTCTTAATCCAAAATAGATCCACCTATTTTTTTTTTACAAGCCGGTGTTTTTGTGTGTGTGTGTGTTGTGGAATTCGAGTTGTTGACAGTGTTTGGTGTATGGGAATAATAATAAAATACAGACCTAGATTCTTTGTGTTTTTTCATTTCAATGATTCTTGAATTTTAATAGTTTTTTTATATAACAAAATAAATGTTCTTTTTTTGTTTTTTTACCAGAATTTCAAACAAATGATGATATGATTTAAATTAAAATGTAGGTGTATTGATTATGTCTTTTTTTCATTCTTTGAATATCAACCATCATTGATCATGTTCGGTCGAATCGACCGCGGTTCGATCGATGGTTGAGATTGTACACGTGTCAGCCTTGATTTTGATTTTTTTTTCGTCATTTGTAACAAATTTTCTTTGGATAGGACATGCTTATCATTGATTTTTATAAATATATATAGATCCTGTGTTTGTGTGTGATTAGATAAGCGTTTTTCATTCAAAAAATGCTCGTGATTTGATTTTTGATATTCTGCCTTTTTTTTGATATACATGCCCCCAATGCTGCAACGATTCGATTGATTTTCAATCGAAAAAAAATTGGTCTGCAATTTGTGATCATTTTTTTTCTTCGAAAAAAAAACGTTGCAAAAATTAATTTTCAATAATTTGTTTTAAATGTTTGAAATTTGAAATTTTTTTTGTTTATCACAAACATTTACTAGCTTATTCGATACAATAATTTTGTTTTTGTTTTTTTTCCATTACAAAATTATATAGATGGATCCAACTGAATCAATATTGTCTACATTGAATTATACATTCGATTCAATGAATCATAATTTTGACCATACAACAACACCATTATCATCATCATCATTAACAACATCGACATCGAATGATTTTGGTTATAATGATTTGTTATTGAATAATATACATGATGTTGATGATTTTCTTACTGCCGATAATTTATTGGACACAATCAATGATCAATTATTATTTCCATCATTGAATAATTTTGATGAATATTATGATGATGATTTCTTTTCATCATCGTCATCATCATCTACATTTGGTAATAATAATTTTGGCAATTTTACCGGTGTTAATGGTGGTGGAATAAATCAATCATCATCATTTAAACAACAACATCATCATCAACAACAACAACAGCATATGAAACTACCTAAAAAATCCACACCAACATTGATTTTAAAAAATTCAAATCCAACTGTATCGATATTGAAAACAACAACAACAACAACAACGAAGAAAACAACAAAATCTCGATATCAAAGATCAAAATTATCGATAAATAATTGTCATAAAAATGCTTCAGCAACTGCAGCAGCAGCCGCCGCCACTACTGTCGTTGCTGTTGCAACTACTACAATCGCTCCAAAAGTTTATGTATCACAAAAATCATCAAAAAAACATGATAATAAAGGCACATCGATTTTGGTGAAACATCAGCAGCAGCAGCAGCAACAAAAACAACGAAAAAATTCACCAAAAAAACGTTCATCATTATTATTTTCACCAATGAAAAATAATTCAGCATCAGCAGCCGAACCGATTTCAGTTTTAATGCCAAAAGTAGTCCAATCGCTATTTCCGCCATCATTACAACAGCAACAACAACAACAACAAAAACAATTATCTACTAAACATTATGGATCAGAATTCTTATATCATCATATTTCATTAAGAGATCATGATTATTGTACTAATACAATATTTGTACCGTTAACAACAACAACAACAATGACAACCGAAACGATATCTTCAACTAATGATAATGGTGATGATGCTCATTGTAAAATAATCAATGAAACTAAAAATGAAATTGATGACATTCTTAATGGTTATTGTCCAGATGATGTTATGCTCAAAGAATTACCTGAATGTCTTTCCGATCTAATTGGTGGATTGGATAGTGGTGATCTGATGAACAACAATACCGATGATCTTTTAAATCATCTTAATGATGGTATTTTAATGATAATATTATTTATTTGTCTGTTTGTTTTAATTGTATTTTTTTTCCTCCAAAAAAAAAAAATCTAGCTTGCAATATAATGACCGAACAATATCTAGAAGAAGCATTATCAAATCAGGATGAGTTGAAAAATTTACCAGATTTAAATCTTACTGAAGAAGATTTAAAACAAGTTATTGATTCTTGTTGTTACTCTGAAGATGGACAACAATCATCGACAATAATGACCAATGATGATTTGAATGATATTTGTTATGATCAATTTGTTACAAATCCTTCTGATAATCATACAATAATATCATCATCAAATATTGATAATTCAGATTCTGCAAGTGTTACAACCGGTTGTACAGATGATTCATTATTAGATGATAAACAACAAACATCATCATCATCATTTATTAGGCTCAAAAATCAAATGAAATCTAAACGTAATCGTAGTCTTTCATCATCATCACCATCATCAACGATGATATTGACAAAACGTAAACGAAGATTTTCAACACGTTCATCGGTGAATAGTTCAGATGCAATGTCATCATCTGAATCATCGTCATCAATAGAATCATCAAGTTCACGTAGTTCATCACCGGAAAGATCATTTAATTTGGCTGTAAATTTTACACCAAATAATAATTGTCATAATTATTTTTATGCCAAAAATCATTATAATAATGGTGGTAGTAGTAGTAATAGTAATAGCAGTAGTAATAATAATAAGTATCAACAAGCGATAAAGAAAAAATATCGTATAGAGATGAATATGGATAAAGGTAAACAATGGACAAAAGCTTATTCGAAAAATATATTGAAAAAACAAACATTGCCATCAACAATGAACAAGAATAATAAATGTCATATAATTCATTCAGTTCCAACCATCATCAGTAATAAACATCAGCAACAGCAAAATGTTGTAAATGGCTCTAGTCATCATGATGATGTTAATAATGATAATAAAGACGATGAAACCGTATTGTATATTGGAAATATTCCAGGTGGTGGCCATTTTACTAAAAATGATATACGTTTTTGGTTCAATAAATTTGGTATTATTGAAGATGTACAAATGTTTCAAAAACAAACAAAATCATTTGCATTTGTTCGTTATCGGAATGGACAATCAACAGCAAATGCTATCAAATGTAAGTGTGTGTGTGTGTGTGTGTGTGTGTAGTTTTTTGAAATTAAAATTTTTTTTTCTATTTCCACACAACAATCCATAGATGGCAACGATGATTTAAATCATCCAAAATTTATACTTTCATATGGTGGTGAAAATCGACGAAAACATTATAAAGATCTTGGTTAGTAATAGATCATTAGTAGAGTTGGTGATTATTATTTTTTTGTATTTTTTTCAGATTCAGTACCAGAAAAATTGGATTTTAGGATAAACATTAACAACAACAACAACAATAACAAAAGTATCGGTGGTGGTGGTAATGATGATGAAGATTTTGATACATTATTACGTTCAGCAACGGAATCGTTTAAAGATTTTAAACAAAAACAACAACAGCATCAACAACAAAGAATTTGATTATGTGGTATGGTGGTGTGGTGTGGTGTCTGGCCATCCATTCACACACTCATCCATCCACTACTAATTAATTTCTTATGAAAAAAAATGTGATTTATTTTCGATTTCGAAAAAAATATCCCGATTTTTTTATTGTTGTTGTTGTTGTTGTGTCAAAAATACCAACTTCTTTCTCTCAATACATACATATACAAACATTTTGTCCATCTACTGGATATATATGGCACTACATGATTGAACAAAGCAATCGTTTTTTTTTTTCTATTTCTTCATTTTCGTTTTTCGTTGTCAAAGTATTTTTCAACACAAATTTTCATATTTCATTTCATTTTGTGTTTATCATTATGATGCTCTTGAAATATTTAAATCTCTCAGTTTGATCTGATTCAGTTTTCACACACACACACAAACACAAACACACTATTTATGCTACAATCCTTTTTTTTCTATTTTGTAATCATCATAAACACCTTGATTTTAAAAAAAAAATTTTCCATCCAAAAAAGACAGGAATTTGATTCATTCATGAAACACTACTAACTATCTGATTTATACATACATACACATATTTAATGTTCTATTTTGAGTTTTTATAAACAACAACAACAACAACGATCCACAACGACCCATAAAAATCATAATCATAATCACTATATATATATGGCGGCAGTGATTATGATTTTTGATTTTTCTTGATTTAATTTGAACCATATTATACATATTTAATATAATAAAACCACAATATACTTTTTTTGTTTACATCATTACACAGACGGCGGTAACTTTGCTGTTAGTAGTAGGAGATGACTACCAGAAATACAGAGAAACAAGAACAAAAAAAAATTCATCATCACTACATTTATATATTTGCTGATTAATAAAATTTCTTTTTTTTCAATTTTAACAATTTCAATTTTTTTTTTTTAATTCGAATTAACAAATGTTTTCAAAGTTTGCTGATAGATGGTGGTAAGATTGAATGTTATATGTTTTGTATTTGGCATTTTAAATTTTTTTTTTTCCATTCGACTATTTATTGATGGATTTGACTGTGTGTGTGTATGTGTGGTGTTAATAAATTAATTTGTATTTGTATATATAGTTGGTTGTTGTTTTGTTTTGTTTTTCTGGTGGTTTAACACAATCATCATTTTCATTTTCAATTTTATGCACCTTCTTCTTCTTCACCTCTGGTCAAGATTTGGGCAAATTTTTTAATATCAACATTTCCCCTACCATCAGTTGGTGCTTCAGCTAGAATATTGTCAGCCTATGCATGCACACACACAAAAAAAGTAAGAATGTTTGAATGAATTAAAAACACAATCGATTAATTTGATAAATTCGCTTTTTTTTGTATTTACCTCAGATGCTGAAAATTTTTCACCCCATGTAACCAATGAATGGCGAAGTCTACATGTGTGTGTGTGTGTGTGATGTGAATGGAGAAGAAAGCATAAAGAATTTGTTGGTGAATTGGCATAAATCCAAATGAATGAATAAATATACATACGTTTCTTCTTTACAAAGACCATCTCCTTCATCGAATTGTGCAAATGCATTGAGTATAACATCTTCTTCATCTGTACCTTGTGTACGATCACCAAATATGGTTAAAAACATTGTGAAATTGATTGGACCAGATGCTTCTTTAATCATTCCTTCTAATTCAGAATCGGTACAGATACGGCCCAATGAATCAAATGTAGCACGAATATCGTTTTTCGAAAGAAAACCATCCTTATCTTGATCAATAAATTGGAAGGCTTCTTTAAATTCGGCAACTTGATGTTGTGTAAACATTGCAAATACATTCGAACCGGAACGTTGTGCACGTTTTTTCGAGCTTGTTTTTGGTGCTGCCGATTCTTCAGCAGCGGCAGGTGCTGCTGCTGGTTCAGCTGCTGGTGCTGCTGCCTTTTCCGATTTCTTACTTTTCTTCTTCTTTTCTTTGGTTTCATCAGCCTAAAATTTGATTGAAATTAACGAAAAAAAAATTCACAAAATCAATGAATGAATAAAATGGTTTTCGACGAGATGAAACAACACACACACACACACAAAAAGAATCGAAAAAATCTTACCATTTTTTTCAAAAGATTTTATTCTTCAAATTTCACAAACAATTCAAACAACAACAACAACAACAACCAGCAACAACTAGCTCCAGAATCGAAGTGAAATAAATTTCTACAAAATGAATTCTAGTTATTTATCAATCAGTCTGTCTACATCAGATCATCATTGAAAAGGCGGATTTACCATGAATACCAGAATTTATGCATCAAGAATCAACACCAACAACAACAACAACAACAAAACAGGGCGTGTATCGAGTTAAGAACTTTAGAATTTCAAATCAGTTTAATTATAAACAAACGATATGGCAAGCCAACCAACCAAACAAACAATAGCACACAATAGGATGCCATTGAATTCATGGAATTTTGAGGTTCGATTCAATCGTTCATCATCATCATCGTATATTTGGAGGTGTGCCATATTCTTCTACCAAATGATCTTTTCATAAGAACATTCCATATGTCGAGGTTAAGTCATGTGTGTATGAATATCACTAAAACCACCACCACCACCACCACCACCATTACCGCGAAACACAAAAATAGGACAAACACATACACACACACACCAACAGACACAATGATCTAATCCGAACACGACGAAAGAAAAAAAAGGAAATGAATTTCTTTCACATACCATTACCATTTTTAATTATTCTTAAAACACACACAGATTTTTGTTCACTAGATACATACATTGATGAACGAAAGAATTTTCATTCTTTTGTTTCGACAATCATCATCGTCATCTGAATGAATGAAAGAAAGAAAAACGAACAAAAAAAAATTCTTCGGAATATGATTTCTATTCTTGGCAAAAAAAAAATAAAATAATGAAAATTCCGATACAGATTTAAATGAGAATGAGAAAAAAAAGAAAGAATTGAGCAATCGACAAATCCATTGTTGTATCAAATATCAACATAAAAACAAGAATAAATGATGATGATTGGAAAAAAATCACAAAAAATTCTTTCTTAATCGCAAACTTTCATTGATTGATTGATTGATTGATCAATATTTTTCATCTTTTTGTAAATATTCATAAACAAGGGTACTGGTCTCATGCTTTTTCAAAAAAAACAAAAATTCAATTCAATTTCTACTTGTTACACACACCCAGACACACCGAGAAGAAATTTTAATCTTTCGGTACATAATTCATGTTTGTTAATGAAAATGATGATATACGGTTGTTCGACATTTCGACATTCTCATATTCATCATCATCATCATCAGTTTTTCAAGTTTGCAATTCATTAGTTACACAAACAAACAAACACACCGATTTTTTTTTGGCAACAATTCAATGGCATTTACCGATCATCATCATCATCATCATTTGTTGCTGTAATCACACAAGCACCAGGCCAACGAGAAAACACGAGTTTCTTTAAAAATTTATTTATTTTTTTTTTTAATTTTCAAAAAATGAATTTCCACTGCTGCTGTTTTATATTTTTTTTTGTGTATGTGTGGGCGGTGGTTTTTTTTGGATTTTAACATTTTTTTGTTGTTGTTGTTGTTTCTGTCCGATTAAAAATTCAAATTCATTGAAATTCTAAATGGCAAAAAAAAAAAAAAAAATTTCCACCTACCCATCTCCAGTCCAAAATCAATTTTTTTTTTTTTTTTGAATCATGTATAAAAAAAACAAAGGAAAAAGAAAAAAACACAAATTCACATAAACATACCACCATCAATTGGTGGTGAAAATTTAAGAAATGAGAGAATTGAAAGAATGAAAAAAAAATTGAATTCTGACCAAATTGAATTCTATTCTGGGTGGGCGTATGGTTGGTTAGTTGTGTGTGTGTGAAATGTAAAAAACATTTCAATAAATTAATTTACAAATTTTTTTTGGTGCTGTTTTGCATTTTTTTTTTTGTTTTGTTTTGTTATCGAAAATCAGGAGAAAGAAAAATTGGACTAAGTAAAAAATAATAATGGCCATATAAACGACACATCATCATTACCAACATATATCGCTAAAATTGTTTTTGTGTTTGTCTGTCTGTTTGTTTGTTGGTTGGTTGAAAAAAAATAAAAGAAAAAGGGGGTATTGTGTGTGTGTGGATGTAGTGTTTTTTTTATAATTTTCTGATAATAATAGGTGTATGTTTGTGTGTGATTTGAGATTTTTTTTTACAAATCTTCATCATCATCATCTGGTAAAGCAGTATTCTGTGCTTTGAGCATATCATCTTCCAATTTACGTTGCCATTCTTCATCCATTCGTACTTCAGGTGGTGCCAATGCAGGCATAGCAACAAATTCTAGATTTGGATCACCAACTAATTTTCTTGCCAGCCATAAGAATGGTTTTTCAAAATTATAATTTGATTTAGCTGAAATGTCATAGTACTATGGATAAACAAAAAAAGATTAGAATTAGTGATTTTGTGAATATCGATTTTATCAATTACGTCATACCTGCAAATTCTTTTTACGATGAAATACTATAGATTTTGCCTTGACTTTACGATCTTTTATATCCACTTTGTTACCACATAAAACAATTGGAATATTTTCACATACACGTACAAGATCACGATGCCAATTTGGAACATTTTTATATGTAACACGTGATGCAACATCAAACATGATTATAGCGCATTCACCTATAATAATAATATGAATAAATAAATAAAATGTACGAATTAACAAAACCAAATTTCAAATACGAAAAAAAATTATATAAACGTATAGGAAAAAAACAATGACGTAATTCTAAAAATGAAATAATCTGGCATAAATTCTGGACGACAATGATTACATTGTATGACATCATCATATCATAACGAAATCACATCGTAATTCGTTTATGCCGTTGAAAAAAAGAAGTGTTTTCTTCTTGTTTTTTGAAACAAAAATATTTTTCGCGAACCTTTAATGTAATAACCATCACGAAGACCACCAAATTTTTCTTGACCAGCTGTATCCCAAACATTAAACTTGATTGGACCACGATTAGTATGGAATAATAATGGATGCACTTCAACACCCAATGTAGCAACATATTTCTTTTCAAATTCACCAGTCAAATGTCGTTTGACAAATGTTGTTTTTCCGGTACCACCATCGCCAACAAGTAAACACTATTTATATTGATTATTCCAGGAATCGAATTCATTTGTGACAGTGAAAAAAATAATAAATATAAAACCCATTTTAGAATTTTTTTAAAATCATCCAATTCCATTTTTTAACAAACCTTGAATGATGGCATATCTGGCTCTTGTGGTTGGCCTTGCATTTTTATTTTCTTATCGTTTCAATTTTAAGCTGTTATTAATTGGAATAGCAAAAAACTGTTAGTACTTGATCAGTTTGTTAATAAAATATATAATAATGAAATAATCTTAAACAATGATTTCAAGTCTATTCAAATAATATAATAATATCGGGCACATGGACATTGAATTGAATCAAACAACGAATGCAATGATTCAATATTATAAAAAAAATATATGCCCAACAAACGCTATAATCAACATATATATGTACTAACCTGGATCTAGAATATTCGAATGTGTGAATGTTTATGAGAAATTCAAATCAAATCAAAATTTGATAAAAAAAAAAATAATAATGATGAAATGGATGATGATGATGAAAGATTAAAATTTAAAAAAAAAAAAAAATAAATTCTTCAATTATCTAGCCGGTTGAAATCGAATGTCTTCAATCTTTTTATTCACACACACACACAAAATGCTGCTGTTGGAGCACACGACACACACACACAAATAGATAGGACCTGTCCGTAAAAAAAAAATGCTTTCACTACTGCTTCTATGGCTGCTGTTTGATGATGATGATGAGATAATGTGGTGTGTGAGCCAAGCTCAACGTTCATTTTTTTTTTTTTTTTTTGTTCTTTTTCTTTCATTTTTGTATGCTTCTTATTTCTATATGGCGGAGCCAAAAAAAAAAAAAAATACCATGCTGCCAGTTTTGGTTGCCATCTATTGACGATTGTGAATAAAATGTGTGTGTGTTTTCCGAAAACTTTTCATTTAGATTATTTTTTGTCGAAAAGTTTCTAATTTTGAATAATCCGTAATTTTTTTTTATTATTTCATTTATAGAATGGTAAGATAAAATTTGAAAAATTAACAACAATAACGATCATGTATGTATGAATGACTAGGTATGGATGTTTTCATGTTCAAAAAATTTTCGGAATGATTAATTAGGCTTGGAAAGACAAATTTTTTAAAAATAGAATAAAAACAAAATCAACGAAAACTAAATGGACAAAGAATATCATCATCGAAATTCGAACCAATTGGAATCTCTGCTTTCCTTAGAAGATGTGCATCATATTGTCCTTCTTTTGGTAATTTTCCTTCCGGACCATGGAGAGCATGTTTCTAGATCAAGAAAAATTAAATTATTGATTGAAAAACAGAATTACAAAGAAGAAAAAACAAACCCGAATAAAATTGACAATTTCATGTGAATCAACATAATTCATTCGTAAACGACAACCCCATGCAATCAATGCTAATGGTCGTTTATGATCTAATCGATATGAATCTGGTGTAATCACATGTTTTCGAATACAATTTCGTACCAATTTTTGAAGTTTATCCACCATCATTGGATGTGCACATGGATGATATATCATTATGATTGCACCATGCTATGTGATTAGAATCAGAATTAGATTAGAATATTCAATCAAATTTGAAATCAAATTAAAAACACACCTCAACATTATGTAACCATCTTTGTGGTGGAATAAAACGATATTCACCAAATATTGGCCATAATGGACGATGATCACCATATGTTGGTAATGATGAATGATTACTATAATCAATACGATCTTTGATACAAAAATGTTGTGGCTAATTCATAGAAAAAAAAAAACAAATAAAATCAACAGCTCCATTTATGTGCAAATATATCAATCAATTTTACCATATAATCTGGTGATAATTTTTCACATTCAACAATTGAATCAATTCCCGTATCGATACCATATGGTATACGGTGATAACAAGTATAATTTATCGGTGATCCATTCCAATCGATATCAAGATCCGTCTGATTTGTATTTGGGAAAAAAATAAATCAAAATATAAAATCAAACAGGTCGAAAACACACAACACACACACAGACCTTTGCATCATCACATTCAGGCAATACCTGTCCCATACGAATACCATGTTTTTCATCGGTAATATTTGGATTATTTTTTAAAAATTTTTCCGTATTCGATACTGGAATCGATTGAATGGAAAAAAATTTGTATGAAAAAATCATCACCAAAATGATAATCAAATTGTTCATCTTTCTGTTTTGTTTGTTTGTTGACAAAGAAGTTTTTTTTTTCGTTTCGAATGGATAAACGAAAACTCAAAATGATGGCGATGAAAATCAAGGCCAACCAACTTTTGCTTTCTTCTTATTTCCAACATTCTTTCTCTCTATATCTCTATATATATATCGTGCATCGTAGTTTGTGAAATGAAAAGTTTCAGTCCACATTACACAAGACATGCAATTATAATAATAATAAACTTGAATTAAGTGTGTTTGTGTGTTACTGTGTGTCTGTATATGAGAGATGGATAGATAGAGTGATAGTGAGAGAGAGATGGATGAAGATTTAATAGAAAAAAAAATAAAAAATAAGGTGGACGTGGCCTATTGATGATTTTTTCAATAACAACAACAACAACAACAAGAGCAAAAGACCAACATCACCAAATGAAAACGGAAAAAAAATTCGGCCCATATTGTAATGTTGTTGAATATATGCAAATGTGTGTTGTGTGTTGATTTGTTGATTTGTTTGAATTCCATAATGCAAAATTTTTTTTTTTTTGATTTGATCATCAATTTGGTAATCATCATTGATTGATTGATTGATTGATCATCCAATCAATGACCAAATCAATCAATCAAAAAAAAAAAAAAAAATTATGATGATCAATCCGAAGAAGAATGGATGAAGAAAAAAAATGACATGACAACAATATCATTATATTATTATATACATGGGTAAGGTGAGTAGCAAAAAAAATTTTTTTTCTTCACACAGACAAACACGATTATCATACGTGTTTTTCCCAATTTTTTTTTTACTGGTTAACGATAAATCAATCAACAAGTTGACAATGACATTATCAAGTTTGTCCTTGCTTGTTTGTTTGTTTGTTTGTTGTATTTCATCGTTGTTTTTTAAGGCCAAAAAAAAAGAAGAAGAAGAAAAGAAAATTTTCTTTAAATATGAAAATGAACAACAACAAAAAAATCTGGCATAAAAAATATATACAGCAACCAATATATAGGTCATGTGAGCATCAAAATTAAAATTTTTATATATATTATATATGTGAAAATCACATGTTTCGTTGTTGTTGTTGTTGTTGTTGTTCGTTTGTCTGGTCTTTGTTGTTGTTGTTGTTGTTGTTATTATTATTGTTGGTTAGTTTGTTCTGTTCTTCTGTTCTCACTTTCACTATTTACACGCACGCACACACATCACAAACACACACACACAAAAGAAGAAAAACCCTTTGTATTTTTGTTTGTTTTTGAAAAAAAAGTGAAAAAATTTGTTTCTCATTTCCACTCTTCTATGATTATTATTATTATTATTATGATTTGATGTGATTCCTTAATTCTGGATTTTCTGGATTCCTAGTCTGCAAACAAACAAACAAAAAAAAAAGAGAGAAAGAAATTCTACTTGATTATGATTCCATATCAAACAAAAAAAAAAACAAGAATGCGATTAAGCTGATGATCATATTAGCATGATAATTTGCTAGTCAAAAAATTGATTTCTTCTTCATTGCATTCGATTTTGTTTGTTTGTTTGTTTTTTTTTTAATTATTCGGACGATATTTTTGATTTTTATACTAACAACCAAATAAAAAAACAACAACAAACAAACAGCAACAACAAGTAACCAATTTTTTTTTTTGTTTGTTTCGAATTTTTTTTTTTTATTATTACCCAATTGTGATGATGATCTCATCGATGATTACCATGTTACGAATCGATAATTGTTTTAATCGTTTATTATGGTCAGGTTTTAATTCAATACGATCATCGAAAACGCCTGTTGTAACGGCAAGCCATCCATCAATAATATGTTTTATTCAAAATCATCAAATTCATCATCATCACCATTGTCATACACGAACATTATCATCATCGACGACGACGACAACAACAACAACAGTGGGCAAGAATTCGATTCGTGATAAATTGGATCTAACATTTAGCGATACTGAACAGGCATATCGTAGTAAAACAACATTCGAATTAATACGTGCTATTGCCATTCTTTATGTCAGTTCATTCGATACATTAGTCTTTAATCATGATATGGTATGAATTTGATAACGAATTGATTTGAAATAGAAATTTTAACATTTTCTTATTTCCAAATTCACATATAGTTATTAAAATGGTCAAGACGTTTAATGGGCGAACGTCTATTTCATTATCTAATGCGTTCAACATTTTATGGCCAATTTGTTGCCGGCAAAGATCAAGATGATATGAAACCTGTATTAGATCATTTACGATCATTTGGTGTTAAATCCATTCTTGATTATTCGGCTGAAGAGGATATTGAAAAAAAATTCGATAAAATTTCTGATAAACAAAAAGGAAAAGAAAAAGCAGTAAAACAATATGAATATGATGATGTTGTACATGGTCGTCGTGAATATCGTCCTGTGGCCAGAACTTATTTCTATATGAATGAAGCACAATGTGAAAAAAATATGGATATTTTTCTACGCTGTATCGATGTTGTTGCCGGTGCTACATATGGTACTGGTTTTGCTGCAATCAAATTGACTGCACTTGGTCGGCCAGAATTATTGTTACAATTATCGGAGGTTATAGCAAGAACAAGAAAATATTTTCAACAAATCACTGGACAAAACTCTATGGGTCTTGGCAATATAACACCGGAAGAATTTCAAAAACAATTGGATCAACGTTTCAATTTGAATGTTGATAATACGGAGATTGCCACCTTTTTGAAACGAATGGATTATGATCAACGTGGCCTGATGAATCTTTTTCATGGAATGGCCTGATCGATATGGATACATTGATTAATGATCTATTCAAAGTGCCAAATCTTCGTACTGGCCGTTTGGAAATGATTATAAATGCATTGAATCAAGAAGAAGAAGAAATGTTTCGTAATATGATGCGTCGTACACATACTATTGCACGTGCTGCAACCGAAAATGATGTACGTGTTTTAATCGATGCTGAACAAACTTATTTTCAACCTGCCATCAATCGTATTTCATTGGAATTGATGCGTAAATATAATAAAGAAAAGCCGATCATTTTCAATACTTATCAATGTTATCTCAAGGTATGTCCATCAATCAATCAATGAATGTATAATCACATACCATATTGATTTCTGTTTCAATAATGTAGAATGCATATGAAACATGTGAATTGGATGCAGAATTATCACGGCGGCAAGGATTTTATTTTGGCGCAAAATTAGTACGTGGTGCATATCTAGAACAGGAACGTTTACGTGCCAAACAATTAGGCTATGATGATCCAATTAATCCAACATTTGAAGCAACAACGGCAATGTATGAAAAAATTTAGATTTTTTTATGAATAAAATTATCGATACTGGTATTGATAAGAAAAAATTTGCCATAATGGTTGCATCGCATAATGAAGATACAGTGAGATATACATTGAAAAAGTAAGTATAAAACAAACAAAACAAAAAAAAATATTGAAAAAATCAAAAAAAAATTAATTTTTCTACAAATTTAATTTGTTTGAATACAGAATGCAAGAATTGAATATAAAGCCTGAACATAAATTAATTTGTTTTGGCCAATTATATGGTATGAGTGATCATTTAAGCTTTATTCTTGGTATGTAAATTTAAATTTTTTTTTTTTTGATCAAAATTTTAATTGATGAATTCATATTGTTTGTATTTTATTCCAAGGTCAATCTGGATATTCCGTATATAAATATGTACCATATGGGCCAATAGATAAAGTGATGCCATATTTATCACGTCGTGCGTTAGAAAATCATGGTATATTGAAAAAAGCTAAACATGAACGAAAATTATTGATGAAAGAATTATTTCGTCGTATTTGGCGTGGAAAATTATTTCATAAACCGATTGGAAATTATCAGCCTATTTAAGGAGAGGAAAAAAATATTTTTTTTTGATTTTCGATTCAAATCAATTGATTGATTTGTGATTCAACAACAACAACAACAACATGATATTGCTTGACAATTTTTTTTTCTCTTCATGGCAAAATTTTGGACAATTTCAAATTTCAAATTTTTTTTTTAAATTTTCTCACGTTTTTTTGTCTGTTTGTTATACTTTGCTTCAATGCTTTGCTGTTCTATCTATCTATCTATCTAACTAATTAACTCTTTCTGTCTATCAATCAAAATTCAATACTCGTAAATTCGTTGTATTCGTGCCACCACCACCATCGCCACCACCACCACCACCACCACTACCTTTGATGAGATTAATGTTTTTCTGAACGGGTATTTTTAATCTTTTCGCTCTCGCTCTCTATCTTCCAACAACAACAACAACAACAACAACAGAATAATTTAGCATAATAATAAAAGTTTCAAGTTGAATGTATTTTTTTCTCTCCAAAATAATTAGATGATTACGGTAATGATTTCTGTTGAAATATTCGTCCCACGAGCGAAAAAAAAGAACGTTCCTAAATCATCAACCAAGATTTAATTTTGTAACTAAATTTTTCTTCTTCTTTTTTTTCGATTGATTGTTTGTTCCACTGTTGTTTTTAACCGAAAAAATGAACAAACCAAATTGGCTTGTTGGTTTGATTCATCATTTTATCGTCATGTTATCCTTTTTATATACACGAGACGGCAATGAAATTCTTTCTACGAAAAAATGAAAAATAAAAAAAAAACAAATAAAAAATAATCTCCAAATATACTGGCTCAAAAATACAAATTGTCGCCATTCACATTTTTTTTCTAATAAACAATAATTGCATCTCTCTCTCTCTTGCTCTCAACGATTTTAAAATGGAAAAAAAAACTCCAAATCAAGTCCATTTGTGGACGTCCAACAGCGTTCATGTACTTATATAGAAATAATCTTTCAACGAAATAAAATTCATTCATTTCCATCATCATCTCCATCATCATCATCTCCATCATGATCATCATAAACATAATTCCTATTGGACTCATTAAATCATTTTGAACAAAACAAAAACAAAAAAATCACCAAAGATCCTTTTTTTTCGGTATTTATTTCTACATTTTTTTTTCGTTGGTAGATTTTTATCCATTGGCTATAAAATTAATGTTTTCAAAGTTGAAAAAAAATTTTTTTTTTTACGACGACAACAAATGGCTACAAAGTTTATTATTATTATCATCATCATCATCATCATCTGATTGTGTTTCGGTTGTTGTTGGTCATTGTCAAAGAAAAAAAAGAAGATCGTGATGAATGGAAAGCGAATCTTTCAAGTTCAAGTTCAATGTGGAAAAAAAACGAAAAACGAACCGAAACGAAAAAAAAAAATTTATGGCCATAAAAATCATCATCATTTTTTTTTTATTTTTTTTAAATTTTAAATCTGGTAATTTAAATGATAATGGCCATTGCGGCCATCATTACTATCATCACCACCATCATCACCACCACCACCACCATCACCACCGCCGCAACAAAATTTATGATCCACATACACACACACACACCTGATCACATCTCATCCATTTGAATAAATTTTTTTTTTCGTTGTCAAAATTTTCATCATTTATTAATCAATGCATTTTAAGAATAAAAAGAGAGAAAAAAAACGACAGAATTATATATGTTTATTATTATTATTATATTTGAATGAATTAATAAATGAAAATAAAGGCTAAACATGAATTGTATTCAAGAATCAAGAATCAATGACACATATGGTAATAATAATGAATCGAATGATGATGATGATGATTGTATTGTGAATTTGAAATGGACCAGAACAGATAATAATAATGAACAAAAGTGAAAAAAAAATCATGTGAGAATCATACCATGTTTGAAAAAAAAAAAAAAAAAGAAAAAGATTTGTTTGATTAATCTAAAAATAAAAATTAAAAACAAAAAAAAATCATTGCGCATGCTCGTCATCAGTTTTTTTTTGTGAAAAAATTTTCAAAAAAAAAAAAAAACACAAAATTCACAAATCATCATCATCATGTTTTTGTCGTTTTTTGTTTTAAATCAGATTAGATTATTGAAATCATCGGATTCTTATGGATTATGGTTTTTTTTTCATTATTATATAAAATGGCAATACTTTTGTTATGTGTGTCTATGTGTGTGTGTGTAGGCAAAAAAAAATTTTTCGTTCACAAATGAAACAAGAAAAGAAAGAAAAAATTACATTGCACGGTTTGTCATCCATGGACATTTTTGTTTTGTTTTTGCATCATTCGTTCATCAGGTTAATTGTTATATGAAACTGCACCAGAATGGCGGCCAATAATTTGAGCATTTTTTTTTTGTTATACCTCCCTCCCACCTTATTCACACATTGACTTGTCATATAAAAAAAAAAGTTTGTCTGTGTGTCTGTATGTCGTGTGTTTTGGTTTTTTGTTTTTCGTCGAAAATGAATGAATGAATGAATGAATTGATTGATTAGAAATTGAAAAAGAAAAAAAAATTTTTAAAACCTAGAAAAAAAAATTTGAAAATCGGACGTAGTTTGTTGTTGTTGTTGCTTTTTACTGGCCACATCAATAATTTGACAATGGACATCAACCATTCACTCCCACGCACACACACACCCAGTAAGGAAGAAATTTTAAAGTTAAAATTTAGTAGGAACGAATTGAATTCAATTATAAAAAAAAATGATGATGTCCTTATAATTATGATTTATTGTGTGTGTGTGTAAGTTATGTCTGATTAAAAAGCAATGATGACATCTATTTTTAAGATTAAGAGAAATATAATGTAAAAAAAATGCAAATTGGTGAATTTTGAGAATTTTTTTTCAGTATTTTTTTTGTTGAAAAGAAATATCAATCAATCGATTGATTGAAATGCACACGAAAAATTTTTAAAAAAAAAATCTATAATAGAATTCAATTTATAGGCTTGTCTGCCTGTATGTATGTATGAGTAGTTTGAATTTTTTTAGGCAATTCTTTTTTCGTTTTTTTTCTTTTTTTTTTTTTTGAACAAAGATATTGAGAGAAAGAGAAAAATTCCACTTTAATGGGCGTATTTGGTTTCATTATATTTTTTTTGCGGTTGTTGTTGTTGTTGAAAAATTGTTGATTGATAAAAGATTAATTTTTGTTTCCAAAAATTTCAGATTCTTCTAATTATATTAATTTTGTTGTCGTTGTTAGATGTATTATTGTATTGTATCGTGAGCAAACGAGATCAATGGTATGGTAATGCTGATGATGATGATGATGAGGGACGATGATGAGAGAGATGATCAATGCAATTTGGTCAATAATTGATTGTATTGATCGATGTCTGTGTGTCTGTGTGCGTTGGCTTTTAACGAAGAAAAAAAAAGAATAAGAAAAAAAACGATGTTTGAAATTTTCGTCCATAAAATTTTTTATTTCTATTTTGAGATCGTTTTTTGTTTGTTTGCTTGTTTGTTGCATGTCGATGTGAATGAATAGAATGAATGGATGGATGAATGGATGGATGGATGCAATGTGATGAGATATGAATGTGAATGATGATGAATGAATGACAAATTTTATTTGTTGAATTTTTTTCAAATTCTTCAAGAGAGGAGAAATTCTTCAATTTTTTTTTAAATTGAATTAAATGACGAGATTCATATAATATTCAATGATGAGATGAATTTTGAGAAAAAGAAATTTTTGTTTTGTTTCGAAATTAAGATTAGAATAATTCGGTTTTGTCGTTCGTTTGTTTGTTTGTTGTATTTTTGACACATTTTCATTACAAATATATTTGCATCTTTCGTAAATGTGTTTTTTTTGTGTGAGTGGGGTAGTGGTGTTGGCGGTGGCGGTGGTGGATAAGTATCGAGGGTCGCGAGGCAGTGTAACTTTAAAGCTGATTTTTATTTTGAATTCTTATACTGCTATGTTGTTTTTGTCGGTTTATTGACTATGATTCTGTTGATTGATGGCTGGTGTTGCTGATTGTTGAGAATTATAAGGAATGATGTTTCTTTGGGGAGGTCTAGATCTTTTTTTTATTCATTGATGAAAATAGGCAAATATTGGACCGGCATTTATTGATATTTGATGTATGGTGTGGCTGTAAGATAATATGTGTAATGTCTAATGAAACAAACTAGACATAAAATGCAAATGATTTGTCTTATGATCTTTTGTAAAGCTCGAACTTGATGATAATAATACAGCAGCAGCAGCTGCTGCTGCCGGTGCTGTTGTTAGATTTGCAAATGGATGATGATTATGATTATTTGCTGCCATTATATTCTGTTGTTGTTGTTGCTGATGTTGTTGTAGTTGTTGTTGTTGATGTTGTGATGCTGTTATTAGTGGATGACTTTGTGTATATAATGATGTTTCAGAAGAAACGGGATATAGAGATGGACTGTCCTCCTGTTGATCTCGAGATGCCTGTAGATTCTGAACTAAATAAAGTTGAATGAATAGAATTTGGAATTTGGTATCGAAAATTGAAAAAAAAAATGATGAATAAAAGGAAAATTTTTTGATTTATAAACCGACACACATGGAAACATTAACAATAAATGAAAAATGAAAACAAAACAAAAACACATACCGTTTGATAAAACCGATGATTGTGTTCGTAGATTTCCACCATTTAATGTTACAGCCGTTATATGTTGTGCCAATGTTGTTGCCGCTGTCGTTGTTACTACTGTTGGTGATCGTGATTCATGATCATTATTCGGTGATATTGGTGTATTATTACGATTCATTGTTTGATTACCGGTAGAATTTGTTGATGCTGGTGGTTGACTTGTTGTTGTTGTTGTTGCTGTCGTTAAATTTTGACCGGATTGACTACTACGTTCAAGATTTGTTACATTTCCGGCAGCAGCAATTGCGTATGCAGCTGCAGCAGCAGCTGCTGCTGCACTTTGTGCACCACTTGCAATAGCAGCCGCTGGTACTTGTAATAAACGTGATGTAGTTTGACGACGTTGTCCACCTGGACCATAACGTTTAGGTAATGTACCGGCATGTCTTTGCATATGTGTTTTAAGGTTTCCTAGCAAAAAAAAAACAAAAAATTTCCGGAACAATAACGGGAAAATGAATTTTTCTTTCTGTTTCACTAATTATTCATTCATTTACCTTTCTGTGAAAATGTTTTACCACAAAGGCCACATGGAAATCGATCATCTTTATTATGTGTACGTATATGTGTACGCATATTACCCCTTTGTGCAAAGCTCTTTCCACATACAGTACAAGCAAATGGTTTCTCTTTCGTATGCACTGAACGCATATGTGTTTTAAGATTACCACGTTGTGTAAAACTTCTTCCACAACGTTCACATGCATATTCTTTTGTTCCGGTATGTATACGTATGTGTGTATCAACATTACCTTTTTGTGTGAAACTTTTTCCACAAACCTTTTGTTTGTTTGTTGTTGTTGTTGTTTAGTGGGATTTAGAATTTAGAAAAAAAAATCATAAAGAAATTAGAAAATATGAAAAAAGAATACAGAGAATTAAGGGAAAAAAATACACATACATGGCATACATATGGTTTATCTCCCGTATGAATCATCATATGAGTTTTGAGATTTCCTGTGAAATAAAAAACAGAGAATTTTTTTAAATTTGTAATTCGAATCTGTGTGGGCATGTTTAGTTTCTTTTTGTTCGTGATTTAATTATCGGTAAAAAAACCTGAATCATTCACATACCTTTTTGTGTGAAAAATCTATTACACATTGGACAAAGAAATTGTTTATTCTGTTGTTGTGTTTTAGTTAATCGATGATTAGTATTTGGTGCACCACCACCTGATGATTGATTCGATAAACGACGATTATTTATCAGATTATTACCAATACCAGTTGTTGTTACTAAATGTCCATGTATACTGAAACCTGGTGCTGTCATGGAATGTAATGTTGTTGTTGATTGTTGTTGTTGTTGTTGTTGTTGTTGCTGCTGCTGTTGTTGCTGCTGTTGTTGATGATGATGATTATGATGATGATTTTGATGATGATGATGTGTGGCATGATGATGATGATGTAAATGATGACTACCAGCCATACTGAACGATGGATTTATACCGGTAGATATACCAGCAATACTTGTACCAATTTGACCTAAATGACTTGCTAATTGATTTCCAGTAATACCAGCAACAGTTACAGTTCCACCAGTTGTACCAAATAAATGTTTTTCATGTGCCAATAATGTTTCTGGATTTATTGTATTCATTATTGTAATTTTATCTGTTGATGATGATGTTGATGGATTATTATAGAATTGTTGATTATTATCACCAATAATTATTGTTGATAATGAATTTGTATTAAATTGTTGTTGATTATTATTCGTCAATAATGATTGATTATTTGTTGATAATGATGATGATGATGATGATGAACCAATATTTCTTATAAATGGAAATGAATTATGAGTATGATCATGAATATTCTCTATAGATGATGTTGATGATGATGATGATGATAATGATGACGTGCTACGATTCAATGATAATGGTGATGATAAATTATTTAAACAATTGTCCCGTGTTCGGTTACTTTGTTGACCACAAATGGTCATCTTTATTCTAATTGAATTTCAAAACAATTAGTATTATTATTAGTGTTGAATGAATGGTGGCCGATATGTGTGTAGATCGAATAGTTTAATATTTCAAATTCGACTGTTGATGATTATGTTGTTGTTGTGTTTTCGAATGAGATCAGCAACAATACTTGTTGTTGTTGTTGTTGTTGTTGTTTCAAAACCAGAAGGAAATGCAAGAATTAAATTTAAATTTTCCTAGCTGAAAATTTTACAGATGATGATGGCGACGACGACAGAAGAATCGACGATAATTATTATGGCGGTGGTAATTAAAAACTTGAGCATTGGATTATAATATAATTTGTTTAATGTGTGTGTGTGTATGTGATATATGATGTTTGTGGAACAATAAAAACAAACAAAACAAAACAGAAAAGAAAAAAAAATTCTTGAAAAACTCACAAAAGACACACACCCACACACACCCTTTTATCAAAAAAAAAAAATTATTGTGTTTTACACCACGATGACATTAGACACACACACACACACATACAGAGAGACAGACAAATTAGAATTTGAAATTGAAAAAGAATTTGTGTGTTGTTTGTGTGTGTGTGTTTTGATTCGATTCTGTTATACAGATGAATGAACTTATTCTTGAAATGAAAGCCTAAAATTATTACATGCGTGTGTAATGTTTGAAACATATGAAAAAAAGAAGCCTAAAATTGGTTATTATTATTATCGACTTTGTCGATTGAATTTTTGTTTTTCTAAATATATAAAAAATGATGAATTTTTAAATTCAAAAATTAATCAGATCAATTGTGAATCGATCAAATTCAAAATGGAAATATTTTGGAAGCTGTGATTTGTGATGATTTTAATTTTTGCAATCAATTGATCATCGGTACATATTATTATCGTTGTTGTTGTTTAGAGTCGCATTTCATATTATTATTATTATGATCATAATGATGATGAATTTATATGTTAATGATGAGAATATGAAATAAACGACTATGATGAAAATTTGTTAATTTTTAAATTATTATCCTAGAAACAAAACAAAAAAATGAAGAAGAAACAGCAATGAAATTGTGTAATCATTTTGAATGTAGTGATTTTTTTTTTTTTATTGATTATCATTTGATGATAATAGAAATTTTTGAATATTTAGTGTCCAAAGAATTTTTTTTTTCATTTGTTTGGAACTATCACCATGTAGTTTTGTGTTTCTTAATTAATCATTCATCATGGTTAAATAATAATAATGATGATGATGATGATGATCGTGGCCTGATTTGATTTTGGCCATTGAACATTTGTTTATGAATTGTTTTCCATAATAATGGCTGTTTTTGTTGTTGTTGTTGTTGTAGTTCTCGATATTCTTTTATTTCCATGATTGATTTAATTATCGCCATTTGAATTTCATTTAATGATGATGATGATGATGATTATCTATCATTGACAATCAACATGTGGTCTCTTACGAACTCGGATGCACACACACACACACACACTTAGGCTAGCCAGCTAGCCAGATTGTAGAATTGAAAAAAAACGTTTTTTTTTTTTCTTTTCGTTGGTTAGTTGCATATATATAAAAAAAAACTTGAAATTTCAAAATGATGACGATGATGATGTTGTTTGGTTTATATGAAGAGAAGAAGATTATTGTTCAATCATTTAGTGTGTGTGGTGCCTGTGGGCATCGATTTATATAAATCGAAAAAAAAAAGAGAAAGAGATAAAGATCGTTTAGAATGATAAAAAACCAAAAACGACAAATTTTTTTTCAAGATAAATTCATTCACATCCAACACACATGTAAAATAAAATATTTCTGTATTTTTTTTTTTTTAAAAAAAAAGATATAAAACACACGAATAAATGAATGACCGGGCTATATATGGATGATGATGAAGATGACGATCATCAAAGAGTTGTCGTTTTTGGTAGTTGAAATTAAGAAAAAAAAAACAAATTCAAATGCTGCTGCTGCTGATGCTGATGAATATTATGATGATGATGATGACATAAAAATAAATGACCAGCGACCACTATGATGATGAACTGGTTTTTTTTTGAAAATCGCAAATAGCAAATCTTTTTCTTTCAAAATTTATTTCACTCACAAATTGGTGATGATCAGAAATTTATTTTTTTTCTGTTTTCAGTTTAAAAATTGAAAATTTTCAAGTTTATGGGGAAAAAAATGAAAATTTTTTTTTTTTTTTGCATAAACTGAAATGATGATGAGGCGGAGTTTTTAATTTTATCTGGCTGTTTTTTTTTCATTCATTCATCGTTGAAACACACACACACACACACTATTGTCATTTTTTTCATTTATAGATCTATGGCTTTGTGTGATGTGAAAAATGATTATGTTTTTTTTTCTTCTCCAAATGATGCTGAACACACTCGTACACACACACACACAAAAAACAAACAAACAAGGATGGCTTGATTGTGGTTGCTGATTGTTGTTTATGGCCGGTGGATTTTTGTGAATCTGTGAAAAATAGAAATAAAAAGATGAATTATTAATAGGCGTGGTGAAAAGAAAAAGACAAAATGTAAAAAAAAATGATAAATTTGAATGCGAAAAAAACACACACAGACAAATAATTCCGGTTAATGAATTTGATTTAGAAATAGGAATCAAAAAAAAAAATTCTTCAGACGACAACTTTTTCTTTCTCTCTCTCTCTATTTTGAAATGAACAACAACAACAACAACAACAAAAACTTTCCATGTCTGCAAAAGAAAAAAAACGAAGACGGAGAAGAAGAAAAAGAAAAAAAAGTCAAAACAACAAAAAAATCGACATAATTCTCATCATCATCATCGACAACGATGTATTTTACCACTGCTGACCTTCACACACACACACACACACACACACACACGATGATGTTAAAAAAAGGCGACGGCGACAAACAACAACAAAAAGAACCAGGATATCACACACACACACACACACATTGTATAGAGAGTGATGTGAATTCACACAAAATAAGAATCAAGGAAAATGAAATTAAAAACAATTCCGTGTTGTTGTTGTTGAAGTTGTTGAAATATTGAAATTAACCACAACAACAACAACAACAACACAAAAAAACACACAGATTGAGTTGAGTTTATTAAGATAATGCTGACACCACTTGTTGTTGATAAAAATGTTTTTAATCAATCAATCAATCATAATCATTCTAATGTCAAGATTGATTATTGATTGATGATGATGATGATGATGGATATAATTGTCATTTGGCGTTGAAAGTGTTGATTTGATTGATTGATTTTCAAAGACTAAATCAAACTGATGATGATGATCATCATCAAACTAACCGACAATTCATTCGAATTCTATTTCGAAAGAATCAAACCTAAAGAATTAAAATAGCCAATTTGTTGTGTGTGCGCGCACGTAGAAAACATTCGAATGTTGGTGATTTTTGAAACTTTTCCCCTTTATTTTTTTTTTTGTTCCTAATTCCAAATCACCAAAAAATACAAAAACGTTGTGTCTGGTGAATCGACCCAACAAATGTTGATGTCTTAATCTCTCTTTTTTCATTTGTGTCTCAGGTGAAAACTCAATCGACGAATCAAAAACAACCACAGCAACAATACCGTTGTCTCCTATTCTTCCCAAGTGAATTAATTTTGAATAACAACGACAACGACAACAATGTCTCACAAAAAAAAAAATCTGAATTGAATTGAACAAAAACGAAAATGAAAAATTAATCGGATAAAAAACGGCAACCAGACCAAAAAAACCAGCGCTATGAAGAAGAATAAAAAAAATCAAACACAAATCCTCATCAGAGAGTTATGAATTTATTTCCTTTTTCCGGCCACAGCAACAACGACATTCAATCGTTTGGATTGCGAAATACTGATTGGTAATGAATCCGATTAGTATGAAAACGAATAATAACAAGTAAATATTGAATATATCTATACCATTCAATTCAATTCATTACAATCAAAAATCTAAATCTAGCTTTTTTTTCATTCATTTCCTTATTCTGGTTTCTTTTTTCTAGGGAAAGAATTTTGTTATTATTAATCCAAATGCGTCATTTAGTTGTCGAAGATCAACAACAGCAACAGCAACAAAAACCTGTTCCAGAAACCTTTGAACAATCTTCTAAACAAAAAAAAAGTTGATTTGTTTCTTTTATCGTTAAGAATCAGAATGTTTTCGATGTCCAAAACGGATTTCGATTTCTATTATTCATCATTCATATGATTTAATATCCATGATGATTTAGATCCTATGGTGATGACAGCAAGAAAAACAACAACAAAAGCAAATATTCAATCAAATGAAATTCTCCAATAAATAGTACATATCATCATCATCATCATCATCATCGATAAATTTATTCATTACACAATTCATTTGATATATATTCATTGATGATTGGAAAAAAACGAGGGAAAAATATGATTTCTCTCTCTCTCTTTCATTTGGTCGTCGACATTATTGTCAAGAAGAAAAAAAAATGGATTCATTTTCTACATTTGTAAATTGATTATTGTCTATGTGATATGCAATAATTATTATGCACTTTGTGTGTGATATCGAATATCGAAAAAATGATGATGATGATGATGAATTGATGATACTAAATTATCATTGAATACCATTGATAATTATAACAAGCAACCAAGCAGCAAGCCAGCCAGCCAGCCAGCAAAAAAAAAGAACTCAGACACTGATGCAAGGCCATTGACCACCATCATCAGTACATCGATTTTCATATATGATGATGTTTTCACCATTTACAAAAATGTCGAGATCAAAGTCGATCAAACAGAGAGAAATGACTCGAGTAAATTTTCATATTTTCATTCATCGGGTTTTTTTTTCTATCATCATCTTGAAAAAAAAAAAAGAAAGATAAATCAAATCATATTCTGGTTATTTAATTCATTTCAATTCGAGCTTCTGTATTTCATGTTTTATATGGTTAATTCGTTGTCGTATTGAAAATGACTTACACTGAACTATTGATTATGGATGATGATGATGATGAAATTATATTCTTCAAATGATTAATGAAGCCAACAGAGAAAAAAAGAAAAATTTCAAGAATTTAAAAATCCAAACAACCAGAATATATATTGACGATTTATTGTCACAAAGCAAGACAGAGACAGACACACACACACACGAGATAGATTTATCACTAAGAAAGAAAGAAAAAAAAAAAATCAAATTTTTCTATTTATAGACTATATTTCCGTATATTTTCATCAAAGTTTTTTTCTGTTTTTAGTTTGTGTTTTTTCTTCATTTTTTTTGTGCTCGCTGATCATTTCATATATGAAAAAAAGTAACCATGAATTATAATTAATGGATTAGGATTTTTGTTTTGTTTTTGTTTTTATG